CTTTGTGATAAGTGAGGAATGGAACACATCTAAACTCACCATGAATAATAACCCAAGAATGTCTTTATTGCTCAATAGTGAAGCATATGGTTAGAGTGAGCGCGTCTGACTCTGCAGCGTTCAGAAAACGGGAACTCTTATAGTTAATGGAAAATAATTGTTTACCACAGCAGTTTGTCAGCGGATCAGAAAGAGATCACTGACTGCACACACGCGTGTGTGTGTGTGTATGTTGTTGATTGTTATGCTTGTTGTCAAGAGTCGGAAAACGCTGCCGTTTCACATTGGGTGTTCAGGTGATAATTGGATAATCAATACGGAGCAGAGCGGAGGCACAGGTGAGGCTCATGCCGGTGCTTTTCCACGCAGCAGCCCTGCGACCGCAGGAGAAAGGATGGGGGAGGGAGCCGCAGGAAAGGAAGGATAATTGTTTACAAGAGGCCAATGTAGGCGTCTCCTAGCAACAGCTCTACCGAACTCTGCGTCAGGTGTGGCTAAACAGCAGCCCGAGTTGGCCTCTGGTTGTACGAGCATGTGTGCATCCAGAGAGACGACCACTATAAAGGCCTTTGTCTCAAACTGGAAAAAAGGAACATGGAAATCTCTACTGACAAGAAATGGTGAAAAATGCATTTGTTTACCAGAGATACATTTATAAGAGAGAATTTTTTATCACCCCCCCCCCCCCCCCCCCCTTTATGGAAGGAAAAAATGGAGAAAAATGCCTGAAAGTAGCCCAAAAAGGGATGACAGCTGCCGTTTGTTGCACACCTGGGCCGAACGCTGAGCCCCAACTACTTAAATATTTTGGGGTGGTTCCCAGGGAAACAAACCGGGACAGGGCCTGTCAGATGAACCCCTCGCCCAGAACGAGATCGCCTACACCTCCCACTTCTTGAGACGTTCAGCTCCGAAGGACCGACAGGCCGCCACACAAGGGCGGGCACGAGCCAAACACACCAAGGTGGTGGACACACACACACACACACACACACACTTTACCCCTATGTGCCTCTTTTTACTAGCAGAGGGGAGTACATATCCCAGCTTAGAGCAGATACCGTTACGGGCAGGCTCGCATCAACGGACGTCCTACTAATGTAGACTAAGGGCCGGGGAAGGAGGGAGAGAGAGGCCAGAAATTCCACCGGCAATTTCATTAGTGGCCAAATGGAAGTAAGACGGGTATCTTTTCCTCTCCCTCCTGATGTGCTAACACAGCAGGGGCCGACGGAATGGAAAGTGGGACAGCACGAACGACATGCTGCAGCAGAGACAGTAAAAAAAACTGAATTCTGACTTACAATAGCATTTAAACATTTTGGGAAATACACAATTTTCATTTCTTTCCAAGATCAATACTGGCCCCTTTTTATGTACATTTGATATGAAGCCAGTAAGACAGTAAGAGATTGGCCTAACTGAGCATACAGACTGGAAACGACCTCGATTGCTATGAAATACGTTTACTAAAATGTTAAAACCTCATTGACACATATCTGGTTTGGTTAACAGGAATATGAAAACAATTGTTTTTTTCCTTCATTCCTTTTTGTTTTTTTAGGAGGGGTGCGACGATTTTTTTGATGAATGAAAGAGCCAGGCGAGGTAAAAGCGTGCAGTCTTGTTAACAGAGCTACAACAACACAAAAAAATGAAAAGTATGATATTGCCATCAGCCTTGGCTGGACTTCTGTATGAAGAGCTTGAATCGATGCTCCAACATAAGATGACAATGCAAGTTCTGCCGATGATTTAAAAACTGTAAACTTCGGCCTCCTAAGTGGACGCGGTCATTGAGTTCTAAAAGACCCACAAGCACAAACAACACCTACGTAGAGATGTCAGAGCGAGGGGGCTGCCAGGGGCCCCGAGCAGTACGCACTTCGTACGGGGATTTGAACCGGCGACCATGAAGACTAGCACGGCCAGTATCCAAGTTTGCCTCCTTTAGAAGAGGATTTTGTTTCTAACCACATCCTGGTTCCAACACTGTACTAAACGCACAGACACGAGTGATATTCGGCTTTATAAGTTGAGTGCAATACCCGACACCAACAACAGAAGACACCAAGAAAAAGAAACTAAAAGAGAACATGAGCAGCATTTACTGTAAATGCAAAGCCGTGGGGGGGGTGGGGGGGGGCACTGAGCTTAGGCCGAACTCACGAGGCGGCTGCATCAATAGATGTCAGACAAGCCGAAGCTGGAGAATCACTGGAGGACTTCCAAAAGCATAGATAAGCATCGTGCAAGCAGAGTAATATTAGTTAACAACTGCATCACGCTGGTGTGATGGTAGCTGGGCCGAGATGATATCGCTGCGTCTTCACACAAGACGCCATTCCCAGAAATGCAGGATGAGTAACTGACAAAGGCCGCTCGGAGAAGAGACTATTCAAACAATTAAAAAGGCTTCAACAGAGCATTGTCGCATCTCAGGATGTCAAGGTGCACTTGAATCACTGTAATGTAAGAGTTATTTAACCCATGCAGCTTTAATTTGTGCACACTGAAGAAACTAGAGCAAAATAATTCCCGCATTCTGTCATTGAAATGGGCAGTTGGCCAGATGACGCGGCCTTTAGTACACTGCATCTTTGTTTCTTCAGCGAGGAAAGCGACAACGCCACAGCAAGTGACCCCGCAGGCTCGTAGTGTGACATCTGGCACTGGAATAGAGCGCCGTTATCAGCCCGGGCCACTTAACAGAAAAACACACCAGAATAGCCCTCTTCACCTCTGCCTCGAGGTGACAGTCAATGAGTCCAATGAGAGACTCCCACCGGTTCATTATCCACGTGATGCAGAAATGGTAGATGGAGTACATGCAGCTGTGGTGTCACCTTGGGTAGCCTAGTGTTGGCCCTAACCCCCCCCCCTCCCTGGCCCCGATGGTCTAAACAAAAGCCTCCCTCGTTAAATAGGTGGCTTTTACCGCGTGAAATTACACCTTTGCAATTTCTCCCTGAAGCTTAAGACACACAAGCGTGGTCTGGTCATTTTGTAAAGGCCAAAGCTTCCATTATAAAACAGCAGCAGGAAGCCCTGAGATCATTAAGCGCACAAAGACAAAAACTGGATCAAACGTGTGATGCATTCAACACAAAAGGCAGCAAAAACATGACAAGCGTTCAGAAGAAAGAGCTTCTCATTGTATGGATTATTTTGATCAGCAATTCTTCAAAAGCCAGAGATATCTAATTTCCCAACATAGGAAAATAATCTATTTCAGGGTTGACGCCCACGTCATTCATGATCGGAATTTCTCATAATTGACCAAAAACAAATCACTACAAACTAAGGAGCCAACTACAAAATGATGTCCATTTAATTAATTGATAAAAGTGTCAAAAAAGTTAGATTACTTTTTCTATCCATCAACATTTCCACTTATAAAAAGGCAGATGTATTCCAGTTCCAACAGCCTAACCTTCACATGTAGGTCTAGTTCCTTTTACCATCACTACATTACCAATTCCTAAAACTCTACCATTTTACATGTTTTCCCCTAAAACAGTTTACTATTCACTAAAGCCTGATGGCATCAAGAGCCAGAGGTCACAATTGGAGTGACTTCCTCTCAGACAAACAACTAAAAGTATGCTCACTGCTTCAGCCCGTATTATTGCTCCTATAGTACATCAGCCATCACTCATCTGCAGTCACAAGAGCTTAATTGCCCTGGAGGGGCCACCAGGGGCCACCTGGCGCCCACAGCAGGAGACAAAGCTGTGGAGTACAGAGGAGGGAAGAGAGGTGTCAAAACCAGCCCAACCGCTGCCCGGAGGCATCGAACACTTCACACTGCCGCAGGATTTCACTTAATTAGAAAGAGACCGACAACCAGGCCGCACCTGCTGCTCTCACACTACGTCTAAATCTGATATCCCAAAAAACACTTTCCATTCTGTGGAAATGCCAAAACTCAAACGTCACGTCAACTCTTACTGCGCAGAGAAGTCGTGAAGCAAGCAGCAGCAGGCAGAGTTTCTAGCAAAGTGTGACCCAACCAAATTCCAATCGACGTACTGCGTTACGGTGGAATAGTACGAAACATGGTTGTGATTCAGCCAAATGTCACGCACAAGAGCTCAACAGGCCAGGACCATTTCTCCACAGGAGAACAATGTTCAGCCTGCAGGGTTTACGTATCAAAAAGCATGTCCCCCTGTCTAATTACCCCATCATGGCCTTGGCAGGTGCAGGCTGGTTGAGTGGAACCAAGCCAACCCGCCCCCCCATATATCATGTCAAGTTTAAAAGATGACCCACATGACACTGCGAACCACTGTAGATGGGATCTTTGTCACGCATCCAATCGTTTGACTGTGATGTGTGTCAATTCTCAGAGGGAATGGGTGCCGCCAAGAACACCCCCCCCCCCTTTAATGAGGTCTACCCTCCCTGCAAAAGGCACGCAGGCACACACACACACACACGACCCAGAACACAGATTTCTGGTGCAATTCGCCAGCAACGTAGGTGGAAATAGTTTATTCCCGTCCAGCCTCGTACTGCTGTGGAGCGCCGTGTAGCGGAAGATCGCTGCAATTAGAGCAAAGATCATTTGTCAATTAATAGAAGACGTCTTTTTTTTTATATTAGTGGCAAAAATCCGATGGTTCCTGGATCTCACCTTTTCTAGGTCTTACATAATAGCAAATGTACCTGGGTAATTTTGAACATATGATTAATCCATAAAATGGCAGACTTGTTTATGATGATAACAACGGTTACATGTAGACATAAGTTTGCCTTGACAGGAAATGATTAACTTTTATCCAGATCAATACTTCTGCGAGGTGCTGGAAGGGTTCAAAGCCTCCATCAATTGTTTTATGGTGCGTTTCCTCACGCATGTGTGCACATTCATGACAAAGCAAACCTTCACACATTTTAAACTGGGTTCGGTGCTACGCCACCTCCAGGGGAAAAACGTGCCAGCAAACCCTCTTGCAGACTTGACTAAGTGAAGCAAGACGTTTGCAGAAACTCACCGGCCATGCGAACTGGAACGGGATCAGAATTTTGCCAGCTTCGTCGATTTTATTCGGGTTACTCGTTGTGCTCTTAAAAGAAAACGTATTTCCACCGAGAACTTGCGTAGATCCATCCCCGAAGGTGCACGCGCCGCCGGTGGAGACCTCCATCTGGAACTCTTTGAGGCAGATCTTGAAGTAAGTGTCGCACTCGTCTCGGGTGCAGCGCAGGTCCGAGGAGCTCCTGGGGCCGTCGCAGCAGTCCCCGTCCGCCAGCTCGCCGTTTACATTCGCCACGGTGATCAGCTGCAGCTCGAAATAGCCGGTTGACTGGGACACCTTTGGGTGGGAGAGGGGGGAGAGGGGGGGGGGGGACGGAGACGGGACCCAATTTAAACACAGGCCTATATATTCACGGGCTACAACATGGTTTGTGTTGGATACGATTGGTGCGTAAAATGGACCAAGTGTCCAAGAACTGCCCGACTCCCGATTAAAAATGTATTAAAAAAAATAAGGATGGACGTTCAAAATGAATGCATCAGGAAAGGAGCACGTGAACAGCCTATAGTAGCAGGCTGGGGGGGTTAGACCAGCACGTTACTCTGATGGAAGCAAACGAACCGCTGCAGCAGTCAATTGATGCAACGCAATTTACAACTTCTTGGTTCAGGCCTAATGCCCCCCCCCCCAAAAAAACCCCACACGCACAGGGCTCTCATGATTGTAATACACATTTTAGAGAAGCCAATATTAATTCGTCTGACTTCGGTCTTTTCATGGTAACATGATCACATGCTCCACTACTGACGGCTACGTAATTCAATTATCGATTTATGGGAGGCGAATATTCAACGCCGGAGAGCAGATACGCTAATCTTCCCACGCCCACCAACTTTTGACATTTGCAATTTTTAAACATTTATTTCATTTACATGGAGCAACGTGAATTTTTTTTTTTACATATATATGTACATGAATAAAATAAGAGCCTTCTTACCTCCGTCCATAACGTCAACAGCAGGCACGCTATCGGGAAGCAGTTCCTAATCCTGGTGCGATTCCACATGCCTCCGATTAATTAGAGTGACATACGGGGGGGTGGTGGGGGGGGCAGCCGGGGGGGTGAAGCGATGAGAAAAGACAAACAGCCGCGGAGCCGGCGACTAGTTCCTCCTCTGGTGACATGCAAAAATAAAAATATTCACATGCGTGTTTTCTTCACCGCGTACGTCCTGATTTCAGCGAGGCATTACGTGCGTGCGCGCGCGCGTGTGTAGGTGTGCGTGCGTGCGCGTGTGTGTGTGTGTGTGAGTGAGAAGGCGGATTGCAGCGCAGTGATGGTCCATGTACAGGAGTGTCCCTCCGTCAAATCTCTCCACACAGCAACTGAGATGTTCCGTAGCCACACAGCCCGAGGAGAGGACGTCTGCTTTGATTGGCAGCTCCGCAAACCACTTACAAATTGGCCTGCGGGCAGTCTGTGAGCCAACCGGATTAAGGGGCGGACAATAGTATTCTAAACCCCAACCCTCCTCCACCTCCTCCTCCTCCTCCTCCTTTTTCTCCCAAAACTTGAATCGTGGTGGGTTTTGTATTCGGCTTCATTTGGACAAGCCGCGTTACAGCATGCGAACAAAGAGGGAGGGGGTCCACTTTAATTAAACGCGCACGCACGGCTATTACGATGAGCAGGGCTATTATTTTAAATGAGGACCTCGTCGGCGCCGCCTTGAATTTAATTACAGTCATGCAGGGACAAATGTGGATGACTGGTTTATATATATATATATATATATAAATATATTATTTTTAAAATGTCAGGCGTCATGACTTAAAGCATTTCATTTATTACCGAACCTTAAAAAAATTGTCCTTCAAGTAGACTTAATTTCGGAGGTCAAATTGCACTAATTTCCGGTGGCTGACATGTGATTGGATCACGATAACGTGATTATGGTCGACATTAAATCAACAGTTTTCACGAAACATTGGTTCTGAATGCCTTTTTTTCTTCTTTTAAAGCGCATATCCAAATTAATTTGAAATCTTAAGCCAGGTGCTTTAACTTAAAATGATGTTTTAAAAAAATATTTTCGATATTCTCTAATGACTTATTTGTCATGATTTCAGTGATTTCTATTAATCAAGTCAACCCACCTGTTGTGTTCACCATTAATCGCTGCTGAAAGTAAAACTGCCCCTAAAGCACATCACCTGTCCAGCAGAGCGGACTGCCCACGCAGCTCTCCCCAAACCAACCCGCAGACATTGCGGCAGTGCAGAGCGCCCTCTACTGTCCGTTACATGTCCTCCGTGTTCATAACGTCCTCCCTGCTTGGGTTGGTAACCTTTCTTCTTGTTGCCTGAGCCTCTTCTGCTCTTATAGAAACTTATACTTATTCTGCGTGCTATCTTTCTTTTTCTTCCCAAAAACGGGAAAATGTTTATTTTCATCTCCATACGTCAGAAGAATAGGTGTCGAGTTCAGAGGTAATCCGTCCCAGTGGCCGTCATTTGAATAATGTTTACCGTCAAGCACATTTGACCTCCATCGATCACTTTTTACATTCAGTGTTGGATGGAAAACAGCGGCTGTCTAAAGGGGGAGAGAAAATACACAACTGTAAAAAGAAAAATGATTCATTGTTAAAAAATAACTTTACAAAGCACATACACATGTTACACCCTCAACAACATGACAGTTTATTTTATAGGTGGACCAGTACTCACAATCAGAGAAAAGGACCACAAAGCTGGACAGATAAAGGTAAAGAAGGAGTGGAAAGGAAATAAGTGGAAATGATTGTATCCGAATGTTGCATTATACTTCATTTTGGTCAAAAGGTCACAATAAAAATGTAGAAGCTCCATTCACAACATCTACTAACCATTTTGAAGAATCAAGTAAGTTGTTTTTTTCCTCATAGGTAATGACAATAAGTCTAAGGCTGAACCGAAGATGAATCCCTGCTCAGGTGGAAGTGACATCCAACATGCTATCGCTGTTCTCGTCTCCGTCTCCTCCTCATCAGGCGACTGCCAGCCCATCGCCGTCCGATAGGCCTCGGAGGAGGCCGCCGATAGCCTGAGCCGCTGCAGCCGCTTTGGCCCGGAACATTTCGCACGCTGTCACGAGTGCGTTGCGAGGGCCTCGAGTTGGATCACACCTATTCAAGGGCCCTGGAGTGGTGAGGGAACAAGGGTGCACGTGTGTGTGCGTCTCAGTGCTTTGATCTGTATCGTCGTTGCATTCGGTCACACTCGTGGTGCAGCTCTGCTGACGGCAAAGTCAGTCGAGTCCCTGAAACATCCCAACGTCCACCGGACGGACCGCTTGTGGTCCACCGAGGACCAGTTCTAATAACTTGGCTGATGCTGCGACAACAGCTATTGGATGGATGGGCACAACGTGTCGTACAGTGTCCCCCTCTGGATGGATTGTTATTCATACGGTGATCCTGTGTGGTCTAATCTATATTTAGCTAATACGCAAACGTGACCGTGCAAACGCAATGAACTAAGCCAGCGAACATGTTAACATTACACCTGCTGAGCATCTACGTGCTGGCATTGTCTATGTGAGGATATTAGCATACCGGCATTAGCATTTAGCACTAAAAGTAGAGCCTCACAGGGCACAGCTGTAGCTACTTAAAAACATTCACTCCTCACCCCAGAATAGTTTCCAGGTCAAAATGGAAATGTGTCTGTAAAAGGCTTTGGACTTAAAACAGGTCACTAATTTGAAATGGTGACAAGTCAAGTTTCCGGGCGTCGGTCTCTGAGCCCGAGTGATTCCGCAGAGGATCGGCCGCGCACTTCACCTCTACGTCCCTTTGCCTTCACGTCTCTTTAAAGAAAAACTTAAAATCCAAAAGGAATAATGCTAAATAACAACCAGATATAATAGATTTTAAGAAGCCGCGTTTCAGTTATGTTCCACTCACATCAGCCCAACGTGGCTCCAAACTGAATACCGACAGCTTCCCAAAGGGCCTCGGCTGGTGTGTGCCTACCTTGTCCTCCTGTTTGCATACATGTGTGTGAGGCGCAGAGAGAGGAGTGTGTGTGCAGGAGGAGAAGGGATTATGAGTGGGAGCGCTGTGGGGGGTTTGCCAGCCTCTAGGGGGGGAGGTGAAGGGGATTTCTTCTCTCATCCATTTTTCATGGCTTTCCTTCTTTCAGATCTCGGTCTCTGTACATACGGCTGACGGGTCGATCTCTTTTATCTTTAAGCATCTTTTGGGGACTCCCTGTGTGCGTCGGGGGGCATATATGGGCGGGGGGGTCAAGGTTGAGGCGGTTTTTCATTTCTCTAACTATCTTCCCAAACTGACTGCTGAGACGATGCTCATTTCTGAGGTAAAATACACAATATATCCTCAATTCTGAACATGAAGACGATGAGTATCTGGAGTTTTTACACTGCAGATGGAATGGATCTCAGAGGAATATTTTGGTGGTAATACCACATGGACCATACAAAAACAGTAATGTTAAACAGCAGTCTATTTTCCTTGTGGATTAATTTAAATGCATGTCTTTTAAAAAAGGTTTTGTATAATGAATTACTTGTTTGCTAGCCTACACCCTTCCCCTTGAAACATAGCACCATTTTCTTTAAATAGCATTAATAGTTGCCGTTGTCATCGTAATATATATATTAATATATATATATATATATACATGTACAATTGCTCTGTTTGGAGCTAAACCAATTTTGATCCCTGGTCTCACCTCATTTGACAATCGCTTAACTAAATTATCTTTTGTTTTGGGGAAAATCTTTCATATCCACCACGTATACCGCGCAGGAGACAGTTTCCCCCCAAAACCAACGCTACACACTAGCAAAGCAGGCACAGGAGTAGACTTGGACATTGCAGCTCATCAGCGAGGCGAACGATTGTAGATGTGTCGTAACGTGAGACATTTATCCCACAATGCAACGGTGCTCTCATGAGCGGAACCACTTGAACACAAAACATTGATATCTCAAATAAAAAGACATTCTTCCCTCATCCAGTTGATATGAATTGACCTGCTTTCTTCTACATACACTCTGCAGCAGATTGATAAAAGTGATTTACTGATTACAAAACGCAAAATAAAGCTTTATGATAATAACTTTCACGAATCCATCTTTCACTTCCGTTTCCACGGCTGACTGAGTTTTCTAGACTGTGGAAAGAGCATTTCCGCTGCGATAAGATGAGACACGTCCGTATCCACTGACAACGTGGTGCACTTTTATCACACCCTTATGTTCTGCTCTGCCGATAGCGCTCTATGCATTCATCTTTTCTCACCCGGAGAGCTCGGCTTTCATTTCACGGCACTCTGTGTGACATGTTAGTGTTCGGAGAAGAGGAAAAGAGACAGACTTCTTCAAAGCAACTGGAAATGCGTAGTTGGATTTCAATAACACTGGGAAAACAGTCGACACACACAAACACACACACACTTTTTAAATGGGGAAAACCACGGTTACAATCCTAACCAGTTGGGCCAGTTAACCACACGTCGTACTGTACGTCTTGCTTTTCCTGCTAACTAACTTTCATAGTGACAGTAAAACCCCTTTTCTGTGTTGGACAAATGCCGACAAAATGTCATTTTAAAAACTGCTCTTAAACAATCTGCCATTTTCCTCTCTTCCACGTTCACTGAACCCTAAGAGATGCTCAGATCTCCTAAATGACGCCTGCCGTGCTTCCTACTATGAATCACTGAATAAAGAGGACATGCGGTCTTGTCAGTGTAAACATTGCAGATAAGAAAACTTTCACATCTGGAGATGCCTAAAGTTAGACTTGCCCTAAACCCTCCAACCCATCCCAGCATGCACAGGCCCGGACCTCGTAAATATAAGTCACTGATAAGGCCTCGCAACGCCGCGGGAAAGAAAGAAAAAGAGCAAGTTTTATGGCCAGCTTGATTTCAGCCCTTTAATAACAGGTTGTAGGTATTCACCCGGCTCCTGCCACATCTATCGGTTTCAACCGGTCGCCACCTCTGTTCTTCCTCAAAGCACAATGCCGCCTTAAGCCAAGGTTATGACCTGAAGGCTGCGGAGCTGAGGGCAGAAGAGGAGCACATCTTGTAGGTATTTCAAGTGTATGTTTTGGTGAGAAAGTAGATAAGGAATGATGAAATACTTGATCTGAATCGGATTACTAAGAAAAAAACCAGCTGCTGCTTTTTTGTAATCTTTGAAATCATAACTTATTGACATACTTTATCTGACCTGTGACTGAGGGTTGCATAAAGAATGCGAGGCATATCTTCACTCTAAAAGAGACAATTGTCTACGAACGATGTGAGTTGCTTCTGAGTGATGAGCAGAAGTGGAAGTGATGTGGATTCTTTAAGCCATGACCAATATCAAGTCCTTACCTCAACCATGCGATACTTCAACCCATGACAAAGGTTAAAATGAATGATGATGTTTCAGCTGTGGAAGGAATGGTCTAATGAATCAGGCTTCAGTGGGTCGTTACAAGCCATACAGGCTGCGATACCACATTTGCAAAATCACTCGTTTCCATGTAAATGTGCTTCATTCAAAATCCTAAATAAGTAAAAGAACAAGTATTGTCATCAAATCTACTTAAAGAACCAAAAGTAAGAGTACTCACCAAGCGTAATGAACCATTTACAAGATCTTCTATATACATCAAACAATTAGAGACGTATTCACGTGAACACAACGTTTCAGTTTAGGGAAAGCTAATCTAACGAATATACTGGCTTAGGTACTTGACTACAGAACTCAAGCAGGTGTAATTTGTATAGCTGTGCCTTTAAGCAAGGCATTTAGTCCCGAGTTGCTTAGGTGGATCTGTTCAGTGTATCGACACTATAAAAAAGTACAACGTTACAGTACATGAACACTGCTGGTGTCTCCACCTCCTCCCCAAATGTGTAAGATCTCATTTGCATACCGATGGGGAGTATTGGTGCAGCGCCGGACCTCGTCTCGCCTTCAAAGAGCACGTTTTAGCTCCCACCTGTGAGAGAGAGGCCAGGTAATCCATCTGGTAACACACATCCAGATGGTCTCTGGGGAACAGCGGGCCGTCCCGCGTGTCCAGTTACAGCGACTCAACCGAAGCAGCCGTCTATCCACCCGTCTGCAACGACGAAGGTTTGCAGAAATCTTTTCATAAGCACAGCCTGTGTTCACAATCCCAATGGAAAATTCATACAAGCATGATGCAGAGTATAGATGTGGTTTGTTCCCGGTGCAGAGGCGGTTTTCATTAAGACTGGTTGAGTCGTGATGCAGGGAAGACGTCTCGCTTGACTTGACTGGTAATGGCAGACTTCATTGATAATTTAGAAGGCAGTGTGCAGCACAAACTAATGAGCATGCAGTGTGTATGCATAGTAAGGTGTAGGTTCAGGTGTATGAACAACTGAACCTATTTGGAGCAACTTGATCCAACAAGCGGACTTGTGTTTATGAAGCACCAAGGGAAGAACCAGACGGTCAAACAATTCTCTTTCAGTCTTAAAAAGGTCAAAAGATACATGCAAGTGGAATAAAGAATCGTCCAGCACGTAGTGACAGTGCAGTGGGCTTCTGTGCAGGAGACGTATCATAAGAGTAGTGGTTTGATACTAATGTAGGAGGGAGCATTCACCGTGACCTGCTGCCTTTCGTATCCTAGCAACATGCTTTTAAGAGGGCAGCGGAGTTGTGGCCTTATAAAGGATATAAAGTGAAACCGGTATAGAAAGCCCCCTTTGACAGAAACGTTTTAATGATTAAGTAATATCACGCCCGTTGATTGTTGAGGATAAAAAGATGAAGACTTTGTTTCACAATGTCAAGAGTGTGAGCATTTTTTAACTGTGTAAAATCACTATCAGCTCCTTCGATTTTTACTGTAGTTAGTTTTTTATTATATGCTGGCTGTGTGGCACTATTTTTAATTACACTCTTATCAACACGCTGCTCAGTGCAACGGTTTTAAATTCCTCTCCGGCTAAATAAGAGAACTCTGCTTTCCTTTCTGGGAAACCATAAATCAGGATGCTCACCAGCGTCAGGTCAGACCGGCTGATCTGTGATCAGCGTGAGTTTGTCAGAGACAGACAATGTGCATTCATGTAAGCAGCAGGTAAAGCACGTGGATCTCAAGTAACTTATCTGTGTTTTGTGATTTTGAAACTTCATGTAAACATGAAGTCCCCCAGGAGAGTGCATGTAACAGCTTACAGACTATATAAGGATATAAAGACTTGGTGATGTATGTTTTGTTTAGCGACTTTTGACTCATGAAAATTCATATTTTTTCTTCGTTTTTTTTTCTTCTATATCTGCTTACAACTACATTATAGTTTTTCATATACCAATTCTAAAAGTTAATACAGTTTACAAATGACTCAGAGGTCACAAATAACATTAAGTTGGACCTTTTTCAAACCCAGTCTGCAGTGTAGCGACTGTGACATTCCTCCAAAATAAGCTGGCGGCAAGGAATATAATAATTACAAGAAAAAATATCATTTTGGGCATCCAACCCATTTTATTTCAACTTAATGCAGTTTAATCCAACAGTTAGTGCACATGCAAAGTATCATATTTAAATATATACTGTATGTTTGTACCAAGTGTTTTAAAAGTTTGAATATTTTAACATTTAATAAATTAACAAAATTGAAACATTACTTAAAACACTGCCCACAATGAGTATACACTTTTAATAAAGCAAATTAAGCGTGATCAATTCTTAAAACTGCAATGTTTGTTAGCATTTGTACTTTTTTCAGAAAATATTTTCTTTAAATAAAATCACAAATTGGAAAAATCTCTTGTCTTTACTGTGAGTAAATTCATAATGCATCTTTCACTTAAAGGTATTATGTGTAGGATTTTCACTAAATATTAAACTACTTAACATAATAACATAGGCTACACTTTATAATCACTATGAACGGCCTAATAGCAGCAAATTTGATTATCCTCCCCTTGTCGCTTCTGAATATTCAGCTACTAGTCTGCCAAAAAAGAAGCACCCAAGACCAACGTCATCAAGTCAAGTGACTTTTCCAACCAATGAAGTATTAAGTAGTAGATCATCAGAGGTAATGTTTGAATTGTCACATCCACGGTCCAATTTAACAATAAAAAGAGAATACTACACATAGCACCTTTAAAACATGTTCAACAATTGACTTTTGCTCAGCTCCCGATCACTAAAAATACAGTAAGAAATTGTCTAACGGTGCACAAACCATGAACAGAAGAAAACAAAAACACGATCACAGTTGAAGAAGCAACTACAGCAAAGCCAACGGGGGTACAACTATAAAAGTCTGGTACCGATGAATTACGTATTCTGTCACAGAGATCCACCGAGCGTCGACATTTCTGGCACGTTGCTGAGAATTTGATATGTCAGCGCCTTAGAAGCAAGCGAATGGACACAGAATGTTTTTCGTTGTGCGCCTGAGATGTGGAGGTAGAAATGTCCAATTCTGGGCTAATGGTCAATATCCAGCATAGGCAAGAATAAAACAACCATTTACTTACCTCATATATTAGTGATTTATTCAATAGAAGTAGCGTATGGCTTTTCAGTGGCACAGTCTGCAACCTCACTCTGCGCTGTCAAAAGTGCGTCTACTTCCGCCGCAGAGAGGAATGTGAGGATCGTTGCGCTGGGAGACTCGAGGACGTAGTTTGGAAGTTTTGGTGACGCGCTTTCCGGTTCAGCGGTAGACGAGGCGATTAATATCACTTTCGCAGGCCATAAAAAAAAAAATCAGGTTAGCTTAGTTTAGCTAAACTTATCCTGACCTAAGCTGGCTAGCTGCTGTAGCTTCATATTTATCTGACAATCATGGGAGCGAAGTCAATCCTCTCATCTAACTCGAAACGAACCTGCTAAAAAGGTCAAACTTCTCCTTTAAGTCCTCTGAGAACGGTGCCAATCACGCGTGTTAACAACCTTTACGTGGCTGCAGTTTGGCCTTAAACTAAACCTTCTGGTGTGAAACTAAATAACATCATAAAAACATAAACTGTCACATTTGAATAGCTTATAAAGCTAATTTAAAAAAAACAGTACAACATAACAGACCAGCTTGTGAGTTTTAAAGCAATATGCTGAACGAGAATAAACAGGCCTCACAGAACTTTCCATGGTATATTAAACTGTCTAAGTGGAGAAGCTGGCTGATCCAGAGGAACCGGACGAGCTGCCACGCCGGGTGCCACTTGCAACAGCTCTCTATTTTCATGGATGCCACTTTTGTTTCGGCAATCAATCAAGGCTGCAGTCCTTCCTCTATGACGTTCACTAAATTCGCTCGACTTTCAGATAATAGCTGGAAGTCACACAGCGGTTCTCCACATTTGACAGGCACATAAAGTTACAGACTGGCCTTAAAAGTTAAAATGGCTCCTTTTTTTTTTCTTCTTTTTTCTTTCACATCAAGCCAAATCAGAAGCGGTTGGCCTAATTACAGCAGACAGACATTTTCTAAATACACCGAGAAAAACTCAGTTTGGGGTGATTATGGCAAACCCATTTAAAAAGTGGGAAGCAAAGATCTTCATTCTTTTCCACACTGGGTTTTATCAGAACAAAACGATGGAAAACTGAGCACCATTGGGAATTTTTCAATAAGGTTCTCCATTAAACTCAACAAGTGTTGAGATCTACGAAGACCTTATTTAACTGAAGACTATAGAAAGATAAAAAAGAACAATTTAATGATGGTATGGTGGCTGGTTATCAAGACGTCAAACTGTGGTTAAGAAAATATTGTTTAAAAACCCTGTTTGTGTTACAGTAGCCATGTTTCCATTCAAGTGACAAGTTGATTGTCAAGTTGATTTTAAACTTTTGAAATGACACAATACAAAAAATGGGAATGATGCATGTTTCCAACAATTGGCTTGTAGCGGATTATGTTGGCTACACAGTGGTTCTGTCAGAAGTTGGTACTACAAACTGCACGTGGCTTTAAATCGGCCAGCAAAGACAATTAGAGTTGAGGTCGCAGACCGGAAACCAAAAAAAGACGGCTTGGACGTACAGCCATATACGAGAGAAAAAGACGAGAGAGAGCCCTTCAAGAGTTTGTTTCAATTAGCAAAGTTGGATTTATGCTTTCATGCCAACTGCAATTGGTCAAGTTTCATGTTGTCTGAAGACGAAGCCAAAGAGTTGCAGGTTGTGGGAATGGGACAGCAGAAAAGGTTTTACGTATGGCTTTTCTACTGTAATCGTTCAAAATGCGCAAAGATGTGAGAATGGAAACATGGCTAGTGTCTACGTCCTTTTAAAAAAAATTACCCACAAGTTATTAATTGGTCACTTCATGGGTATCTAAAGGTGCAATACACATGTTTGCAAACTTCTTAAAGTAGATACGTCCTGTAGTTTGAGTTTGTATGCATTAGAAATGTTGCATCCAAATTCACGTCTGATATCAAAAGAGAAAATTTGATTTAGTGAAAGACATCAGGTTTGGTTGTTAATTTGAGAGAATATGAATCAACATATTAGTCATCTTTGTTTGTCCAAAGAAAATCAACAAAATTAAATCATTTCAAGCAGTTCCAGCAAACTGTACAATTGTACATCAAGAAATGAACTTTGATGGACACAAAGGTTACGGAGCTTAATGATCAGGGTTCAGGGGGAGCTAAATATGGCTTAAGGGTTCTGCATATATTCCTATACAGTCTGGGTGGACAGATTTGATTGAATTATGAAAAACATATTTAGTGGTTGGTTGATACAAGTTCTCTTCACCGTTTGTGCAGATTAAATCAATCAATTAAGAGCTCAAGCCACAGCAGATTCAAGCGTTGAGATGCCCAATGCTGATGCACAGTGAGACTCAATAGAAACGTACACCAGAAACACATTTAAAAAAAATACCAAAACACAAGGTTTTATGGGTTACAGAAGACAAATGCTCACATTTGATTGTCAGTTGTTCCTCAACTGAAAAACACAGGAACAAAAAAAAAATCCTGGATGATGCTCATCTTTACCCGAAATATTGTTTCATTCACCAAAGAAGAGACAAATACATCATCTGTAATATTATGGTTGTTTTTGTTTGAAATAGTAGGTTTAGGATTTAACCTTCTATATATATATATTCAAGGTGATATTAAAAACAAACTACAATTAAGCATTAATTTTGTCAAACAAATTTCCTTATTTCAAACTCTGGAGGTGCACCAAGAAGAGTCGCTCTCTTATGGCAAACAGTAATAACGTGTAAATAATGAGATGTGTTATGAATGAATGTGTTATGTCCGAGCGGAAATTTTCTAAAAATGGTCTTTGAACTTTGCATATTTTTAAGAAAACTACAAGGTGGGGGAATTGCTTTCTTTTCACATATTGATTGAGAAATGAAGTACCAGCCCTTTTAGAATGAAGAAGAATAATAACATATAGTGAGAATTGTGTTATGTCAACATAACCACATGCTGGTCATCATCACATCCAGAGACCCACCCTGAATATGACCAAACGTTTGACTATTTGGACCTGAGATTTTGGCAAACTGCTGTTGAGATTGACTGTGTGAGATTTGTGTGTCAATGACCCTCCCGGATTTACAATGCAGAGCCTCTAAAAATGTCTCTATGGGTTTAAGTCCTGTTATGAATGCTCCTACACCTGCATTAATGAGTTGAAAATGTAACCTTGACATGGCGTGTGTAAAAGGAACTCACTTGTAATGATGATAAAAATGATGCAAAAAGGACTCACTTCTAAACCAAAACTCAAGAACTAAATGAAAGCTATTCACTGACATGTTACAGCCCAAATATCGGTAACCCATTGCAGGTTTTTGCTTGACAACAATAACACTTGAAAGTGAGGCGAGACCTTCGGTGCAGGGGCAGGTAGGTGAAGTGAAACAATACCTAAATCCCATTTCCCACGTGGCTTGTAGAATAAAATGTCTGCCAATATGTCCACTGGTTTGACTTAACGACGATTGACACTGAGTGATTGTTTAGCCCAGGGTACTATCAGAAGTATTGCTTAAAGGCTGTGGATCAGAGAAAACTATTGAGGCATGCATGAACAAGTGGTGGTTAAAACACACCTAACACCTCAATCGTTACAAGGCCCCACCACTGACTAGTATAGTTTTTGCATTACTGGATGATGGATTAAAGGAATACTCCACTGTTCGGTTTTTGCATCGTTACCTTCTCAGTATCTTTAATGGTTTATGTAATGACCAGTATAAAAAGATGCTGTTGTTCCCATGATGTGTATTTTCATATTAAAGGTCCTCCTGCACACTGTCAGGCAAGTGGAACTGTTTGCATGAACTCCAATAAGAATATTTGCATGCTAAATGTAAGCAAAGCATGGCTGACATGGCTGGTCGGCATCACTGAGTTTGCAATGAATGCTGGGAGTTGTAGGAATGCTTAAGACATGTTCGACGAGTTTGTTTATTTTCCTTTTGTTGCGCCAATATCAGATGTACTTAAATGCTTGCTTGCTTCTATAAATGCAGAGAACTTTCAAGAACCTACACTAAAAGCAGTGGAGCGTTCCTTTAATCAAGGGCAGGCAAATTAAATCAGTGATATGCAGCCATTTATAAACAGATGGCACAGTAAATGAAACGATCGACAGACCACAAAAAACTCATCAAGACATCAACGTGCCAGTGACAACCAGCTATGGCAAATTTGTTTTTAAGGGAAAATATTAAGACCCCATGAAACTTAAAAACGTTAACAGGACGAAAATGAAAGATACCTGTTGGCAACAAGACGAGGGGCCCACCTTTCATCAAGTACCAATAAGCAAAAAGGCAATACTGGATGAAGAGCCATGAGGGGAAGAGTGGATGTGCTGGGCCAGTGTTTGACTTCATTTGGAATAAACGGTATAAAGATGGTTGCTTAATACTAGTTACACATTGGTGGAGATCTTGTACTTGGGAGACATGTTATTATGGAACCAGATGAAACTAAAAATGACGCCCATGGTTTTGGGTATACGCTCGTCGTAGGCGAACGTCATGGCCTCGTGCAGCGGGACTTTGACCACCTCGATAAGCTCCCCCTCCCGTGGCTCACCTCCACCTGCACTCACGCAGTTGTCATCAGACACCTCGGCGTAAAACATAGTCTGCTTGGCCCCTGTTACGCCGACGCCTGACCTGCAGGGGAGGAGGAGGGACAGGTTACATACGAAATCTGTAGAGCGACACACCCGTATTTTGAGGTCTTCATATTGCCATTTCACCCGAAGTGACCTCTTGCTGCCAACTATTAGCTCGGGGCTTCACCACACCGTCAGTTCTGTCAAAAGCACCCTCATAGGGGGCCTGAGGGTTAAGACGATACCAGACTATTTAGTGGAAGAAGCCCACACATAACACCACCAACAACTGCTTGAGGCGGTGTGCCAGTAAATTCAAAAGCGTCGTAATGAGAGATGTCACTCAAAGCTGTCCAGGTGCAGCTGTTCATCTCCCGGAGCTTTAAACTGTCTTACCATCATGGCCCTTCCTCTAAAACTGTCTGCTACCAACCTACGGTTGCATATTTCTATCTAAGGTCAAATGTATTCATGCATGCTTTCCTTTTGGGGGCCACATTTGGAGTGGATTCATACTAAACAATGAATTTAAATGAACTCTAAACAGTGCAGAAGTGGATTATGCTGCAGGGGCTAAATAGGCTTCTGTAGACGTAAAAAATGAAAACTGTTGGCGCTCAGTACTCATCCGTGAAGCGATTTACCACTTTGTCTAAAGAGTTCAGGGTCGAGTGTTTGATCCGTAAAAGCTTTTCAACAAGCGAGTGCTCTTTCACAGCCGTTTTAAAGGGTAACTTTAGTATTTTTACACTTGAACACTATTTTTTTAAATGTTTTGAATATAACTGAATCGTTACTGAATAGCAACAAGGCTCTGGTTAAAACATTCTCAAGTTCCCCTTTAAATGGTACCTACAATTAAATTATCAGTCCAACTAAGGGAACAAAGGTGGGGTTATTTCTGAGTGAACGCAGCTCAATGAGGTTCAGAACTTGATACAAAATAGCACCTGTAAGAAGTAATCCTCTTCAGCTTAGAGGCCGGCACATCGTAGCCGCACTCCTCCAGCACCTCCTGCCGAGCGATCTCTTCCAGGGACAGGTCGGGTTTGTCCACCAGCCCGGCGCACAGCTCGTAGGTGACCCCCGCTGAGGCCGGGGGCCATTGAGAAGAGCTCTCCCCCTCTGAGGCCGACTGGCCCTCCTGAGGCTCGGGGGCAGGGGCGGCGGCGGCGGCGGCCTCGGGTTCGCCCTCCTCGGTTTTTTCAGCCAGCTGAGGCGGCTGCGTCTTGGCCCTTTCCCACTCAGACATGAATACAGCTGGTTGGTGGGAAAAACAGTGGCACGTTATTCTTGTTAGTAGTTTGCATACCAGTCTGTTGTATGTAACGGTGATGTATTACGGTGCACATGCAACAGAACGTTCAGAAATAATGTTTTTATGTGTGAAGCATCGCCTGAAATAAAGGAGAAATGACATGTGGATGCCAAATTGAATTATTTGGCCCAGTACCACAAACATCTTTCTAAGCATCTATTGTCAAATACCAATAAGAGACCAACTTATTGAACACTACCCTTTAAAAAGAACAAATACCATCCGTGGTTGTAGCCAAAATAATTTCCTGCAGATGAAGGACTGTATTTTTTCCCCTCAACAGAAAACCGGGACAAGCGGGAAACAGTTTATCAATGCCCAGACTTCCTTGCATTTAGCAGACTGCGCTGTGGTCCAATCCCTGGCGGCATCAAACAAAGGAGGCCCGGCTGCTTCGTAACGGGGCCTCTTGCATTCTATTTATGAGTCTGCATTGTTACTAAGATCCAGCAGAATAAACAGGGATTGTAATGTCCTGCTTTTTTTAGTCAAAGTACCCACAGGATGCACAACAATCGAGATCTAGCTGGGTGACAAGAAGGAATGATGGAGGTTTTGTGTGATCAAAACTTACCTGGGCGGAACTGCTTGACGAGGACAAAACAGTGTGAGCTGGTGTTGAAGATCAGCACTGACACACTGAAGAAAGACAGACACACAGGTCCAGTTTAGATAGCAACGCACAACTTCATAGTAAACCTCTTTGCATGCACAATATATTTGGCAGAGTGCCGATGAATGCTCGACCGGGTCGGTGGATTGAAACCAGTGTGTGAGGAACAGCCGGCCTTTAGGTACGACGGACACACAACAAGTGTTCTTGACTTTTGCATCAGAAAAAAAAGTATTTCTCATAAAAGCAAACTGACTGCCGGGTTATACATCGTGGGCCGCGTGTGGAAGCCCGCGCAGGCCCTCAAGGACGGACGATACGTTCTCAAAATGCCGTTTAAGTTTGAGTAAACTAACTCCAATCAAAGCCTGGACACGGTGGACCAGTGTGCGGCGCGCCCAGGGAGCGGGACGCGCGCAGCGTGTGTGAGCGGGACCGTCGCTGCCAGCGGAGACGTGAGGCCCGGGGTCGGCGTGGGGAAAGCGGATGTGTCTGAGGCGGCAGGAAGCCCTGCCCTGTCTTTCCCAGGGTGAGACGACGTTATTGCACATTGCTGTTAAAACTTGTTTTTACTTACTGTGTCTGTGGCCGTTAGTGACTCAATATCGGTTTGCAAAACAGATATAAAAGGTTTCAATAAAATGTATAAATATCCGCCGGCCGACCTGAAGTGGATTAGCTTCCACCTTGATTGGAGGAAGATGACTAATGGGTTGAACTTATTTTTAACAATGTGGTCCAGTTTAAAGATCTCCACAATTACCTGAGTGGTTGCAATATTACTACGGATTACTAATGTCTAGAACTCCAAAGGACAAAACAATGTTCTAGATGAATTCATTTATTTGGACAAAACAGACGCAATACTGACTGGTTTCTTGATGTCTGCTTCATTTCCGACCTCAGGGCTACGGGCTACGAGTGGGGGGGAAACAGGCCGGAGGCATGGAGGCAGTCCACTGAGGCCGGCGTCCCGTACTGCTGTTCCACACCATTACAGCTGTTTCTACAGCCTCCAACCGAAGGGAAACGCTCAAATGGTTAAACCAAGAGGCGCGCTTAACGGACGATCGGGACTTTTCATGCACCGTTAAGTCCCCCCCCGCCCGGCGGGGCTTCTGGCGGGACGGCGGGAAAACAAGGTTACGACAGACCGTGCAATCAAGACCCTCGGATCAGGTCCCCAAACTTCATCGATGTGTCGTATGCGCCACATGGAGGGGTTTGACCTGCTGTTTTATAGAGCACCGCTTGCTAAACACCACTTATTTGAGTGTAGATGTGCATGTTATTCCCTTGCGATTCACTGAACACGTTATTACAGCCTGCCAGTGGACACAGGCTGCTGAGAGTTAAAAACATAGAGGCGACTAAAGACAGACGAGCGGGAATACGGACGGAGCTCAACATTTACATTTCCTGCACTGGCTAAAAATACTGGCTGTCATTAAATCTTCAAGTCCAGTAATAAACAAGCACCCGGATGCTAATACTCCCATAGCATGTAGGTGTCGAAATACAAAAGCTACAGGAGATTGGCCATTTAGAGACGGCTTATGATGGGACTCCAAACATTGTAGATCTGCTTGTGGACAGAGATGCATTTCATCTGGGAGAGACTCACAGTTGGAGACCATGGAACATGAGATGGAAATCAATGGGTTTAGCCATTTCCTGTCTTCCCTTGGGTTCATAATACCTCAGGGTAAGATGTGGTATGGGATGGAACGGGCTGGTCAAGCCAGTGGTTTTTACCAGATGTCATGGTGAAAATGAAGCTTCATTCGCTAAAATACAAATCAGTGCCGTGCCCCCAATTCTCTCCTCCAACTCACTGAAATGAAAAAAACACCCTGGATCCTTTCAATCCGGGCTAAAGGGGGAATAAGCCTCTGCAGAAAACTGGATGTTCCCATGGGCGGTTTTCTTCAGGAAGCACACATTTGAGCTTTATTGCCGTTGCCTCGGTGGAACGGGAACCTCGCTCTGTGGGGTCAGCAGGAGGAGGAAATAGGGCTTAAATGACCTGAGACTCACTGCAGGGCATTATGGTACCCTGGGCTGAGCAGGGGCCCGGGCGTTTTGACACAAGAGTGTGATATTTCTCTTACAGTGCCCCCTGTGAAGCTCAAGACATTTATAGCCACTGCCGAGTAGAACGACAGGGAACCAGTTCCTGAAAAACAAGGTAGGTTTTGACCGCCATTCCAGTGTTGGCCATATTTCATTGATGCTGGAGGTACACGCATAGTGGGAGTAGGTGAGGGGCGGAAATGATGGATTACCGTGAAAGGACACAAGCAAAAAACCCAGAGTTTATTCATATCACTGTGCACACATCCAATAAGCCTATAGCTGAATATTTACCATTCACCAGAAAATAGTTAATTAAACCATGTAGCGCGATCGTCTGCGAGTCATTTTTATCTTGATATTTGAACAGCTGAACTGAAAAAATACAGAGTCCATGTAATATTTAGAGGTACAGAGATGGTGAAGGTCAAGACTGTACACTCGGGTCCTCCTCGTCTGCCCCCCCGGGGGCTCGACCAGCCTCAGAGACGTTAGTGACAAGCTCTCCTGACACGGACATGAAGCGTCTTCTTTACATTTTAAAGCCATTTCCGTGGCAGCTGTTCTTTAGAGGTCACGTCTATGCTGTTCAAACTAAACAGTGCTGACAGCTCACCGTCCATCTGCACCATCTCTCTGTGCATGTGTGTGTGTGTGTGTTTATTTGAGCACAAACAGAATAAGGCTGCTTGCAGCCAACAGTTGAGAAGAAAATGTCTTTTTACCTATCATGGGTTCGCATGAAGTCCCAGGATTTCTTTGTGCCATTCTGTGAAGGAATAAGACAAAATAAACAGCATATGTTACTACACAAACAGAACAATATTTGAATCCTCAAACACGGTGGTTGGACCAGAAAGTGTGAGTCCCGTGTGTATGCAGTGTAGCGCAACTTCTCGCTGCCATTGTTGTGTGAGACTGGTATGGCAGGATGTCAAACAGCACAGATTTATTTCATACAATTACTGTAAAAGCAATCAACTGCCCCGCCACTGATGACATGTTGAAGAAATATCACAAACCACACCCAACAAAAACATCGGCAGCTGCGACAAACACTGTACTGTTGAGTGTTATCGACTGAAGGTCAGCAAAGCAAATGGAAAGGAAACTTTAATTTAACTTTAGTGTTTGTAATTAGTTGGTTTTTGTGGCGCTGTGCACCAAAAAGTCTCAAATGGTATTTTGCGAATCCCGATATTTTAAAATTGAAGTAGTCCATATGCAATTTTGACGCAGTTTTAACTTTGAGCAGCCCTGGCTTACATGTCAGGAGCATCCTCGGAATTACAACTCCGAAAACTATCGAACTCGGTAATTGTTTTTGCATCCTCGGTCACGGAAAGGATCCAAAGCTCACGCTGCTGCTTAGTGGCAGGAAGAGATTCCTGATAGCGAATCACTAAAACATGTCCTGTAGTTTACAAAACACACGCAAGAGAAGTTGCAAAGCCTTTGAATGCCCTAAGGTGACATCAGCCGAACCCTCCTCCCGTACATTTCCAATCAAACCGCAGAGGCAGGCGTGACCAGGTCAAAAAGGCACACAATCACAATCAGTACATGACCTGAAGTATGTGGGCAATGTCACACACACACACACACACACACACACACACACACACACACACACACACAGTGAGATTGTCGGCTCATCGCTCTGAAGCATTAAGGGAAACTGGGGTGACAGCCCCGACGGCCCAGTTCATCGGAAAGGTGTTCACGCTTCAGGGTGCAAAACCGTATCGAGGGAAAATCCAAACGATGAAAGATATTATTGCGTCGTTGTCAGGGCTGCAACAACGAGTCGATGAAATCGATAAAATTTGATTATTAAAAGCGTTGGCAACGGATTTTATTATCGATTCGTTGTGTCGCACGATTATTACGTCACCCAATGAGACACCACTGTGTAAAAGACGACACGTGCGTGACACGTGAGAGCCCTGAAAGTGTGCTAATGGCATTGTGGGTAATCAGACACCGCTGTGTAAAAGACGACGATAATGACTGCATAATAAATGCCACTGTTGTATTATTTTTCAAATGTCACGTGTTCACGGATGGAATTGTCATCAATGCGTGTACAACGTGAACCAGCTGCAATAGCGTTTTGATGGCGCTCTTGATTATTTCAATTCAACATATTTGGCTTCACCCCCCCCCACCTTGCTGTCCGGCCGGCGTCCCACCCACCCGCATTGCCAGCCTGGCATCCCAGTACGTCACTGATATAACATAAAATATGTCTTTTCCTTTTTTCTTTTTTTAGTTGCATTAAATACTGCGTGTTTGATACATCTATGGTTTTGCATTGAATGATTCTAGGATGTAATCTATCTAATTGGATACTCTGTCTGGACCAGCTCCTTGTTGTAGAGCTGAAAATAATTGAGCCCATATCCCGAATCCTGCGGTTTGCATGAATGAGGTCTGACTGGAGCTCCAATCCCTTATATGAGCGATTGAATCCCTTATATTATTATGTTCAAGGAGCATTTTTGCAATGTGAATTTGCAAGTCTGTTTTAGAATAAAGGGTTGGAAAATAAAGTTTTTTAATGCTGTTTTTTTTTTATATCTGATTCATCGATTAATCAAAGAAATAATCGGCCGATTAATCGATTATCAAAATAATCGTTAGTTGCAGCCCTATACTGCGATGTTGTTTCCCGTATTGTTGAGGTGGCAACCGGAATCGGTAAATCAGGCAAAAGTCACAGTTAACGGGTCGGATGAAGTCGACCGGCAAAGTCATCGAGGTACGTGAGACCTCAAAGCCTTTTTAACTTTAATTCAGGAATCAGGAACATTTATTGCCTGAGTATATTAGACATACAGGGAATTTGTATCATTCACAGCATGTGAATCAAAGTAAAAACATAGAAAATATTCCTTTAACCACAGATAACTGCATATTCAACTGTATGAATATGGTAAAGTTGGCCTACATTTTCAATGCCCGAGGAAATATGGCCTTAATTCAAATTTGGGATACACCTCCTCTCCATCCACGAGCTCTTTCAGACGCAGCAGTGACATCTTCACTGGGACGGGCTTATGCTCGGCTACGACGGACGGGCCTTCATGTGTGCCAGTGACAAAATGGGAGGAGGCCGAATGGGCCGCTAATTACACAAAAGGTTGCAGCACAGGTTTGAGCTGCATGCGCCACCGCGCCAAAGAGCCACTTCCAGATCTGTATCTGAAAGGACATAACCCCCCCCCCCACACACACACAGCTTTCAAAGGACACTTCTAAATATTGCAATGCATGAGAGGGAATCACGCCGTAAAACATGAAAGTATGTGAATAGTGTGCGACTGAAATACAACAATACAGCACAATATCAACTCAAATCTTTAAAGTTGAATGAACTGCTCTCTTTAAAACGACAAAAATAATACAGGTCCACCAGGTGTTTACTTCAGGGCCACTCCTGTTAACCTCCGACGCATCGGACGCACAAACTGTGTCACATATACCTTCAAACGACAGCGCCCCAAGATGAAGCCAAGCTATTATCATGCCCCTCATGCGTCATTAACTCGGATGTTGTGGCGTGAAATGAGCGTGTGACGCAAATGTTGTGTAGGCTCAGTTGTGTTATTGCTGTGGTATCAGTCCTACAGCGACGCTCAGTGAATGAGCGGAGCAGGTCCGTCAGCATTCCTAGAGCAGGATGTTGATTCACCCACTGCTCGTCTGCGCCTTTTATTTGATACACGAGTTTTGATTAAGTCCCTCTAGCTGTCCCAGTCGAGCAGCATGCGTACAGACAGGACGTCGCCCTTCATGTTAACCTCGCCCCTTGAAATTGGACCCTCTTGCTTGCACATATACATATATATATATATATCTATATATATATATATATATATGTATGTTTAGTACCAGCGGATGATGGGTGGTGAGAAAAGCTGATAAAAAAAGAAGAAAAAAGTCAATTAGGAAAAATATAAGAGGAAAGTAAGCCATCAAGTGAGTAGAAACCGGTTAGAACTAAAATAAATGAAAATAAACTTGAAAAAAAGCAGGTACCAACAATACCTGGGTAGGTAATTCATAAATATATTGCAAATAACTAAGCAATGATTCATTTCGCTCATCAAACATCAAAATGGGGGATTTATTTTCGACCTACTGTACGACCCACTAACGTGCGTGCACACACGCACGCACGCTGCCTCTGTTGTGTCCCGTCCCAGCTCACAGATGGTGGGGTTCCCCTCATTACCGGGGCCACTTGCTGAGAGAAGGGGGGCGGGGAAGGCCTGAATGGCCCAGGGGAGACAGAGAATCATGGCCGACATGGATTACTACAGAGAGATTAGCCCGTGGGGAGGGAGACAGAAAGACAGCGAGGGAGGAAGGGAGGGAGGCAGCGAGGGAGCGAGGAAGCAGGAACGCTGCTACACGGGACCTTGGAATGAATGTGCTCCCTTTGGCTTTGGGCATCAGAGAGGACAGACTCCTGTGTGAATGGCTATTGTAGAGTGGGATGTATGGTCTTTTAGGTGCTTAAGGTCTAATAACCATCTCTCTCACTCACACACACACACGCGCACACACACACACACACACAATAAAGCCGGCAGCTGCAGCAGAAATAAGAAAAGAAGAAAAAAAATACCGTCCTCAAATACAACAGCACTTTGAATCTCATGTGCTCTGCAGTCTTTTGTTGTTGTATTATTCTGGTTCTCGCTGTAGTCTCGGTCCTCCCCACCAGCATGAACAACGGCAGAAAGGCCATCACACACACACACACACACACACACACACACAGACACACACACACACACAGACAGACCAGTGAACTAATGGCCGACCGGGTTGGGAAAGGACAATGACAGAAAGCACCTGCGCAGAAGTGATCGACCGGTTGCCGATCCGCCACGTTGGAGCGAGCCGGTGAACGTCTCCTGTGCACGAGCGCCAGATCTAGTGGAGGACACACACCCATGTGACCGCGTCCCTGGGGTGAAATCCACAGAGAAGCATGTAGACCTCAGATCACATCAAGTCAGCTCACATGTTGGAGTCCCTCCGATGCAAAGTGACTACCCGCAGGGTGTTTCTGCCTCATCCACAGTTTACTCGCGGTTTTCACTGAACGGCATCGATGATTATTATTTCAGACTTGCAGTTCATCAACAACATTTTAGGTAATAGTGGATGTGTGGATTCATGATAAAAGAACATACAGATATATGTTTCCTGATCCTGATCTTCTGTGTGCTGCATCATTGGTTGAAATTAAATCACTGTAAAGAATTTTACGATATTTTTTTTTTCCGACCACTTCCCTTGAGTTCTTCAGACGGAAAGTCCTTCGACGCCAAATGATAAGTTAATAAATTACCTCATCAAATTACGTTTGAAAGAAACATGATGATGAATGGATGATGCTTTTGAGACAGAAGGGAAAATGTGCATTTTTAGGTTGAACCAGCCTGTTTTTAAAGTGTGAATTCCAATAAAACTTTTTGGTTAGAGTTTCTCACATGTGATAAATGATACTGAAATACCCGACCCTAAATCAAAGTGTTAAAACATTGTCCCTCCCTCTATTGAACTCATCTTACTGCCGTGAATCCAGCCTGAGCCTATAAAGGTAGTGTGTGTTTCTTAGATCACCATAGATCTCATGGTCATTGATGGTCGGGGCCCATGCAAGTTAAATCATTCCAGATGAATAATTCAACTCATTATAATGAATAAATGGAGGTAATTATCCTGCTCCAAGTAGGGACCCGTGACGAGGCGACGCCAATAAGAGGGGTGTCCCAGAGTCAACGGGGGACAATCACCTGCCTTGTGGAGAGAGAAGACAAATTCCCAGCAAACACTAAAGATGAAGAGGACATCATCCACTCTAAGAGTACGCAAATACGTTTCTGATGGTGACCAATGGCTGAGCTGCAGATGCAGCCACTAACACGAGAGGTTTTCGGGGAAGAGATGCTCCCTTGGTGCGGCTGAAAGGCCTTTGTGGGGGGGGGGGGGCTTCCCCGAGCTGCATGGAGAGATGACGAGGATGAAAGGGAGGACAGGACGGAGAGGGAGTCATGTCCTTTGTTGTCCATCTGCTGTCTTAGCCGTTCCGCCGTTCTCTTGACAAGCTTAACCCCCCCCCTGACCCTCCCACCCCAGTGCTGTCACAGGTGTAGCCCCCCTATGAAGAAAAAAGAAACTCCTCAATGAGCTGGCCGCCACATGAGTGCCTTGCTAACTTGAGTTATCGGATTGAATTGAGAGCAACGCTACAAAAGAGCCCTTTGTTTATCAGTAAAAACACTCCACTCTGAACAGTGCAAATAGCATTTAACTCGCATGTGACATAATCAGTGAAATCATGTTGAATAACATCTTTCTGTCATCTACAGCGTGAGTTAGGTGTCGTTAGAGCGAGTATTACTATGACACATCTTCTGCACCACTGTCATATGCTGATTTTACAAACAGGAGCCAAGTCTTTAACGCAGGAAAGAGATTCTGCACAAATGTTTTGAAACCCAAAATAAATTCATCCTGGACTGCAGGCTATGTTTGGGTGAGGAGGCATTTCTCACTTTGCTGCAGACCATCAGGACACACAGTCACACTTTTCTTTAAGCATATCATTTAAAATATACATATGTCTTTACGTCATCATAAACCTATAAAACATGGATGAATAAAGCATTACAACACTTCAGTCATGTTCCAAGATCACAAGATCATGCTTTTCAATTTCCATTCTGCAGTGAACAATATTGAGAACTTACAGGAAACCACTGAGGCAGCTTATATGAAACGTTGACAGCTTTTGATCTCCTGGGATAAAAAAGATGTACAGTTAACGAGATTTCGGTCACAGATTATTCACTCTACCCGGCCTGATTGCCACCATGACCTGGATAGGCAGCTAAAAATGAATAGTTGGGAAGATGAAAAGATAGATGGATATAGCTTTACGTCCACCCAAACGTCCTTCAGGATGCATTATTTGCCCATTTGAATCTAACAAGGAAGGACTTTTGAAGGTATACAGAAACACTACAAAAGCAAATAAGATTGATTTGTAATACACAAAAATTAGAATTTTTGTGGCATTTGAAACTGTGAATTAAAAAATAGTTAATTTTATGATCGAAATTGTTTGTACAGTGGATCACAATCTTCTTGACATCTGCATCACAAAATAATACCACCTTCAAGAGATCAACAGATCATGTCAAAATGAACCACATATCAGCCCGTGTTCCAGTGTGGCGTTTAGCATCTCTGACCTGCACTTTCCCATTAACATTCATTAAGACAAGTTGCACCTCTATAAATAACGCGCAGGACTTCAAACAGCGTTCCGCACACAAATGGGGAATTCATCTCAATGCAAAACGTGGACCGTCGAACCTTCTGACCTACAGACAACATGCCCGCATTCACACACAAGTCCCACCAAGTCCCCGTGTCCCGTAACACGGCTCAGCACAGTTAACTAAATGCACGTCCTGTGCTAATGTGAAGCATGCGCTAACGTTAACGTGATGCTCCATCCCTCCTCCTCCTCCCCCTCCCCCTCCCCCTCCTCCTCAGCAAGCTAGCTACCGTTAGCTTGCTAGCTTGTAGCTGCCTCCATTAGCTGCTCCGGTTAGAGTCAAACGCGGAAACACGCCGCACGGGGAAAAAACAAAGCGAATGCGATTGGTTTAGTGACTGCGATTAAAGCAACAACAATTGTGGTGGTACTCGTGTGTGTTTAAGGTCAGTTTAGCTTTCATGTTATGCTAGGATGCTAGCAGCATAATGAATGGGGGGTGGAGGGGGGGGTTGGGCTGCTAGCCTACAGCATCCAGCCGCCTGTATCTACCGTTATCACACAGAAATGACTCACCTGGTTATAATGCACCCGGAACGGTTTCAGGTAATCGGACTCTGTGCACGGAGTGACTTCAATGTTATTAATCTCTTCCATAGTTTACAATTGCAGCTGGATGGTCGGCTCACCGATGGGAATCTGTCACCACACGCTAACTGACAGTGAAGGAATGTCTACGGGAGCCGGAAGAGGACATGAGGCTGAGGTCGGCATGAGGTGGAAAGGATGTTACGAATGGAAGGCAGTTCATTTGATTTTTAGTAACTTTCTTAGCATACAGTAGGTCGGATAACAACTTAGAAGTATGATTTTACAATAATTAGGGTTATAAATATGAATTCTTGTAGAAACCTTTACTTGTGGTGCTGGAATGTATTCAATCAACTTCAAATTAAAATCACCTTGTAACTAAGTGGGCTGCCTTTACTAACATACATAATGTACTTTACATAAGTCCTTTTGTGCCTCTTTATAGATAAATATGTATATTTTGTGAGGTGAATACTGAACCGTTTACTCCATTGGATGTATTTGACAGCTGTAAATATAGATTATTGATATCAAATAAATAATTTAATTTAGAGGACGTATAGGTTAAGCAATCAAGGAGTACATAAACTAATTAATCATTCTACCTTCATTAGCTGAAATACTAAATTAATACACAAATGTACAGTAGTGCTCAATTTCTTTAGCAACTCAGACATCATCATTTAACGTTGATTCTTATGGTTGTGCTTGTTGTTATTGATTATTAATTGATTTTGGGAGCTTATTCCAATGTGTTGTATTTGTAAAGGACCTTTTAATGCCCAATATATAATACATATAAATCCTGACGCACGCTCACTGTGCTGAGCACACATAAGAGATGGGTGTGGGCAGCTCTTTCTCACCAACCTTGCCTTGAAGGGTGAGGCTGCATGATGTCATGCCCTCACATCAATAACAGCCTTATAATGGAAAAGGATCTGCAGAGCTCCAATCTCCACGGGGCGGACTTCCTCCAACAAATGAACCCCGTCCACCACCCACTACACAAGGACAGGACGTAACACTTATTGAGAGCCGATTTACATCTAAATAAATACAGGCCCAGACGAAACAATGTGTCCGGCGTCTCTCCACTGGGCCAGTCCAATTCAAACTGCCCGATCAGGCCAAGCTGCAGGACACGATAAGACGGAGGAGTGTGTGTGTGTGTGTGTGGGGGGGGGGGGGTTCTGCAGAGTTGAGGTATTGTGCTGGAGTCAACCAGCTCTGGTTTACAGAACACAAAAAAACAAAAAAAACAAGGGTTTTTAATTATTTTAAGCCATAAAGAAAAAAAGATGAAAGAATTTTTCCTGTTGTCAAAACAAGCATTTGTCACAAATTACGGTTTCGTAAAGGTTATTTCTGGACAACGACTACCAAATACCAACTTTTTCCTTATCACCTTGACAAAGCAATCACTAGTAAATTGTTTAAACCATCTTCAAAGGGTTTCAACATAAATCTGAAGAGTCTCGAGATGAATAATAGAAACGGAAAGAAGTTAAACAAAGCTTTTGTAAATAGCTTTTTTCTTTGTGATATATTAGGTGATATTTATGGGATAGTTTTTGCTAGAAAAATAGGTTTAGAGACACTGCTTTGAACTTCTACAATACACTGTATTTAATAATCTCAGTGACTGGATAAAGAGGCATGCAAGGATTTTAAAATCATATAGTTAAGTACAACACTTGAGTCACTTCTATTTGGGGTTTTTATTAAAAATATCCATGCTTTGAAAAAAACACCGTGGCATGAATTTGGAAGTACATGTAAAGCTCTTTCAGCGCATTCTGCAGCAGAAACATTAAACTTCATCCACATAGAGGACCGTCCTGACACCCATCCCTCTCTTGGGCCTCATTCTAACCCACCCACAAAAAATCTTATCAGCTCTTTAGGCACCCGTGACGTGTTAATCTCACCCTTCCAAAAACACGCAGGTGAAGGCTCATTGCAGTCGTGACCAATTACCGCCCGCATGCGCCTGATGCATGCCAGACTTCTCCCGGCTCAGCTCATCGGCAAACCTGGAGCCTCCTGGAGCCTCCTGGAGCCAGCAAATCCTCACTTCCTGTCTGTCTTCTCTGTCTTTTTATGTCTTTATGTACTGTTTGGAAATTGTGTCCATCTCACTTTCATTTTTCTACTAGTTTGTTTCTTTAAATCATAAAGTCTGCTGGGATTGTACCACAGTTAATAATAAGCACTTGACGCAAATCAAATGATCAATAGTTACCTTATTTATATGTGATAAACTCTTAATGATGGGTATTCTAATTTTGTTTGACTTTGGTGGTGGTTTTGTTGTTTGGGAATATTTGGACTAACTCTTAACTCTCCTTTGGTCTATCCATAGCATAGTTTATCAGCCGGGGTCAAGCATGGATTTGGGCCAGGGGCTCAGGGAATGCACTTAACCAAGGTGGCTGCTGTACCTCTGTTAGCGGCCTCAGCGTGTGGGTCGCGATAGCCAGCATCCTCTGGCCCCGGCCCGCCGCTCGGCTTCTCCGGGAGACGCTCCTACATCCTCTCGTGCGAGCTCGGATTTCAAAATAGTGGCGTGTGTCTGAGGGGCTCTCGATAACGCAGCCCCCCGCTGTTTGGTGTTTGGTGTAAAACATGAAGGTGACAATGTCTCACTTTAAAATATATTAATATTATAAAACAACTTTTAAAAGAATGGAAAACAAACATTTTATACAGATATTTAGTCTGGAATCGAGTCATACTTGAAGTTGATGAATATTTCTACATTACATACATGAGCAGTGTTTTGGCTCCTCTAAGCTCATTGTTTGGGTCCAATGAGTCATTTTGGTTTTGGGTTAATATTGGACTTGACATGTGACAGAAGGCACGACGGGAGCCGATCCCAGCTGCCGGGCTGGGAGGCGGGTTCACAGGCCACCGGTCAATCACGGGGCTGACACATAGAGACAAGCCGCCATTCACATTCACACCTACGGACAGTATTACACTCATCCTATCACCCTATCCTGCGTGTCCTTGGTGCTGTGGGAACTGCTGAATGCACCTGTGTGAAAACAATATTACTGCTTAGTCAATGTCAGGTCATCTGTAGGTCAGCAAGTAGGAACCCTAAAAGACGTTTAGATTGCTTGTGAAGACTTGCGCCGACATCTTTTATGTCGGCGCTTTTTTAGCGTGAAAAACGTAAATAGATGAAAACGTATATAAGCAATGAATGTTCCAAAAGTTAGAATAAGGCTGCTTCATAACATATAACATATAAAGTTAGACAACGAGGTCGGCTTTGAGGCACATTGTCTGACCAGTCTGCTTCAGTCGTATTTTCTCTTCCTTCAACCAGCATGATTCAACCCTCAAGGCCGTTTTGGTGGAAACGCTCCTCCGTCAGGCCCTTATATTTTTAGGATGAGCTGTTATTGTTCTGGTCCCTTGTATTTCGTGCCCCAGGATGCGTTTCCCTGAACGAGGTCAGGATTCCTGTTTTGTCATCATTATTGTACCGGAGAATAGTGCACTCGCCCACAATGCTGTCTTCTTTCGCCGGGGTTCATGGCACTTGTTTGTCTTCCATGGATACAAATAGACCTGAAATGGAATTTGGCTGAAGTTAAGGGAAGCTATTGGGGCAGAGAATAGTTTGGAATCAATTGAACTCATATTGAAGTTACCCTGAAGTCCTTTCCTATGGATGGACCAGTGGACAAAAAGAAAGTCCTTTAAAAGGAATTCCTTTCTTTCTCCAAATCCCAATGACGCATCATAACTAATATTATAATTAATGATAATTCAGATGCCTGTAGGGTTCAGACAGCAGTTTTTCCTGCAGGACAAGTGACAACTTGGACATCTTGGGCACATTTCTGAGAGAAGAAAGAACAACTAACTCTGAGCCATCAGTACTACTTAGTGAGCTGCACTCTGGCATACCTGCACACACACACACCATTATCTCCACACGTTGAGAATATTTATATACTCCTTTGTATTTTCCCTCCTAATGAGATGCAATATGTCCTCGCAGAAGTTTAAAAAGAACCTCTGGACTGGGTGGTTTGTGAGGCTTTTGGGGCCATTGAAGCTTGATACTATGGGCCAGCTGCTGTGTCCCCCTGCTGAGAAGGAGCCCATTTTAACAAGGCAGGCCTATTGTCTTTTGCCAAGAATGACCATAGAATGTGGCAACTCCCTGGGTCACACAGTGTTTACCAGCGCGCGCGTGTGTGTGTGTGTGCGTGTGTGTGAGTGTGTGTGTGTGTGTGTGTGCGCTGGTCATCGGGGTGAGCGGTGGGACGCGGCTGTGGTTGCTTTCATTCGCATCACCATGGGAGCTCATGCCATCAGAGCTAATTACCTTCCTGGAAGGACCAATTAAGACACCCTCTAATGCCTCCACAACATGAATAGGACGGGGGGCCGAAAAGTGACATTTGAAGTCGACCGTGTGGAGAGACGGCTCTGTGTGTCGCTGCTTCAAGATGCAAATACACGGGCGAACAAACACAAACATTTAAACTCATTTGGGGTTCGTAAAAGCACAACAGCTTCCCATATTATAACATCCAGCACAAAGTACTTTGTTGGGATCGCAACATTTTCTGCGTAATAACGCCAATAAATCTGATCAAATTTTTTTTTTTAAATCATGTTGTAAACAAGTATATTCTCTATGTTGTGCAGTGGCTGATTTGAATAAACAATAGGAATCCACTGAATCAGTGGGACCTGGCAGGCTAGTTGCTGTTCTCTGAGCTCGTAGTGAAGTTTTTACGAGAAGTGAAAGAACAAATCCATCGTGTTTTGGATGCCGTACGGCTCTTTCCTCGGGTGCTGCTGAGAAAACCCAAACTATGAGTGAAGCTGTCACAGCTGCACCACAGCAGCACTGTGAGATCCCTCTGAGACATGGATTCGCTCTGTGAACAAGCGTGGTCACCGAGGCCACAGGAAGGGAGGAACAATGGGGCTGGGTTGCCTCAGACTGGAGGTGTTGGCAGCTTGTCGTTACAGTTAAAGCGATGGTTGTCGGTAGACTTGAACTCTGACCTTTTTTAAAAATACACATGAATTAACAAGTGCTAATGGGCTTCTGCACATCCACACGCTGAACTAAAAAAACCTATCGTATTCTTGACGAAGTGAATCAAAGTCTTTTGTCTCTTTCTTTAGCCGGAGGCTAATTCTACTAATGGGTCACTTTTTACAATATAAATTGTAATTTATTTATACATTGATGTATACTTCTAAAAGTCTGGCTAAGCATCGCATACACAGTAAAGCCAAACTGCGCCGCTCCCAGAATGTAGCTGTGGGCGAAGTTATATTCATATGATTATAAGTAGAATGTCAAAACCGGTATTTATGTCCTAGAGTATTAAATCATTATCTAAGCAGGTGAATGCTGCCACGCCAGGTGCTTTTGCTTCTAATCTTATTTCTAGAGATGAAAATAAAAAACCCTCCCTGCTGATGTCACTGGAAGACACTGATGAGGTTACTCAGGTGAAATACTGCTCCTGGGTCTGTTGATAAACGGATTGGGACCAGCTTGCTTCAGGCCAAATGTTCCACTTTGCAGAATTAGACATTTGAACTACTGCCATATATTTTCATCTAAATCCCAATAAACACGAGTGAAATTTGTCACTCAGAAAAGTGTTCCATCGATTCATTTCATGTCATGTGGAAATGATGTTTACATTATTTGGCAATAACTGCAATGTATGTTTTATCAAAATAGATGGATTTTACTTATTGTTTCATTCCATTTAGTTGTTTGAATCCAGACTATAGTGTATCCGCCCGTACAGTCCGTCTCTGTCTCTGATCCAGATGCGATGGTGACTTTGCTGTTTTACAGGTTCCACTTTTATGTAAGATGATACATTACATTGTTATCCATAGTAGCAGCATTGCTGTAATGATGCCAACGTGTTTATTAATGTACAGATATTCGGGGTTCCCAAGGGATGAATCCTTAAGACTGATCCTGTGACTTTTTCCTGTTGGGCCGCCGACTAGTTTTAGGTGAAATTTCTTCTCAACTACTGCACATTGCCATAAAACTTGTGTCTGCTAAAACTGAACTATCTCACCTCACATGGTAATGCAACTTATACTAATTTAGTATATTACGAACCGCTATAAAAATCCCCCCAAATAACACATTTACACACACACGCACACACACACACTGCTATGTCTGCTTTTATTTACAACCCTGCCATCACTTGGTTTATAGGCAACTGGAATTAAAACCAACGTTTGTATTGTGTCCTCATCTAATGAATGATTCAGATTCACATTGGAAATTAGGATGAATTCTTCGGCGCATCGATTGAAACTGAATTTGAGTCGACCCCCGGGCTGAGGTCAGGACACCCGAACGCTACTTCGGCCAAACGTAACCCCCCCCCACCCGGACGCTCCGCGTGTCCTCTATCGGGTTTGACAGCAGCCGTTGTGTTCTGGGGGAGGGACGGAGGAACTCGTGTCCCTTGACGGCTCACTAGAGGGTGACGGTTTGGAAAGTCCTCTTTGACCTTTGACGTCGAGGCTCGAGGAATGGACAGTCCCCCCTTCCCTCTCCCAGCACCCTCTCACAGGCTTGTTTCTGGTTGTTTGACCTTTCAAGTGACCTCTGGACACTGTCCACGTCAGTCATGTTTTGGCTGTTGCCTGTGACCTGTGAGACCGGCGGGTAGATGCCACCGTGTTTATGTGAGATCAATAAAAGGCAGAGAGTCTACACAGATGAGGCTCCTTTGTTTGATGGCGAGGTGCAGCTGCTCGCTGCTGAAGGATTACACGGCGTCCATTAGCCCTCCATCTATAAAACACAAGGAAATAAAAGAAAATCCACCTGAGACCAAGTGTGATTTTATGTTGCTAAACTGTGCTGCACAAAAGTATTTGTCATGAGCAGTTTATTGTCAGACAACTATAAAAATACATATCTTCCAGGGTTATTCAGCGCTTCACAAACTCAAAATCCCAAAAGGACACTTAGATAAATCCCAAGAGTCACAAGATTATTAACCTTATTAGGAAAGAACAGCTATTTTAGTCAGAGTTTTGTCATTTGGTTCTAGTGAAGAAACAGTGGCTCAGCTGCTCAACGACGTCCACACAAGTGGCGAGAGGCCGTAAGTAGACATTGCTTTAAGAGGTCACAACTCGAGGTGTGTGTTGGATACTCTGCATGTGTCACAGACCCACGGCGCCCTCTAAAGCACAGCCGCAGCATGACGTTTTTCAGCGAGTAGCACACGAATGCCACACAGAAGAGTTACAGTGCTTTGCGAAAGTATTCGGCCCCCTTGAACTTTTCAACCTTTTGCCACATTTCAGGCTTCAAACATAAAGATATAAAACTGTAATTTTTTGTGAACAATCAACAACAAGTGGGACACAATCATGAAGTGGAACGAAATTTATTGGATATTTCAAACTTTTTTAACAAATAAAGAACTGAAAAATTGGGCGTGCAAAATAATTATCCCTTTACTTTCAGTGCAGCAAACTCTCTCCAGATGTTCAGTGAGGATCTCTGAATGATCCAATGTTGACCTAAATGACTAATGGTGATAAATAGAATCCACCTGTGTAATCAAGTCTCCGTATGAATGCACCTGCTCTGTGATGGTCTCAGAGGTCTGTTTAAAGCGCAGAGAGCATCATGAAGAACAAGGAACACACCAGGCAGGTCCGAGATACTGTTGTGGAGAAGTTTAAAGCCGGATTTGGATACAAAAAGATTTCCCAAGCTTTAAACATCCCAAGGAGCACTGTGCAAGCAATAATATTGAAATGGAAGGAGAATCAGACCACTGCAAATCTACAAAGACCCGGCCGTCCGTCTAAACTTTCAGCTCAAACAAGGAGAAGACTGATCAGAGATGCAGCCAAGAGGCCCATGATCACTCTGGATGAACTGCAGAGATCTACAGCTGAGGTGGGAAAGTCTGTCCATAGGACAACAATCAGTCGTATACTGCACAAATCTGGCCTTTATGGAAGAGTGGCAAGAAGAAAGCCATTTCTTAAAGATATCCATAAAAAGTGTTGTTTAAAGTTTGCCACAAGCCACCTGGGAGACACACCAAACATGTGGAAGAAGGCGCTCTGGTCAGATGAAACCAAAATCGAACTTTTTGGCAACAATGCAAAACGTTATGTTTGGCGTAAAAGCAACACAGCTCATCACCCTGAACACACCATCCCCACTGTCAAACATGGTGGTGGCAGCATCATGGTTTGGGCCTGCTTTTCTTCAGCAGGGACAGGGAAGATGGTTAAAATTGATGGGAAGATGGATGGAGCCAAATACAGGACCATTCTGGAAGAAAACCTGATGGAATCTGCAAGAGACCTGAGACTGGGACGGAGATTTGTCTTTCAACAAGACAATGATCCAAAACATAAAGCAAAATCTACAATGGAATGGTTCACAAATAAACATATCCAGGTGTTAGAATGGCCAAGTCAAAGCGCAGACCTGAATCCAATTGAGAATCTGTGGAAAGAACTGAAAACTGCTGTTCACAAACGCTCTCCATCCAACCGCACTGAGCTCAAGCTGTTTTGCAAGGAGGAATGGGCAAAAATGTCAGTCTCTCGATGTGCAAAACTGATAGAGACATACCCCAAGCGACTTACAGCTGTAATCGCAGCAAAAGGTGGCGCTACAAAGTATTAACTTAAGGGGGCTGAATAATTTTGCACGCCCAATTTTTCAGTTTTTTTATTTGTTAAAAAAGTTTGAAATATCCAATAAATGTCGTTCCACTTCATGATTATGTCCCACTTGTTGATTCTTCACAAAAAATTAGTTTTATGTCTTTATGTTTGAAGCCTGAAATGTGGCAAAAGGTCAAAGTTCAAGGGGGCCGAATACTTTTGCAAGGCACTGTATAATGACAGATGTTGACATCTGTCATCTCAACCGTTGTCACGCTTCTTTCCTTTTAAATCAGTAGAAGTCATCTCCCGGTTAGTTTCAATAATCACACAATATCTGACTTAGAAAATGTCCCATTCGGCAAAGGGATTTTTTATTATTAGAAATTGATTAATTGCTGAAACAGTTCAACATTCATGTTGCAGACACGCAGATGAAGGAGCGACTATAGCATGAAACCTGCAGATTAATCTTCATTCAGCTAATGCATTCGGGGAAAAGAAAATCAGTTAAGCAAACAATAACACATGTTTAACCAGGTTTGGTCTTGAATGACAATGTACAACAAATTCTTTTCTCAAAAACCAAGAAGTTTTTAGAGCATTGATAAAGACAACATTAAGGGAATATATATACACATATGTTCAGTACTGTACAAAGTTACAGCAAAATGGGACTTTTATTTATAAACTGTAGGCAAAACCTATGGAAGAGACAAAAGGACTAATGCGCATTCTTTCCAGCCAGATGACAGAACTAATGCAACTCACATGAACAACCTAAAGTAGACACTGTAGCTGTATCACATTTAAATTCTTATCCAAGATCCAAATTGTATGTATTTTATTTAGATATCTTCACCTTAAAGATTGCAATTAATGACATCCAGCAACACATGCTACACACAAGACAGGAGCTGTTGCTAAAACGGATTGCCTGTATTTTTTACTGCACTTTTTATTTATTTGTTTATTAAATGGCTTTAAAAAGATTAACACATTTTTAACAAGACTTTGTCAAACATCCATACTGTACAAAAGTTTGAAAATAAAACGATTGCAATACAAATTCCTGGTCTCAACAGAGCAGATCGTCATGAATCCTTTTGATGATCTTCGTCAGGACGTTCTTGGCTGGACTGAACGAGGACACAATTTCCTCGATCTGCTGGATTCTGCAAATTAAAACAAATATATATATCAACCTAAACAGCGTCCAGTTAGCGCTGCGCTTACGTAACAGCAGCAGTGACACAACCCTGAAGGGACCAACCACACCGGTTCCTTTCTCGAATGCAAATGTCCGAGCAGCACAAACTTCTGAGCAGTGACCTCTGCTTCGCTGTGTGCAGGTTCTCGGACCTCATTTTCCATCGACACCAATGAAGTGGGATTTATTCCTAATAACTTGACGGAGAATGTTGCTGCTTACAAATGAGTTTGTCTGATAAAGTTTGTTGGGAGCTTTAGGCTGAAGGAAACTTTATGTGTCACCACTTTTGACCAAGAAACGCAATCAAAGAAGCACTTACATAATGTTGAAAAGCACATTTCCCAACGCCCAAGAGCCAGGAAAGTACAACTTACATGTTGATACCCAACGTATATTTCAGTGAAACTTACGTTGTGTTTCCGATGACGTTTTTGAAGCTCTGTACTTGAAGCACATAGAGGTGGTTGACCAAACTGACGGAGAAGATCACTTCAAACTTAGAAAAGGCCTTGAGACGGCTGAAGACAATGTGCACTCTAGAAGGAGAGACAAAGGACGGATGTCATACGCTGTGATGGGAGCCTTTATTCTGCTCATTTCGCCTTACAGACCGCCGTACTGGCCGTCTTCTCACCGAGTGTCCAAACAGCTGATGTGGAGAATATCGAGCCTCAGACCTCCCCACAGTTCCAGCAGACGCAACTCCTCCCCGAGCAGACGACAGCGACTCACCACCAGGCCGACGTCGTGGAGCAGCTACACACACACACACACACACACACACACACACACACACACACACACACACACACACACACACACAAGCAGCTCAGATCAATGGGTCACATTTACCGTGTAAATCGTTATTTCCACCAAAAGTAGAGCACAAATATGAGAGTAAACACGTTGACAATAAACACGATGAGTAGTTGCATCTGCAGACGTGCCCCTCCTGCGATAAATGGAGCAAATCTGCGTTCACGGCTACCTTTGGAACGTGTCTGCTCGTTGGATACTTCTCCGCCCAGTCGCCTTCTCCCTCGATGAAGTCGGAGAGCAGTTTGTGGACGAGGCGGGCGTGGCCCTGGGACTTCTCATCTAACGAGGAAACAAAATGCACAATAGCGCTTTTATCCTGTTCTGTAAACAGGAACGTCTCCAATGCTCAGCATGCGGCTTCATTACAAACACCACGCAGCCAGTAATGAGGCCACAGTGGTTTTTAGTCTCTGCAAACTGAAGTGCTCCCACAAGCTTACAGCCAGGTGCAGGTGTGTAGATGAGAAGGAGACATGAATCCAGGTTTAAGCTCACGTATATCCAGACACAATATTCATCACACATGTTCTGACATGTCACACTGCTTTCTGTATCGTCTTTTCTTACCATCAAGTTGAAGTTTAAATGTGAGGTGTGAGATTTTCCTCTCAGACTGATTACTGGAATCTTTTCCTTAGAGAGAAAAAACAATAATGAAAAAAACAAATTTACTTTTTGGAAAACTACATCAAAAAAGGAAACTTTGCTGTCTCTATTTTCAAAATCACTTTTCACTCAATGTCTGACAAGTGCACAGCCGCCATGTCTCCCTCACTGTGAGGCAGTTCCTGAAATGAATGTGGATTAGTTTGGCTAGAAGCGACATCCTTGTGGACAGCACACTAATTCTAATAGAAACCGTATGAATGCTGTCCGCCATGCGTAAGTCGTACAAGCTTATCCAAAGTTTAAAAACTATTTCCTGCTCAGTCTTTAGCCTGTGGAGGTCCAATTACCACTGGAGTCTTCATACAGCAGCTCCAGATGCACGGTCTTGTGGAGGAAAGTGTAGGTGGTGCCGTTGTCGGTCTTTTCAGCCAACTTCCATTCATTCACCCTGAGGGAAGACATGCACAAAAAGCTTTTTACTTTAACATCACTGATACGATAGTGGTCCGTGGCTACAGCCTTTTGTAAATTAGGTCCTACTCGTCCTGACTGGATACTTAAGGTATGAAAACTCATTCAAATGAGGAACTGACATATGCAGCACGCTGACGTGGCTCTCGAGCTTCATCGTTTCAGCTTTCAGCCTCTTCAGTTCTTTGGAGTTCTGCGTCTTCTGCAGCTCCAGTTGAGATATTTGTCTGTGGCAAAAGCAAAATAATTAATATTTAAAGTGCCAAAACATTAAAAAAGAAGATGCAAATTCATATTCTCGACTCACTGGTCATTATCGGCCAAAGCCTCAGAAACCTTTTGCATTTCTGTAATAAAAAAAGCATGATCAAGTATTCAATTCAGCCACATAAAATGAATATTTATAATAATGAAAAGGTATTACGAGTTACCTTCTTGACGTGATTTCAGACTTGGCTTGTCTTCAAAGCCCTTTTCTTCAATTGCAGTAAGTTCTAGAAGACGGGAAAAACAGAGCGAGTGCTCCATCATCACATCCACACCAATAATGACCCAAATGGTCTGAATCATGGACCAGTCATACAGAGAAGGTGGCATAATTTTCTCACAACAGCATACCGGTTTCTAACTCCTGAATACAGTCATCCAAACTTTTTAGCATCTCATCTGCTTCCTCGATTGTTCTTCTTGACCTCTGCTGCTCCTCCTGAGAAGATGAGAATTATCTTTAACCTTACGTGTTCTCATAAGATCCAGGATGTTGTAATTCAGTGCTCCTGTGTGTGGAGGCTCTTACCCGGTTAGCCTGCAGAAGCTTTGAGTACAACACTTCCTTCATCTCATGGGACTGAACTTTGCTCATCCTTCTGAAGACGTTATTTCTCTCTTTTAGTTTTGCACCAAAGGATTTGAACTGTGAATTCAAAACAAACAAAGAGGCTCAGGAGACTGTAAATGTGTCCCGTGAGTGTCCTCCTAGTAACTAAGTGCAGTCTGACACAAAATACACCGGGTTGTCCTTTCATACCTCTTTCTCTGAAGAATTTCTCATTTCTTCCCACAAAGGTCTGTTAACAATCTTCAGGGGCTTTTCCAGGTCCCACATTCGCTCTTTCAGCCTGAGAAGAGGAAGAAATAAGTTAGATTTTAACTTCTTATAACAGGATCTCTCTGATGCGATGGTTGACCCGGCGTCCGCCCCCCCCGCAGCTGCCTTTAGCTCTGAGGAAAAGGGCAGCGACTGGTGGGACGATACGACGGCGCGTGTTATTTACACGCTCTGCCGGTCGGGGGAAGACCAAACTGCGAGGTTGAACGGCATACTGTAAGCACAGTGGCGAATGAGTGGCAGGAACGTAGGCGTACGCACCCCTCCACCTTTTCTGTGAGGCTGAGGACATCCGCCTCATAAACCCTCTGTTGAGGACGGAAGATGTGTCTGTCTTTCAATAAATCCATCAGTGTGCGATCCGTGTCCGACAAAGGCTGGAAAAATAAAAAAAGTTGTGTTACTACATTGGGCTGTTTATGTATATATGATACACATGTTTTAATATGAATGAAGGGGAACGTACACGGCCAGGAAAATTGCTTTGCCGAGGATTATTGATGATGAAGTCTATGTTGAAGAGTTTGAAGAACTCCAACACTGTAATGGTGCCATCATTGAGTTTCTGTAATCAGAGCATTAAGGGCAATAAATGACTGAATTAAAAAGAAGGAATATTTCAAAGATCTCTTCACAACACAGGTCAACAATATACCCTCTGTACATCATTGGTGTAGTCGTCAAGCTGAGATTCAAACATGCTTCGTTTGAGAGCTGGAAAAAGGAAAAACAATGATTGACTTTTTTAAACTAAAGAAACCCAATTATGGTTGATGATGCTGATGTGAATCCATAAGCACTTACTTGATTCAAAGGTAGCTTCACATCTGGTGCTGCTGATGGAGTAATCTGGGCTCGGTCCCGTCACGCTCGGAGCATTAGCAATGTAACCGTCACACTCCACAACAACAGGAGACTGAAAAAAGGAGCATTTCCTTTACATATACAAGAACTTTATGGTGCTATGGCATTCCCAGGTTAAATCAGTAAACTAAGACATGATCCATTATTTGAGAATTCACAACACGACCCACCGTTTCAGCATCGGCGGCCGCCTCGGTGGACGTTTTCGTTCTCTTTTTATCCTCCTCGTTGGTTTCATCTACTGCCAAAGGTCTCTTCTTCCCAGGGGCGGAACCAAGGAAGTCCAGTTCAAATGCATCATCCTCTAAAAGCTCGTCCATGACGAACCCGTGGGAAGCTTTCTCAATGGCTGCCTGAAGACTCAAGTCCAGCGTTTCCGACATATCCCCGTAGGTCACGAGCTCTTCGTCGTAGATGTTGTCGTGGTCATAGGCGCTCAGTTCATCAGTGACATTGACCGCGAGGGTCCTTGTACGTTCTCCCACGGGACTCTGCTTCTTCAGATCTTCCGGTTTGCCTCTTTGAGGGAGTTTGGCCTTGAAATTTCCCACCGACAGTCTCGACATCAGTTGTTTGGTCTTCAGGTTGAAAGGAGTACTGATGAAGGGCTGTTCTCCTTGCGTCAGAGTTGGAGCTTGTGTACTTTCTCCTGTGTTTGCCGAGCCAATTTCAGGTGGAGGCTCCTCTACAGGCGGGTGCTTGTCGTCGTTTGTTTTTTCGTCATGTTCTAGTCGAGGCACAGGTGCCGTGTAGGCGTCCGCGGCAAAATCAACAGGCACTGTGTGTATTATGTGGCTCAGGCGTCTTACTTTGGACTGAAGATCGGCCAAACTCATTCGCCTGGACCTCTGCGAAGTCGGCGAGGCAGTGCGCAGATTCTCCGTCTCGTGCAACAGAGGACCAGTTTGAGGTCTCGGTTCGCACCTGGCGCCGCTTTCATGCGATTGAAGAGAATCGTGGGGGTTTGTGATTTCCTCGCCGTCGGGTTTGGATGCTCCCAGCGCGTCACTGCTCAACTCTGGTGGGGAAGAAGGACACGGCAGTGGCTCGTCCGTTTCCCCCAAAATGCAGCCGGTCTGAGCTTCGGTCATGTGCATGTTTACGTCGTCGTCCATCATGGTTTTATTTACACTGATCTCTGCGGCAGCAGGAAGCAAAGATGGAGCCTCCTTTACGGTATCCACATCGGGACTCTGTGTTTTAACAGTTTTTATGGGGGACGGTGGAGGAGGAGCGACTGATCTGGTGACCACAGGATGAGCCCAGAGGACACTTGTCTTACATAGAGACTTTCTAAAAGCCGGATCCACAGCATCGGCCGTCTTTTCTGCCGTTAAAGGATAATTCATGTTTTCATGGGTGGGTAAAATGTCAGCATCTCGGTGTGGAAGTGAATCGGACGCTGGAATGTGGTCAAAATGCACACTGAGGAACTGGGTCATATCCATCGCAGCGTCAGCAGAGGAGAACCTTACTGTTTGCTCCCAGCCAGCCGGTAAGGAGCCCGTGTTTGGGTCGGACTGTGGTTCAAAGCTTTTGGCGATGTTTACGGTGTGACAGCTCGTCACATCCATAGCGGCGTCGGATGCAGTGAACCTCACCGTCTTCTCCCCACAAGCGGGTGGGAAGTCCACCTTCGCCTGAGACTGCAGTTGGACATCAGTTGCAACGTGAGCAGGAGTTCTGGTCTCGTCTTCAGCATCAAACGTAATCTGATGGAGAAAGAAATGGAAAATGTGTCAATTTATTAGTAAGACAAGCAAACATTATCATTTCCTTATTTCATGTTTCTTTCAACATTTCAGTGCCACACATTACAAAAAAGAAAAAAAGTGACCCCTTTATAAAGCAAAGAAACTAGTACATCACTGTGGCTCATTATTCCTAAACAACTGTTTTTCAGTCAGAATGTGGTGCTTAGCAAAGTTACAGAAATGTTCAGAGATATACAGATTTTATTTTAACCAATTTCTTTATTTAATCATCTAGCAGATGTGAAGAAATATTTGAGTTGTATAATATAAGCCATCCCCATGACATTACAGTTAATTTATCAATAAGTTCAAAATGTATTGGTTCATTAGTGCAGCATAGTACATTATGATGCTCAGGCGTCTTACTTTGGACTGAAGATCGGCCAAACTCATTCGCCCGGACCTCTGCGAAGGTGCTGAGCCGGCATCACTGTCGACGGCAGTGCACAGATTCTCCGTCTCGTGCAACAGAGGACCAGTTTGAGGTCTCGGTTCGCACCCGGCGCCGCTTTCATGTGATTGAAGAGAATCGTGGGGTTTTGTGATTTCCTCGCCGTCGGGTTTGGATTCTCCCAGCGCGTCGCTGCTCAACTCTGGTGGCACGTCCGTTTCCCCCAAAATGCAGCCGGTCTGAGCTTCGGTCATGTCCATGTTTACGTCGTCGTCCATCATGGTTTTATTTACACTGATCTCTGCGGCAGCAGGAAGCAAAGATGGAGCCTCCTTTACGGTATCCACATCGGGACTCTGTGTTTTAACAGTTTTTATGGGGGACGGTGGAGGAGGAGCGACTGATCTGGTGACCACAGGATGAGCCCAGGGGACACTTGTCTTACATAGAGACTTTCTAAAAGCCAGATCCACAGCATCGGCCGTCTTTTCTGCCGTTAAAGGATAATTCATGTTTTCATGGGTGGGTAAAATGTCAGCATCTCGGTGTGGAAGTGAATCGGACGCTGGAATGTGGTCAAAATGCACACTGAGGAACTGGGTCATATCCATCGCAGCGTCAGCCGAGGAGAACCTTACTGTTTGCTCCCAGCCAGCCGGTAAGGAGCCCGTGTTTGGGTCGGACTGTGGTTCAAAGCATTTGGCGATGTTTACGGTGTGACAGCTCGTCACATCCATAGCGGCGTCGGATGCAGTGAACCTCACCGTCTTCTCCCCACAAGCGGGTGGGAAGTCCACCTCAGTTGCAACGTCAGCAGGAATTCTGGTCTCGTCTTCAGCATCAAATGTAATCTGAAGGAGAAAGACAGTTAACATCATCCTTTTTTCGGACATTTTTCTTTTAACATTTCAGTGCCACAAGCCAAAAACAAGAAAAAGTCTGTGACCCCCTAAACTAGTGCATCGCTGTGGCTCATTATTATAGAAAATGTTTTCCAGTCGGATGTAAATTAATATCAGTGATAGCTTATGCTTATGAAAATTAATTGTTTGCAGAATGTGGTGTTTAGAAAAGTTACAGAAATGTTCAGAGCTATACAGATTTTATACAATTACTCTATTTAAGCATCCATCAGATGAGGAGAAATATTTGGGTTGGTTAATATGAGCCATCCCTGTGACATTACACAGTTCATTTATCAATTAGTTCAAAATGTATTGGTGCAGCTTTGATGTAGGTCTGAAGACGTATGAGGCAAAACGTGCGGTGCAGTGATTCATTTAGCAAACACATCTGTGTAAAAGCGAGGAAATGTTTAGGCTCACCTGATGTTGCGCCTTCGCCTGCAAAGGAGCCCATGGCAAGTTATCCATACCTGAATGTAGACAAGGGAAATAAGGAAGAAGAAGAAGAATTTAAAACAGAGAAAAGGAGTTTGTTATTTCAATCGTTACCATCTCTTTTGTCCCTTTCATACCTTCGCGGTTAGATGATTCCCGCCGTGAACTCAGCCCTGCTTTCTTCAAACTACCACTTGGGCTGCACGTGTCCCCTGTTCCCCACACGTGAAAGGGAACAGAATCATCTGTAAATGTGCCTCTTAGTTTCCGGCCTGTTTGAGCTTCAGCCATGTTGATGAACACATCCTCTTCTGCGCAGATCGTTCCCCCGTTCACTGAGTCACCGGTGGGAGGAGGTTCTGCAGCTGTAGGTGTCGTTCTTGTGACGGCGCGACGGCTGTGTGCTGAACTGTTTCGAGGCAGAACGCGTGTCTCGGCCTGCTGTTTGTTTAAAGGGAGAAACAAATTTTCTTTACCGGTTTTCTCTCTGCATGTGTCTGCTGTGTCAAGATTAGGGTTAAAAGGGTTTAATGAGAGATGGGAGGCTATTCCAAAGCCTGCTAACAGCAGCAACAATAAAAGCGCATTCAGTTTGAGCATTAGTTTGTGTCAGAGCGGCACCACGGATTCTCTTCGGGCTGAAAACGTAATACGGAAATTATCTTTAACTATTAACTCACCGTGTGTCTTTGACTCAAATCATGTAGAGATGGATTCCTCAACGATGTCATATCTGAAATTGGAAATTGAAATAAGATGCTAATTAAACTGTAAATGATTCATTGTATCATAGGTTATCAAATGATATCAGCATGCCCAAAACACACAAGTATTAAGTTAAAGCAATAAATGTGTTGACGTTGGAGCTTTTGGGCCAGTTGGTTGATGTACACATTAAATACCTTTAGGGTTGTATGGGGCCTGTGGTTTATTGATCTGCTGCTGCTGGGTCTCCTCTTCTGCCTGTGACACTCTGTTGTCGAGTTGAGAGTACATTTCTTGTGTGGGGAACAGACACTGAAAGACGTCATCTTCTTCAGTGAATCCCACAATGCCGCCAGCCGGAGTCTCATTCATATCTGTGCTTACATCATCTTCAGGACAGAGTGCCCTTCCATGACATGACCCACCGCTCTTCCTGGATGTACTTTGGGACTTCTCCATCACAAACGACACAGAAGTTGGAGCCTGATTTTCTTTGTCCAGGCCGGCCTTTTGTGCGGTCACCTGGGCCACGGAGCGGTTCGCACGGTCAGACGACGCAGCCGGCGTCATCGGGGTGATCGCAGGATTCGCGCTGGGCTCACTTGGTTTGGAGAAACTTGCGAGAAAGTTTTCAAATCCAGCGTCTAGAATAGGTGCTGATGAGATGTTCTCAGCTCCTGCATCCAAATTTCTGCTTGTGAGTACAGATACAGACCTAACGTTCACATTGTGCGCCGGGGTCAAAGCCATGGCACCATCACCGGCAGTGAGCATCACCCTCTTCTGTCCTCTGGCGGGTAAAGAGTCGTAGTTTTGGAAGGAAATGTCTAATCCTGCGTCAATGTTTATAGTGTGACTTTGGGTCATGTCCAAAAATGCGTCATCCGTAGAAAACACCACCGTTTTCTCCCCCAAGCCATAACCGGTGTCAAAGACGGCCTGGTGAAGACAAGTGGCCTTTTATCAGTGAACTGTGACTAAATATCAAGGTTTAAGTGAAGAATTCTCATAAACACTGTAACGAAGCATTGTATTAATACAACACATATTATTATAACAAAGCAAATCAACTACCGGTGCCTGAGACAGCGTCAAGACACACAATCAGCTCACCGTTTCACTTTGCTGAGAGGCATGTAGAGGAGCGTTCAGCAGAGTATCCATTCCTAAATTAGTGAGACTTGAATTTAGCAGGAGTCATCTTACACTGTAACAAATACTGTGACAAACTGTTTGACAGGAAATTATCGTATATCCCTACCTATAATTGGTTGAATCCCATCTTCAGTGACTTCCACCTGGAGCCTGTAAAGCAAACTCACAGTATTAATGTTGTTACTACAGAACGTTTTGACTGGTTTGGTGAGACTGATTAGAGTCAAAGATTAGATATAAACGTTTTTGGTTCTAGCTAATGCTGTCAACATCTTAAAAACATCAAGTCACTGTACCTATTTTGAGTTGCTGCTGATGCTGTGGAATAACATAAGACAAATATTATAAGCCGGCTCTGAAAACTAATAATAACTCAAATACTTTGACATACTAACATTACATACTTGAAGTCATTAAGTCTTGTAAAGGACTTCGGACAGGAGAGCCATTTTTCACATCCCTGTGAGAATAAAATAAAAATTAGGTTGAAATGTCAGTGCCCTTGCAGTAAATTTGAGCCTGACTTTATTGCCTTGCGTCTTACTTTGAGAACAAAAGAACATCGTTTGCGGGGGCAAAACTGACTCTTCTTGAGTTCCTCTTCTCCACTGGGTTGGCACACTCCACCTGAGTGAAACATTAAGTAAAATAAAAAAAACAAAGACGGCCCCCCCCCCCCCCCAAATTCAAATTGTGTGAGAATAAATACTAATAAATATATTGCAATTAGAGCTTGTCTTCTATTTCAAGAAAAAATCCCCAATTCTACATATGAACTTATATGAAATTTAGTTACCACATATTCCTGTTCTGGCGGTTCAGGAAATCTCACTGATCTTCGTGGCGCTTTTAAAATCTAGAAATGAAAAATTGCAGAGGTTATTATTCAGGCTCATGATTTGTTCACAAGAAACGTAAACCGTCTATATGACCATCCATGATTTGTAGTACTGACCGAAGAAATGCGCCGCCTGGAGAATCTACGTTCTTCCCTGTGAGGGCACATGAAACGCAGCATTCAGCTCTGATGGGTGTTTGTTTTTATGTCAAATGTGAATGCAGCCATGATCACAAACACGTTTTAAGGTGATGATTAGTCAACCAAGAAAAGCACGCGAGTACTTTCTTCTTACAAGTACAGCAGTTTTACTCACTCATTCTTGGCAGGATCCAGAGGCTCCATTTTCAACTGTAAACAAAGGGAAATACAGCTTGATACATCAAAGACTCGTATATGATTAAATGCAAGTTGAAAAGAGATGTCAGTGAAATAACGTAGCATGTAACAGACCGTTCTTCGTCTTCAGCCAAAGCATTAAATGAACAACCAAATAACAGGTTGAAGAAGTGATGATAGGCTGGGTGATGTGGGATAAAATACTTTTAAAAAACCTGTTAAAGAGTTTCATCTTTGTTTGGAAATAAATCGATGCTGTCGACCTGAAGGACTAACGTTATTCTAATGGTGATGGTCGACGTTGGCTGCATACGCATTTCCCCTTTTAATTTAAAAAGACGTTTAATGTGAAAATCGCACCAACCTCATCGAAGTGACGCGCAATAGTAAATGCACGACGTCAGGTGGACATGTTTTTACGCTTTACTCGACTTAATTTAGCTGACGTTACATCAATACAACTTCTTTACGCCGAATATTTATCCCACGAGTTATTATTTCTCGCTATTGGGTACGAAACATAATTAAAGCCCTCGGTAGAGCTATTAGCTAACGTTTGTGTTGGTCTTCCATTTAGAAAATGAACGAGAAAAATAACGTTAACTGAACCCACCCCCCAAAAAAGGAGTGCATACCTTGTAGTTGCGACCAGCTAATTCCCTGGTTTGTCTTTAACAACGGTTGAAGTTGTTATATTACTCCTTAACTAACACGTAATGACTCATATCGCTTATTTCTAGCTGGGTCGATGTGAACAGCTAACGTCAACGAGCCTCGATGCTAACGTCTTCACTTTTGAATTTAGCCGCCTCCACGCATGCGCAGTGAACCATTTCACTGGGTTTCTGTCTCGTCTTTTGCTGCTTCTTTCGGTTAGTGCAGCAGTGTTGACTCAACAACAATAACAGACTAATACGAATACGGGTTGGCTTGAATGTATTAAGGAATAAAAACCCGAAGAGAAAAAGGAAATAGAGAAAAGTAGTTTTTGACTTACCGGAAGTAACGTAATCAAACCGGATATGACCAAAGAGGGCGGGACGATTTTAAAATTCGTGCGGTTTGTTTTGGGGAATAGACTGTTGATGCCTTTACGTTATATACCTACAACATCCATAAAGGTAGGTTTTGATGCTGTTTTATCCAACCTTGCCTCACATATTAGTGTGCTTTCAGTGATCTCGAACGTTTATCTAGCACCCAGGCTAAGCTAACTAGACCCCTTGATACGTTACTTTACCGAAGTATTTAGAAACTCGCACCAAACGCCATTCAAAATGCTTCACGTTTACATGCGTAACTTGATCATTGAATACATAAGTAAGTTGAGACTTTAGAGGGCGCAAAAGCAGAACGTGTTTGAACATAGCAGTTAAACGATCACGTTATTTCACTACCATTTTACTCAACCAGCTTGTTTCATCATACAGGGGATTTTTCCTTGCTGCCGTTGCATTCATCGTTGCACAACAGATAAAGCAAATGTCATCCAAAATTCCAAGAGGTGAGCAGCATTTGCTGTTTTTGCATTGTGTATATTTCAATTGTAATTTAAGTCAAACAAAGCTGATGTCTGTTTAACAATGTTGTGTTTTTTTTAAGGTGTCAAATTTCCTGCAGAAATTAAGAAAACTGGTTGTAAATTAGAATCCAAAGACACTGTAACTGCAACAGCCAATGCTGGCCAAAAGTCAGATGGTATACTCAAACCTCACAAAGAAAACATGTCACGGTAAGACATTTGCTAATCATCACTACGCTCTGTTGTTGCATCACAGCAATTAACTTCATTAATTCAATTAATCTTATTCACTTCTGTCTGGCAGGAAAACGGTTGCCCCTAAAGCCAACAAAGGGTAAGTGTTACATTAAGTTGCTTATCCTTAACATGCGATGAGCATCGCCCTCTTCTTTTTTTACACAGCTTGACATTGCACCTGTTGTTAGTGTCTCCACCAGGTACGGGCAACAGACAGAGCATAGGGGGCAAAATCAGCACCTGATGGCAACCAACGACGAGCTGCAGAAAAACCTCACAGAGACACAGGTGCCGAACGCCGTTTCAATGAAGCACTTTGATGATTGTAACATTTACAATGTTAACTGCTGACAACAACTGCTTTTGTTTTGAACATTTCGGTTGTCCAGTGCATCTGACCGGTATCTTTTCCCTTGTTACTTTGCAGCAAAAAGTTGCTGAGTTGGAGCTGCAGTTCAGTGGTCTTGAAAAGGAGAATGCAGAGGTTCGGAAAAACCTGAAGGACTGTCATGTACTCCTAGTCGCTGCCAATATAGACCCAGGTTCATATTTACAGACTTTTTTTACTTGTTTTTTGTTGCAAACTTTCAGTTTTTTCTTGCTAAAGATGAACCTATTATCACTTTCATTCACAGTTTTAGGAGAAAGGGTTGGTGAAGATGCTCAACAAAAGAACGACAAAAGAAAAGAAGTTACGGTATGTAGATTTTATTTTAATTTGACTTAATGTTAGAAGTCCAGTCATATTTTTTTATTCTATTCACTTGCACAAATAACTACAAAAACATTCACTTGCTGCATAACATATAACCACTTAATTTAAAATGTGCGGGAAAAAAACGTTCCCCCTTTTTTTTTTTTTTTTTTTTTTAAACAGTTCACATCTACACTATATTGTATCCTGCATATGAAGGGTAGCATAGGCAGCGCCGTGCAATGAACACAACTTTCATTGTCTGCATTTCAGAATGTCTCCACAGACCTGCTAAATGAATTAAAGGTGTTTGGAGACACTGCATTACAGCAGCGTGCCCGCTTAGAGGTGAGTTAAACTAAACTTGGCTATTTGTTACGATTTAAGTGATGATTGCACTGTAATTTGAAGTGACCCTCATACACATTTCCAGGGAATCCAAACAACGATGATAGAACTCGCGAAAGCACGGGAACAAATGATGCAGGAAAGAGAGAACTTCTCCCAGGAGGCGTCTGAAATGGAAAGAGCCCTCGAGGAAGCAGAGGCTCTGCTGCTGTAAAATAAATATTTTCCTAACTAAAAAGAAGTTTTAAAAAAATGTATGTATGTTTTCATTTTAGTGTGACGGAAAAATAAATAAAAGATTCCTTATCGCTGTACTCTTTATCTCATATCCCAACCATTCAAACATGCTTTAGGAAACTTTTTTTAAAAACTTTTTTATATCAACAACTGAAGATATTGTTGAGTTGAAGATTATAGTCTTGAAAATGTAATTTAAATGACTGCATTCTGTATTCCTAGTTTGCAGTTCTTCTGATAAATAAAATAGTCCTTTTTTTACAAAGCAAATGATTGTCCTAAGAAAAGTAAACAATTTAGTATTTTCCCACACAGTAATTTTTAAACTAGTACACTTTGTAGTTCATTCTACCTGCTTGTACTCTTTTACTTTGAGCTGACTATCTTCCCCCCCTTCAGTCCCCGTCTGGCCTCCAGGGTTTTCCAATGTGGGGTTGCTGTAGGGGTTCTCGTTGCTGTACGTGCAGGTTTGAAGAGTGCTCTGGCTGACGGTGGATCCCTGTGCCTTGATTGTCTTTCTTGGGTCGCTGGTGTAATGATAGTAGATGAACAGGAAGAAACCTGCCAGGCAAAGAAAGATGGTCACTCATACGGACAAGCCTTCAAAATGTATTGTTAGTTCATTTCTACTTTACACTCAATACTCATGCAGGTGGGTTCTTATTTAACCAGGTCATCCATCCTTTTACAGCTTCCTTTTATAATACAATTATATTGTAATAACCACGTTGGGTCTTATATTTGGGCATTTGGCTGTCAAATAGTTAAACCAAAATACATATATATATTTTTGACCATTTAGAGGAAGTGAGACGATTTGTTTTTAAAGTTGGTGAAGCAACATTTCCATATTGACGCATCAAGCCGTCACGGTACACGCTACACCCATAAATTTGGTTTTCTCTTGGTGTTGAAATGTAGCTCAGAATCCACCGTCTGTCTCTCAAGCTGCAACTTCCAAGGCTCGGTTTGGCACAGAGCAAGTTGCACAACCCAATTCAATTCAAAGCATCTCTCTGGAAAAAAAAAAAAAACACCAGGCTGCTTCGCACGGTACGAAGAAGTGCTTTGAGATTTGCAGTGAACTGCAGATGCGGGCAGCCTGATTTATGCGAGTTCAGTCATAAAAACCAACCCGTATGAGTGGTGAATATAAAATAGGATTCAGTTAAATCATCAGAAGAGTTGAGGACCTTGGAAAGAATTCAAGACAGTGAAAATGTAGTAGGCAGGGATCCGGAGGGGACCGTAGGCGAAGAAGGCGAAACCCCAGGTGATCCCCATCGTGCAACACAGTCCCAGGATGACAGTGATGCTCTTTTTATTCGTGCTCATTTCTGTGGCGACTTTTTGGTTTGTTGTTCTCTTGAGACAAATGAGGTAGGACAGTATGATGATGAAGGTGGTGAAGGTGAAGACGAAGATCAACGCGTAGTAACCTATGTTGACAATGTAGTGCGCGGTGTTGTCCGTTATCCAGCAGCTGAAAACACAAAGCAACGTCGTTAAAGGAAACTGAGCGTATAAAGAAATTGCACGATTCTGCGCATTCAAAATACAAACAACACACTCACATGGCCACATCGTCCTTAGGGTCACTGGTAGAGATGACCTGTTTGCCATATTTTCCCAAGCTGAGCATGATGATCGTGATCACGCTCGGTTGCACTGGAAACGGACAAAAGAAGCAACTGACTCCCAAACGTCGTGTACGACGTTCAGATCGCACAACAGGAAATAAAGACGCGTCCTCACCCCAACTGACGATGGATACTTTGAGTAAATAGTGACGGTTTCCAATTGTGCTGCGCACATACAGCAGCATGCACAGGTGGAAGGCCTGCGCAGCGAACCAGGTGAAAGTGGCCAACATGAAGTAGTGCATGAGAGCCGCCAAGATCGTACAAGCCACAGGATTCTTCAGGGAGGCCACAACGTCGTTGATGAGAAAAGTCAAGTTCAGCAGGAACACGGCCGACACCAGGTGGATGAGAATCAATGTGGATACACTGGCGTTGGTCTTCCTGTAAGAGACACACGTGATGCTAAAAGGCAAAGTGCGGCTTTTCATGATTACCCTGTCTGGTGAAGAACTTTGCATCAACATTGATTTTGCCTGAGAACACCTGCGGATTACAGCTGTTTGTGTCTGCGAGGACCAGAGTCCCTTTGATGATGTTCTAATTTTACCGCAGCAATGTGTCCGAACGTCGGCCTCCTCAGTCTTGTTTGGATAAAACAAGACACTTGAAGGAGCCTCTTTGAGTTCTTGATAATTATATTATTAGTATTTCTCACTATTGTTTCAAAGTTTATTCCCACTGAGAGCTGTAACTCAATGACACTTAAATATAAAAATATTAAATATTACCTTTCCAACACAGGTCTTTTATTTGGGGCACATCTTTTTTTACAGCATGGTATTAATATAGAAACTGAATTCTTCCGCCCCCTTTTATCATTGATTAGTATTTAATAAGTGATAAACAAAAACGGAGTTCTGTAAGTAATATATAAACCCGTATTGGCATGAAAATCTTCATGTGATCATTCAAATTGAGGTGACGGACAGACGGGTCCGTATCCATTTGTTACGTAAAGCAGTTGTTTCCATAGCACTCCTGCAACAATGATGCTATTCAGCAGTCTTATTTCCCTACACAGCAAATATTGGACATCATGTTTGGCTGTTTCGGAGGAGCACTTGTGTTTGCATAAATTTAACCAAATCAGCTGGCAGCGGATCAACGCGGCATCCACACGAGATTGGTTTTGTGGAGTTTGTTAAAGACTTCAGCACATTTGAGTCAATGATATTTGAATGAAAGACAAAAGCGATCAATTGGTCGGCTCATAACGTTTTTCTGATTATTGCCTTTTTTTTAATGATCTGAACTATTTTAAATCAGTCCTGTATCTTTTAGTATGATTTGATTAATCAGCGGAATACTCCAATCTCTCCACGGCTCAACTAACTGGTCGAAAGATGGTTTTCATTCCGCAGTTAAAAAAAGCAGTTATCACCTAAATGATATATTATATATATATATATATATATATATATATATATATTATAATAGATCAATTATTCCGTAATCTGATTGAGCAAACATTTTTTCACACATGTTTATTTTTTCTGATAATTTCCTCTTTTGGGAAATAAACTATTCCTCCTGAAACTAATAAGGGAGGCATGTTATTATTACCTGAAAAGGAAGTGCATGAAGAGGACTATGGCGAGGAAGAACATGGACACGCCACAGCCGACCTGAGTGATGATGGTGAGCTTGTTCAGGTCTGAACTAGATATGCTTTCATTGAGAGGAACCTGCAAACAGCGAAAATGAAACACTTTATCACTTGGACTGGCATGAATGAGGACGGTTTATGATGCATTTCAACACAGAGAGGTGGGGGAGGAGGAGTCCATGTGTCCATATGTCCATATGTATGTGTTTGTGTGTTCCACTGGGAATGCCCAATGACAGGACGAAGCTTAATGTAACGGCAAATGTCACGAAATACGTAAAAACGTACCAATAAGATAGCAAAAAAAGTCAAGTGCGAGCACTGGCATGTAACGTTGTTCCCGCTTTGTATGGTCAGACATCCGTCCTCGGTCCAGTTTGGTCGGCTTCCTAAACGACAGGAACAGAGCGAGCAGTCAAGGCTGAACCGAAGCTGAAGGCTTCGTGGGTGAGAAGCGCTCCACGCAAATCCTACTTCAGAAACATGGAAAACACGGTAATATTTGGCCCAGATGTAAATTTCATGTTAATCAAAATCTAAATGTGTGAGACACACGTTAAACGTGACGAGCACGCAATGTCCATTCTATCCACGTGTCCCAGCAGCCACTAAGTAAGCCTCTCATAGGTAGTGTAGGACAGAAAACCTCGCATTTACCATCACCGCTCCAAGAACGACAAGATGGAATTCCTTCCTGCGAAAAACAACAAGACAACAGAACGGCAGTAAAACGTGCTCTTGGATGGCAAATAAACTCAAACAAAGAATACATATTCAATAATGCACAATGTATATATATATACAGAGTATATAAATGTGTATATATTTCAACTTACATATTTAATGTTCTTGAAATCAATGCTTATTTTGTCTGTGAGATTGTTGATAATGGCTCCCATTTCAACCGCTACAACCTCATTACCTAAAATTGTGCTGTTCATCTCGTCCTGAAAAAAAGGGGGGAATCGACTACAAAATGGTAACATGTTTAAATATCCGGCACCATTGAAGGTGACGTTTTCATATCGTTCGTTACCGTATCCAGATTGGAGAATCGTAAAATGGCTCCAAATGGCACGTTGGCATTCAAACCTCCGGCCTTTTCAAACGCCTCTTTTGACAGTCGGACAGATCTCGAGTATTGAGCAAGAACGTTTTTATCTCCCAAAATCTGCAGGGAAGAAGACAAGTGTGTGATCAAAATAAAAGTAAAAAACACAGTGTCGATTGAGAGATTCAAGAGAAGGAAATGATTTACTCAAAGTGAATCGATTGATAATCCGGGGAATGACTTTGTGTTTAGGAAACTGAAGTACGGGACGATGTTGAACAAAAGCAACCACGCAGACGTGGACAAGAGGAGAGAATGAAAGACTTCGAGGTCTGAGAACGTGACCACATTGACACAAAATAACAAATAATACACCCACATTCATGGCGTCACTTGGGGACGCATAACCAAAGAGCATCTCCTCAAAAACCACGGGGTCTGTTTGTTTCGCCAAGATGCCCGTAACTCCTTCGCCCACGTTCAGGGCCGCCGAAGGGCCGTTGATGGAGTTAGCGAGGTCGCTCATTCCTTTCATGACTCCACTGTTGACGGAAGGAAGAACGTTCAATATGTCGACGATTTCACTATTAAACATTTCTTAATACATGCGTCCCGCTGTGGTAAACACGTGTAAATAGTCTAAACGTATTTTCCCTCCATCAATTTGAAATTGTATCAGGAATATTTTATTAGGACTTGTACAGAGCTGGAGCCGGCAGGTTAGCTTAGCTTAGCATTAGCTGAAGGGGAGAGGCAGAGCCTGAAGAATAACTAATTTCACAAACACGTCATCAAGTTGACGTCACTGTTGTATTTGTTATTTGGTGGGTAAAAATTGTTAACTCACAATACTTCCCCGTAAAGCCCAAATTCTCTTTCATATAAAACAGCACATTGTTTATTTCTGTGAATTGTCATCTATTGTCAAAGCACAAGCTGATGCCTCCTGATATTGTTGTGGGTGAAAAGTCTGTCTGCTTTGAAAAGAACTAGTCTGATCTCTTCTCATCTCTCTCGTCCAAGACAGCAAATCAAAGCATGTTTCCCAAAATATCTTACGCAGCTTGGGCAGCGTTGACTTTTCCTCCTTCTGTATGTGTGAAATTTGAAACCACCGTAACTTCACTGTCAGGCTTCTTTACTGGATTATCACAATTCAGACAGTCACGGCTTGTTATATTCATCCTGTAGATGTTCGTTAGATCTGAAAGGAAAGGACATCTGTTCATTTCTCAAGTGCTCAATGCCGTAAAGTAAGATAGACAGTTGGTGCCATTTAAAGCCGGCATCTGCAGCTCGACAAGCGTAACGTGCTTTACTTTACTGCACAAAAAGGCAAGAAATTAAAAAACACACAATTGTTGCTTCTGTGAGAGGAACTCACTCATTCGGGTGCATTGGCTTGCATCATAACTACTTTTTTTGCACTGGGTCTTTGGATCCAAACATGTAATCTGGCAAGGAACTACGAAGAAAAACACTTTCAGTATCTTCACGTATGCAGTCAAAAAAAAAAGCGGGACAAAGCTACAGAAGGTAGGCAGATCGGATGTATCTAACAAACTCTTTGAAATGACTGTTTTCAGTTAGAGTAGGTGACACTGTAAGGAATGGTCAAAAACAAAAGACCTGATCGTTTGTAATACCTTTATAAACACTACAACTGAAATGTAAAAGAAAGCTGTTTACCTCTGGCAGTGTCATTACTGCAAGACTCTAAACCTAAATAAGAAACATCTGTATTGACAAAAACAAATCATGGAATTAGAATGTCTTCTCGTCAGCCCTCTGCACTGAATGATGAATGGTGAACAGAATGTTGCACACAACATCCAATGCTGACATAAGACAATGCAATGTCACCTGGGAAGCCAGATGTGTTGCACGGCATCTCTTCCATGACATACAGCAGCAATTTCCGCCTGATGTAAAATTTTGGAAAGTGTATTACAGAAGAACCGTTACAGTCCTCCATTTCAGGAAATTCCTCCCCAAATGTTTCTATCAATTAAAGACACAACAACAGTTGAATGTATATTTTGTGTAAAGTGCAAATGTAAATGCAAAAATTATTAGTGCAAAACGTTTGTGGTACTCACGTGGTCTTGATTTTTTTTTTTGCACAAACAGTATGCAACTCATATTCGCAGAGAAGAGTTTAGGAACGCTGCCTTTGAACATCATGTAGTAAGAGAAACAAAGCAGAGCAAAAAGGCCCAGTCTGTCTATGCACTTTAACAACAGCCAGGTCATCAGTCCGGTATCGACTATTTTATCCATACAATATACATACTATACAACTACTACCTGTCCAGGTGCACCTTTCCTCCAAATTCTGTTCCTCAAACACACTCAACTGCTACCATAGTTAAAAGTTTTGATTAATAGTACTCACTGTGATTACAATATTTATCTGCAGAGATGAAGGCACTGAAGTTATCAGCCACAACAACATGTGCCGTCTTCTGGGTCAAACAGTCTTTGAGTTTGTTACAGGCACCTACTGTATATCAAATGAAAAATGAGCCATCCTTCACACACGTTAATAACCATATTAGATGTTAGAAAGATAGGAAGGCATTCCTGGGGAGAGTAATGCAGTAGGATTTGTGGAGACAACTAGACCTTATTATTTGCAGATTACTCACAAACTGGATAAATCCACAAAAGGCCCACGAACAAAACCCAAGTCATCCGGCTCATGTTGTTTGATGGCATTAGCTCTCTGTCAGGACGTGTGATCTCTTCCCTGATACAGAAGATGAATAAGAAGTGCATGTCCAAAGTACCTTTTCCATACAGATTATTAGCAAGCAGCATTTTATTTAATTCTTACCTGTCTGTTGTTGAAGTAGCATAAAGCACTGAGCAGCAAAAGAGTGACGACTGTACCGTTCCAACTGCACACCATGGCTTACTTACTTTGCATAAAGCATTTTGTTTTACAAATATATCGTTCCAGGAAGCTGTTCTGTGCCCCTCTCTTTTGCAAAATAACCAAAACAAGATCACATTTGGAGGCATATGGTTAGGATCTAACCAAATTCAAGGAATGAATGGTGTCTGTGACACACAGTAGCTCATGTGCAAATCGTTATTGTCTGTTAAAATTTAATAAGATTATCAAAAAAATCTTTAGGAAAACATCCTTAAGAGTCCATCTGGTTTCATACCCTACTTCTGCAGTAATGTTTTTAATGAGCTAAATATATAAACAAGAGAGTTAAAAAGTGACCAAATAAAATGAAACTCTTTGTTAATAGAAGTGAAACTTCTTAGACATAAAAAGTATGAAATATTAATCCAGCAGAAAAAAGTACCTTACTGATATTAAATTATGTTAGTCTATGTTATCAATAACAAGCATTTAAGTTAAAGTTAAATCCATCCACATAATTTCATTGCTTTGAAACAAGATATTCATGACAAAACTGTACCAACTGATTAAAAAGTTTATAGTAATAAAATGGTTTGGAATGAAATGTGCTTATAAATACCAACAGAAAACAACAAACGGCTGAGAGTTCAAATCACCAAAATAACAGTGAAAGGTGCTAAAAACAACACATTTCCCTTTACAAACATCCATCCATCCATCCATTGTCAAACCGCTTATCCTGCACACAGGGTCGCGGGGGGGCTGGAGTCCATCCCAGCCAACTTTGGGCGATAGACAGGGTACATCCTGGATTGGTCGCCAGCCAATCGCAGGGTTACACAGAGACACACAGTGCCACATTCAGAGCAGCATACCGGACACCCTGGATCCCCCGCAGTACGTCTACAGGCGCAACAGGTCTGGCTCAGACGCCACAGCTGCTGCCCTCCACTACTCCCTCTCTCACCTAGAAAACAAGGACTCCTACATTAGGATGCTCTTTGTCGACTACAGCTCCGCTTTCAACACGCTCGTCCCCCACAAACTCATCCATAAACTCTCCACACTCTGCACCCCACCCTCTGTGACTGGCTGTTTGACTTTCTGACTGGCAGGCCTCAGTCTGTCAGGATTGGAAACAGGACTTCAGCCAGCATCTTCACCAACATCGGCAGCCCACGGGGTTGTGTCCTCAGCCCCGTCCTCTACACCCTGTTCACCCACGACTGTGTCGCCTCCCACGAGGATGACATCGTCCTGAAGTTTGCTGATGACGCCGCAGTGATAGGACGCATTACTGGGGGGAACGAAGAGGCATACAGGAGGGAGGTGGCCTGTTTGGTGTCTTGGTACGAGGATAACAACCTCACCCTCAACACTGACAAGACCAAGGAGCTGATAGTGGACATGAGGAAGGAGAGGAGACCTCATCAACTACTTTTCATCCAGGACCTTGAAGTTAAGAGGGTGAGCAGCTTCAAATACCTCGGGGTCCACTTCAGTGAGGACCTCACCTGGAGACTTAACACAACACAGCTGGTCAAGAAGGCTCAACAGCGGCTGTACTTCCTGAGGAGGCTGAGGAAGTTTGGGATGTCTCCTAAGATCCTCAGCAACTTCTACAGCTGCATCACGGAGAGCATATTGACCAGCTGCATCACCGTGTGGTACGGCAGCACATCCACAATGGACCGCAAACGCCTGCAGAGAGTGGTGAGGACAGCAGAAAAGATCAGACCCCATGCACTGCCCTCTCTGCAGAGCATCTATCACCGCAGGGTTCACAGGAGAGCTGCCTCCATTCTCAAAGATCCCACCCACCCCCAACATGGTCTGTTCAAGCTTCTACCCTCAGGCAGGAGGTACAGAAGTGCCAAATGCAGGACCACCAGACTGAAAAACTCTTTTTCCCCCACTGCCATTAGAGCCATCAACAGCTATATATAATGTTAATATTGTATTCTTATTCTTATTTTAATTTTAAAATTGGTCGGCTTTCCGGAAAGGCAAGTACAAGAATTTCAATACACAGGGTGTAAACAGTGTGTAAATGACAATACAAATATTTTAATCTTTGAGACATACAATCATTCACACTCACATTCACGGGCAATTTAAAGTCCCCAATTAACCTGATCCCCAGAGGATGTCTTTGGCATCATACCAAGAAATATGGTCCGGCACACATCGCGGTAGCAACACGCAGCCCAACCCCTCATCAAACAATTAGTCACATCCTTTCTCCCCCCCATAGACAGACGTCTCAATAAAACATGGCGAAGTAATACTCCCTGTAGAGTGAGATCACACAGGTCAAACAGCCTTTGCGTGGGAGGCCCTTTGGTCCCCTTTAATGACGCGGCCGCCCGTCTCGCTCTGTCCACGAGGGGGCGGCGTCGCCGGGTTTTCCGCTGCGCGGCCTCCAGCGAAGAAGTGCATGCCGGAAGAGGACGCGTCTCCCCCCCGCAGGCTGCAGCGTGAACCCGCGACGGCGATCCACGGTGAGTCAACTGCGCCACGGCGCTTAAGGTCGACCGGACAACAAGGGGACACTCGGACATCGCGGAAGACACGGATGTCCCTGTACAGATAGGCGCGAGCTAAAGCGGGACTGAATGTTGACGTGTTTGATTCCTCACCAGGCGCATTGTGCCGATGAATTAAAGTAAATGTAAGAGAGGACACTGACAGCAAGTTCAGTATTAAACGTATTATTTCACAAACTGAAATAGAAAGGAAAATATTTTTTTAAATGAGATATTAAACTGTGCTTGCGTGTGAATACGTGAATAAGTTATTTACATTCACCTGTCACGTCATTTTCAGGGATAGTTTAAAGCCTACCTCATGATAAAAGGTATTGTTTTTACCCCTAGTCGTGGCCTTTTTGGTGATGTAACGTTATGTTGTTTCACATAATCAACATAACGATCTGGCCTCTGTATTTGTCTTCTTTCCCGCCAGGAAACATCCAGCACACATGTCTGCAGCTTGTGCGAGGTGGATGCTGAGCCGCACGCTGAGGGCCGCGTGCGGCGCCCGCCGGGGCCACTGGGCGCCGGCGGCACGACTGGCGCTACCCAGGGACCGGCCGGACGTCCCTGCCTCCTCCTGGAGGTGGTCTCCGTTCTGCACGGCTGTGGACGACACGGAGCAGGCTGCCGCGCCGAAGAGGAAAACCAAGCACGACCCCAAAGCTCACGGCACGATCGGCGCCGTCGGCCGTAGGATCCCCCACCGCGAGGTACAGGTGATAAGCGAGACGGGCGAGAACCTGGGCACCATGCACCGTGCAGACGTGATCAGAGTCCTGGACGAGCGGGGGCTCAAACTGGTGCTGCTCAGTGAACGCAAAGACCCCCCCGTCTACCGGCTGATGAGCGGCAAACAGATCCACGAGGAGCAGCTGAGGCTGCGGGAGAAACAGAAAGCAAAAGCAGGTGTGTGGCGTCGCGTCAGGGACCCAAATTCATGATGTCACGATGTCTCCTTGGGGGGTCATTAGATGATTAACAAGTTGGGAAGATGGAAGGATGATAGTTCTTATATCTTTGCTTTTTACTTAAAAACACGTTGTTGTTTACACATTGGGAGCTGATTTTACACTTTTTGATTTACATTTGTTAAAACCTTCACAGCTGCGGCTTCACCTCAGCTTGGATGTACAGATTATTTATCTATTAGTTATTCGTTAAATCGTTTCCAACTAAGATCTGGTCAAAATGTTTCTTCACTGTAAACCAGCATCCTGGCAGTTTCATCGTCATTCAACAGATCTCTGAAAAACATATGAAACATGAGGAGACGTGCAGCATGTGTTGTGTCCACAGCCCCCGTGCAGGTGAAGGAGCTCACCTTTTCATCGGGCATCGCACCTCACGACCTGTCCACCAAGTTGAAAAAGGTGGAGGGCTGGCTGGAGAAGAAGAACCACGTTAGAATCACTCTGCGATCGGGCCGCGGGGGATCTGCCGTCAACCTGGTGAGGATCAAACGTCTCCGTCCACCGAGACGTTGCCAAAACAGGCTCAGGCTAAATAGTTTTTCACTGCTCTTAAAAATCCAACCGAAGAGAAAATACTTGTTTTTCCCCAAACGGGGTTGTTGATTCTAACCTTAATGGTTGAGAGCGTGAGGGATTTCATGGTAACAAAAAAGCATCGTTTTACATTTTTCCACAGGATACAAATCTGGAGCAGATAGTGCAGCAAATGGAGGCGATGGTCGGATTTGTTTCCAAACCAAAAGCCATACGTGACGGTCAAGCGGCCATGTGCGTCCTCCGACCGCCTTCAGCAAAGGAACTGTCACAAAAACAAAAGAATAAAGATGATCCTTCACAGTCTGACGACTCAACCTCCAGAGCGCCTGAGAGCCGAGCGGCCGTCCCTCCTGTTAGCGAAACAGACACTACAGAAGGGTCCACACAGCGGGACTCCGATGCAAATAAAACACTGACATAACGACTAATTGAAGTCGGGCTCCATTCTTCATGTGTGGAAGGTTGCTGGTGTTTAACATGGACCAAAGGGTCACAGGTGGCAGAGCCGCGCTGGTACCAAACTGCTTGTGCTTGAGAAGAAGGCAGTTTTTACAGTATTGTGCCCGACTCACTTCTAATGCATCTGCACTTGAAAACATCCCATCCACTCGTTTTACCTGAGGGGGGGGGGCAGCGTGTAGCATGTGGCGGCATCTAGCGGGGAGGTTGCACGTTGCAACCAAAGTGGTTCATTTGAAGAGAAGGAGAAGTACAGGACGAAAACAAAACATGCGGAAGCCGGTGTTTGGCTGCTGTAGAAACATGGCCGCTGAAAACACAACGATTGTTTATTCCAGGTTGGTAAAAACTAAAGGAAATATACTTAATATATTCTCACCACCATGTCCCTTTGACGTGTCCTGTGAATGTAACCTGAATGGACCAGTTGTTTGGGACGGGGTTGGGTTTGAGTCTTCACATGTGACATTGAGAACGGATGTTTGAACCCAAAATGTAATGAATATATTTTTTACTTTTTAGCCACAAATATGTAATAATGAACAGGTTGACAGCACCTACGTTCACCTTCTTGTGACTGTCTTCGACCAAAGAGTGGTTGATGATAATAAAAATATATCAGTAATCAGTCATTTGTATGTTCCAAGTTAAAAATGCATGGAGGACTTTGTCACTGTTTTAAGTTTATTCGGGATGAACATATCAAACCAACACAAATGCATATTTTTCTCTGCTTTATTTGAGATTCCTCTTTTTATTTTTGGTAAAAAACAAAAGTTAAATAAAAGCAAATTTTGGCATACAGATACATTCATTTCTCACAGATAACTGGGTTTGCCTGACTGGTGTGTCAGTTCCACACTTTATTAACACCTTTCTTTAACTGCAGAGATATACTGTTTTTTTCTTTTTTCTTCCTTTATTGAAAACTAGACTTTTTTTCCCCCTATACATAAAAAAGAAAACATAAAATCACCTTAAGGCCCCCCCACAAAAATAAAATCTTTCCTAGATTGTGTTAAAAAAAATTGAGAAGAGAAGCAGCTTAACTATCCTGCACGCGCAGCATTTGTCAATAAGCCTCGAGTACTTTGTAGGAGGAGAAAGGCTTCACGAAGTGATAGTCCAGGTTGCCGCAGTGAGGGCACTGCTGGACGTTGCTGTACTCGGAGAAATACTGCATCCCGACTCGGACGTCCACCACCGGCTTCCCGCAGTGCTTACAGTTGAGACGAGCCTGAGGACACACAGGGAGGACGCAGGTCACTCAGGAGGACGTCAAATTAATGCTGTGCGAGACATTTGGCCGAGGACGTTCGGCACGCGGGGACGCCCTGGAGTATGCGGGTATTACATTACATTACATTACAGGTCATTTAGCAGACGCTTTTATCCAAAGCGACTTACATCACACCCATGGCTTTTTCACATTTTGCCCGGGGAGCAATTAGGGGTTAGGTGTCTTGCTCAGGGACACTTCGACATAGATCATGGGGCAGCCTGGAATCGAACCACCAACCTTTTGCTTCCCAGCACACCTTCTCTAACCCCTGCGCCACGACGACCCCAGTCGTATATACACACCACTACATCCCTCTATGGTCGCCCAACAGCACAGTGTTGATCTGCTGCTATGACGGTGTAGAAACAAGGAGCTGAAAGACGCTAAAATGTTCCATTAGTCAGCGATAGTAGTGAGGAAGTTCCCTTCGTACCTGACAACACGGGGAAGCAGCCAGTATATCGTAGGTGTACATTGTGCCCAGTTGGTGCCAGCTCCCGTCCCAGCGAGACTTGCACTTGATGCAGACGATCTTGTGGACGCCTTCGAGACAGTCCACGCAGACGGCGTAGAGGTGCATTAACCGGCCTGTTAGAAATAAAGAAGTGAAGTTAGGCTATGCCGTTAAAGGAATAAAAAGGAACCTAATGGGCTGATCAGGCGAGCACATTTTAAAAACAAACTTTGAATTGCTCCCGTGGCTCATTATTCGTCCTTCTTCAGTGCGACCAAGATAAATACCCCCCCTTTGTATTGAGGCTATGCTCCCTAAAGAGCTTTGAACGTCATCAACCTGAAGATATAGAGCAATGCAGCTTTCCATCCAAGTCCATCCCACGGTAAACAGGAATGCATTCAGAGCCACATATAGAGAGCCACCAGTATGGCTGTTAAATAACAAAAATAAACATGCAATTGCATTTCCTCAAGAAGGTCTTAGATGTTAATAACCGTTGAATAAACTAGCTGATTTTAATCCCACCTCACTCAACTGCACAGCATGTTTCATTTCTCTTTTTCCAACGTTTATATTTCGCCTGACACAAAAGCATGAAAAGCTGAATGAATCATTATTTCATCAGCAGCTTAAATATCAAAGAGTGCATCAAAAAGCGTCATGTGCTAATTCACATTCATGCTGGACTGTGGCAGCAAAAAGCCTTATTGTTTTAGATGGAACGTAAGTATATGATTGAGCAGAATAACACTAATGGTAGCTATCTGTTTTTTCAGAACAATCCTGACAGCAGATTTTCAGCCAATTCAGAGCTAAATAAAACTACTTGATTCATGTTAGTTTTCAGATGAAACACGTTACCTGCAATACAAAAACAACATTGCTCAAATACATTTGATATAATTCACAAATGGTAATATGGGTTTTGTTCACAATGACGATGCTAAAAGGTTAATGTTTACCGTGTTCCTCTTCTTAGTTCGGCATGTCATATTAGCTGATTTGCACTAAACAAAAAGGTACAACTCTGCAGTTATTTGTTAGTTAGTAAAGGACTCATTTAAATGTTAAACATTGGGTGGTGCTAAATAAAAACCCTCATCCAAATTATTACAATTCATTCTCCGAAAACCAAAAATGTCAATCTAATTTTAAGGCAATCCAGACAAACAGCATTTGTGAAATTTCAGCCTAACCTAGAGGAAGAGGTCAGAGGTCCATGAGAGTCGATAGGATTCATCCTCAGGGCACCATGAAGTAGTCCACTAAAGACTAAAGTAGTCGAGCAAAGAAGTTTGTCTTTTGACAAGCTTTGTTATTTCTCTGTTTGCTCTGTATTCACACTCGTCATATTCGTACATGTATTCCCCCTCAGCGTTTAACTCATCCAAAGCATTCAGCCGCAGTTGGCTGCTGTAAAGCTCTCCGGCCTGCTGTCTTGCTCAAAGGCACCACGACATTCAGACGGTAGCAGCCGGGGATCAAACTGACAACCTCGTGATTGAAGGGTGTTACGATCCAAACCACAGAGCAAAAATCCATCAGACGTGTTCATCAGACATCCGTCATCTGACAGCTTAACGCTGCAATAAAACATACTTCTGCTTACAACAGGACTCCTAATGGTTACTGTCAGGATATATGGAGAGTGGAGCTTCAAGCACTTGTATCTCACTCCACGCTCCTGAAAGCAGGTCTGACCTTGAAGGTGGCAGGGGACATCGTACTCGATCTCGTCGTGGCGCGAAGGGCTGAGAAACAGAGTCCCGTCCACCAAAGGAAACTGCTCAAACACGGGCAGCGCTCTGTGGCACAGCGCGCAGTTGACCACGTTCCTCTGGCTGGCGCTGAGGGCCGACAGGATGAACCTACGGGTTTAATCAAGAGTTTAAAAGAGTCTTTAGAAGCAATGAATCGCATGAGGAGTGTTGTTTGTGTGCCAACTGTTCAGGCTGAAACTTGTGCCGTCGTAAAGGGATTAAGATGATTACGGTTCTGTAACAGCCAAAAAGACCGCAGAATAAAATCAAAAAGTATTCTTTAGAAAGCAGTTATTTCAATTTGTACTAATTAAAGAACGGCGATCTTATTCAAAAGTAAATCAGACAGCTACAATCAATCATTGGCAATGTCTTTCAGCTTTTATATTCTTTTTATACTGCTTTGTGTAATTTAAAGTGCTTTCATTGACTCGCCTTTTTAGGCAAGTATGGTACCAAGACAGAAAGAGTTTTCCCACATAAGTCAATATATTTAATCACTAGAAATAAAATGCATGTTACATGTTCATCAGACATTTATCAATCAATGTGAGTAAATCTGTTTTTTATAATAACGCACAAACTTTAAAGTGCAGTTAAGCCACTTCAACCCAGTCTCATTACACTGTACACATCATACAGGAACTGAGTGTCATCGTCATTCGTCTTTTTGTTGGCATTTTACTCTTCGAGTTAATTCGACTGAACTTCAGTATCTCCAGAAGCTGCGGCCACAACAGTCGATATCTCACGTCAAAATTGACTTAAAACTACTGAGAAACGTGCTGCGCGTTGTCGGTCAAGAGTAATTGACTCTCTGCACTGGTCGAACGTCTCTTTTCATACACAGTGAACTTTTGTATTAACGTGAGCTCAGTTGGCTCACCAGGGGAAAAGGGCGTTTACCTGCGCAGCTCCTCTCCCTGGCCCGCCTGGGCATCGTCCTCCATGCGGACGTGGTAAGTGTTGAGTTTGTGTCGAGGGACGTGGGTGAGCAGCTCCGAGAGGTCCAGCCTCCGCAGGAACTGCACCGGGTGGGGGTGCGTGCCGTCGCCCCCGGAGCCCAGCCGGTGGTGGAGCGGGAGGGCGAGGGGCAGCGGCAGGGGGATCACGGACCCCGGGTCCAGGTGAGCTCCGCCGCCGGAGGCCCCCATCGGGCAGCAGCCCCCCCGGCCCGGAGCCCCTCCGGCCAGCGGGTGCTTCCTCTGCGGCTCCATGTGGACGGCGGGTTTGAAGAACTCCCCCAGCTGACGGGAACCTCGCAGTCCTGCTGGCGCCCCAAAGACGGCGGTGGGGGAGAAGGGGAAACCGGTTGGTGGGGACTGTCCCGGGGAGTCACACGGTGACCTCTGAGGGGGCCCCAGAGAATAGGGCCCCCCCGCTGGGAATCCTCCCGCCGCTCCCCTCTCCGAAGAGTTCTGACGGTCCATCGACTGTCTCCGAGGCAGGTCCTGACTCGAGGCCCTGTGGAGCAGCCTACCTCCTCCGACACCCGCTGCCCCCGGCGGCTTGCTTCTCTTGGGCTCGTCAAAGAGCCCGTCCCCGGGCCCCGCGGCCCCCCCGCTCGACCCGTTCCTGCTCCTCTCCGTCGGCTTCTTCTTGCGCTCGTCGTGGATGCGCCTCACCTGATACCAGTCGGTGTCTTTCTTCAGGTGCCCCTGGCCGCAGCGGCACGAGCAGAACCTGAAGGCCAGGTCGTAGCCCTTCTTGGTCCACATGTTCTGCCTGCACTGCTTCTCGTTCCAGGAGCGCGCGCGCCCGATGCAGTTGAACTGGACCAGGATGGAGCTCTCCCACTCGTAGAAACACTGCAGGTGCATCCAGTTGCCGTAGGGGCAGAGCTCGTTGTTGCAGACCACCCGCTGGTAGTCGTCCTTCTCCAGGTCGATGGGGCGGGCCAAGGTGCAGCAGAGGGGGGTCGCACACTGGCCCTCTGGGTGGGAAGAGGTTGTTGTGTGTTAATCGCCATTTCCCCCAACAATGTCTTACTGAGCCGACATCGCGTGTCTATTAATCAGTCGGTTACTTTTAGGATTAGTCCGTTGTGAAAGGAAAAGGCAGCATCTTAATATTTTTTTATCTTCTATCTTTTAATTTAGGGCTGCAGCTAATAATACATTTTCTTGTATATGAATCTGCTTGGTTTAGTAAACATCAAAATATAGATTTTCAAAAATGTCTCTGGTGACGTTTTCAAATGATAATGCTTTCAAATGTTTTTATTTGTCAGAGAGGCGACTCAAGACAAATCCTAGAGTTACACATCAACAACGCAACATGCGGTGAGCCATCGATTTATGGAATTTAACAAGGCCATCCAACTGCCAACTGGATGGGAATCAAGTAAATGTGAGCAACCAAGAAATGTGTGTGTGTGTGTGTGTGTGTGCATGAAGGGGGAAATAGTTTCCTCTATCTTTTATCACAGCTGTGCTTTCTCACAAAAAATGGATGGTTCCATAACTCCACACTCAATGATAATTCTGTACACTACACCCAATTCCTGTGGAAAATAAAAATAGTCATACAACTGTGGTCCATTTAAGTTTTCCTATAGAAATGTAAGAATACCTAAGTACATATTAAAAGCTTAATAATGGGACAGATGAGATGTAGGATCTGTTGTTAGTCCCTTTGGGAAGTTGAGTGCAGACAAGCAGTGAGTTGTCAGTATTTCCCTTAAAGAAGGAAGGACACGACGCAAAACGCTGTGGACAAAGTGCACAGAGAGACAGCAAGAGACAGAGGGAGAGAGAGACAGAGGGAGAGGGAGAGAGAGACAGAGGGAGCTGCGGCCTGCGAGTAAACCCAAATGTAACGACATTAATAACCACTTAAGAGTCCCTCAAAAGAGCGCTGCATTGTGCCATTAAACCTCATTGAGGCTGTATTTGTCACCAAGGAGTATTTTCATACTTCTTTTTCTAAAAACCGACACAACCAGCTACACCCGTTTTAGTCTCCTTGCGCCAAAACAAGCCACATCTTACCAAGATGTCAATGCAGTCGATTAAAATACCAACTGTCTACTTGCTGTGCAACCACAAGCAACCAAAAGCCCAGTGAATCCATACGAGGCCTCGGGTCGTGATGGACCAGCTTATACGCGCTGACGACACGAGACCAACAAACCATTTTGCAAAAGAACTTTGGCGGCGCGCTTCTCTCCGCGCTGGGAAGGAGGCAGCAGCCTTCTCCTCCCTCATGCGGCGTCGCAGTGCTTGCATGTCACAGTCGCACAGAGCTTTTACCTCCCCCTCCACGGCAGGAAGGCAGCATCACTAAACTTCTACGTCTGTGTCGGTTTCCTCTCTTACCACTCGGGCGCTCGGCTCTGGGTGCAGCGGCCGACGCCGCCGCCGCCGCCGCGCCTCCTGTTGCCGCCGCGCAGACTCCATTTTCCTGCTCATCTCCGCTGCTGTTCGTGCGTTTGCTTTTCTTTCCCTTGTTGTTCTTCTGGTTGGGCATGGCACAGGATTTGGCTGTCAGTGTTGTTTTCGACCTCTATCAACGGCTGCTGTCAACGCTGTTGGACATTTCTGTGGACTCCATTTCTGCAGTGCTTCTTCTTTTTTTTGCAGTGCTTTTCTTTGGGTTGTTGTTGTTGTTGTTATTGGTGTCCTCGTGGGTGAGGCAGGTTTGTATGCAGCAGTTACTGCAGTGGTTATAGAATATAAGCTGCTATAACCTTTAAGAGCGAAGGCGTGTCCGTCCCTTGTTTTGATTCCTGTTCTGCTGTTTTCTTCAACGTCTGACGTCACGGGACCCCGCCCCCCGCGTCGGCCGACTACGACTGATGATGGATTCAAGGCATGTGGGAAATGTTGGAATTGATGGTTTCAACACCCCCTTTTTTTTACACACAGATGAGACTTATTGACACAAGAAAATATGACTCACCCTTTGCTATTCAAACCTGCATAGCGGTATAGATATGTGTTTTATTACCTGTCTATATACTGTTCTTACTAGTCCCTAACCAGTACTCATTACTTCATTACAGCACAACCTATCTACATGAGTATTATATTATGAAACATTGTACCAGTGGAATGGAAATGATTATGGCTGCATTATACTCTAGTCTTTAGCAATGCTTAATATTCTATTAAGGTTAAATATGAATCAGCACAAGGAACTACAGCTGTTAGTTTGATAGTAAACACATGTATAATGTGTATGTGGTATTACATAGAAATACTCCAGCCCTCGTAATTGTATTGAACCAATGTTCTTTTCCATCACTTACAACAACGCAAAGAATCTACCATAATATTTGGGTAAGATATTCCAACTGTACATGATTGCAGCAGGCTGAGCCTTGAGACTGGGAGTTGATAAGTATCACATAACTGTATTTAGCTGTTATGACAGCACATACATCATCAGCCTGGGAGTGATCCCAAAAAAAACAGCAGAACAGCACTGCAGTATTTGTACCAAAGAGCCCGTGTAGCAGTCAATGGCATTTCAGTTGAACCAAATCGCCTCCAGAGCATCACCATTGATAGATATCACAAGACTCGTGGCTGTGAGAATGGATTAAACAAACACAAAATGACAATAAGAATCACCACAAAGCAGGTTCAAGGTTTCAAATTGTAAAGATTTTATTCCTGTGTTTATTCCGCCGTAACAGAAACATTTTTTTTTTTTTTTTTTAGGAATGTGTTATTGCCAATACAAAAAGACAGTAATGACGCACATGAACGCATCCTGCAGGCAGCCTACAAGTTCACAGAAATGGCTTGAGGTATTCGCACTGGTCTGATCATAACTCTTCCTACTCGCTAAGAGTCAACTTGTGATGTGATTTGCATTCATGATCCACACACACACACACAGCAGGATAATTCAACAGTGATGCAAGCAGCGTGTTTCTTCCTCACTCCTGCTGTTCTCCCATATTTCCATAACCTTTCAGACTCCGGCTGTATTAGTCTGTACTCTTGAGGATTACATTTTAGTTTTCAAGGCTACATTTCAGCTTCAGCAGACACCTGAGCAGAAAGAGTGAGCTTGGTTGACGCAGCAGCAGGGAGTGTGAAATGGTTCTCAGAGAACTTGCAGATGAGGCGCAGGAGACCGAAAGCTGTTTCAATAAAATGTTGACATTATGCAGGTGAGCAGAACGACTGCAAAGCATAAAAATGGTACATTTCAGGCAAATATATTTGGACATTGCTGGTGTTTTAGGTGATAACCCCAGATGGGAAGAGTGGCGCCGGGTAAGTGACCAAACACGCAGCTGTATCCACTAAAGCAGACAACCGCTGTGAAACTGTAAAATCTACCTGAAATTATATTGGTAATAAAGAGATTGCTGAAACTCTTTGACAAAATCCTGTTTTAATATAGTCTCTATTTGTTCAGATGATGTATTTAGTTCATTTTAACTACTTTGGGCCTCCTTACAAGCTTAATGTAAACCAACCTGCAGTACAGACAGTAAATTAAAATTGAAAGAAAACTAATACAACAATAAAATGCACATCTTGTGTCACAAGACAGACACATAATTTAAGCTACAGGACACTTTTAAACATATTTTTGTTTCTGTCAATCATCACAAATTCTTCTTCTGCATCTGGCACCAATCCGCCTGTAATTATTATACCTCAATACAAATTGCACAAGAAATACATTCGCCGTTTGCTCATCAATCACGTTTCTTACAAAAGGCAAGTTTTAGTGTATCAGTGTATGTCTATCAGAGAAAATTCACTTTGGACCACATGTAAAAAGATGGAATAAAAACTACTCAAGTAGATTGCATCAAATACATAAAGGTGGAAAAGTCTTTCTTGAAACGCACTTTTCTTTGTCATTTCTATGAAGAAATTGTATTTCCAAAAGCACTGGTCTAATAAGGTATTTTTTAGAATGTCCACAAGAGGTAGTTGAAATGTCTCGTGTAAACAATAAATGGAAATGACTTTTGGTGACACTGAGGGTGGAAACTTACTTGGCGTGGTCTTAAAGCCGATAGAACTAAAGCACTAAATTAACTGAAACCCAAATGATATGATGATTTGTAGTTAATTTTATCTCAACTCAAATGGCCACTTGAGGCTGTTAAGACACAAAAAAAAAAAATCTTTCGTAGGAAACATTTGTACAAACAATATGTTAAGATCAGAGTGCGCAAATTAAAAAAAGCGATGAGATACTTTGAAATCTGTCAAAGTATCTTGTTCTGTTTGTCCTTCACCCTGACACAATCAGGAGGCATTAAACCCCCCAGAAAAAGATATAAATATTTGACAGAGATTACATTCCTGATTTGTGCGTTTATGGTCTTAAAAGTCAAAGTTACATTTCAGACCCGAGGTCGATAACAGCAGTGCCCGAAAAAGGAGAAACACAACATTCCTTGTCATCTGAAACCAGGAATGTGGCAGTTTTTTAGTCCTTGAAAACCCCAAATACTCTATAAAAAAAAAAAAAAAAAAAAAAAAAAATTGGTGAGACCGTTTGGCAAAGGGCAATCAAATGAAATCATATGTAGACAAGCCAGCCGGGTCCTACGTACTGTCTGAACGAATTTGTTTAGTCAATATGTTTAAATTCAAACACTAAGCCCTGCACATTAAGGAAGATAACTGAAAACAGAAGCTCGGTGACGAGCCGGCAAACGGCAGCAGATCGGTATCACAGAGGAGGCGGTGAGTCGCTAGAAGACCGTCCGGTACAAACTTTGGCCTCATTCCTGGAGCAGCACGATGTCGACGTTGTCGTGGACGCCCTGCAGGAGCAATTCCCCCTCGAAGTTGATCAGCTTTCTTCTCTTGGCTGCCCTCAGGGTGCCCACCAGCGCCTCGAATATGTTGGCACAGTGTTCGTCATTAAATAAGATGCCGAACTTCACTTTGGTCTGACCATCGGCACCTGGATTAAGAGACGCATTGATAGATCGATTCAAAAAAAAGTGTTGACAACCCGCGCGTTCATGTATCAATCTATGTTTCCCCATGTAAGCGTCACAGTCACCTTTTTTGAAGTAGTTCATGAACAGAATTAAAGTCAATATTGGATTTTATTTTGATTGGTTTGGACTATGACAAACTGTCCAGAACCCAAATATATTTAATTTACAATATAAAAGCACACATTGAGAAAAGCTGCAAATATTGACCTTCGAGAAGCCGGAATCTCAGATTTCAGTATTTCACTTAAAAAAAAAAAAAAAAATCAAACAACTGAAAGAATGCAGCACTGGCACCAAAGAAAGCGCATTGAAAACATTGGTGGAGAGTTATTTTAAGACTGAATACAAGTAGCTGAAGGCTGGTCCGTTTGTCTTTGCACAAGAGCAGTGAGCTGGAACTTTCAACATCTCACGATTGTACGTCTGCGGTTTATTGAGATTCACGGCATGAACTGCTTCAAAAACGGTTTCCGCTTCGCCCAAGTACTTGAAGATCAAACACATCGTCCTCCATCACAGAATCACAGCACGGACTCACTTTTACTGCCGAGTCGCTGAATCTCCTGCACCAGCAGTGTGATTTCATGAGACACATCCATTGTTGCTGAAAAAGGGTGAAAAAAACACCAGGTGACCAATATATCAACGCAGTTTAACTTTTTAGCTTAAAATTCATCTGCGTTTTTTTCTGAAATAATCAAACACTGTAGGGTGTGAGCCATTAGGCCCGATACATGCCCCTCTATTGTAGGAAGAGACAAAGTCCAATATAAAGAGTCGCATTTTAGTGAACTATTGCTTCATGGAAACAGTGCCTGCTTTGATATTCAAGCTTTTAAATAACTGTATTGGCTTATGCTTAATATACCCAATCGGTTGTCTAAAAAAAATTGACAAAAAAACTTTCTTCACTGACACGGGCCCACTTGACTAACTAAGATGATGGAAAGTTATTTTATTTCGTATTTAATTGGATCGCCTGGCGACTAATTATACGCCGAAATATCAATTAGAGGCAATAAATTATTGAGGGGATGCAAAAAATTGTGATTTTTTACTACCCCCATGTACTATTTGATCAAAAGCAATTCATATTTCAACAGAGTTTGGAAGTAAGCGACTCCTCACACGGGAAAACGGTCGTTATGACCTTTAAAATGAGTGAAAATGCGACTTTACTTTTACTTGGCGCGTGCCAAACCTTCAGGAAGAGAAGGAAGATCGGCACGCGGACTGAACGGAACAAGCTTCAACAGGGCGGACGAGCGTGAATGCGGAAATGAATGGATTAGCACTCAGCTAGCTTCCCCCGCACCACGAATCCCCGTTGTCATTCGTTCGTCTTTAAGGGTTCGCGGTCGTTGTTGGGTGCGGGTTGATATTCACAATTCAAAAGACGTCTTACGGAACTTCAGGTGCGATGGAAAGTATTGAAATGACCCGCAGAAACGAGCTCGCCGGTAACGTTAGCTTCTAACAAATGACCGGCTGGAGGAGGAGAGGAGTTTTAGGCGGGCAGGGTGTACGAAACGCTGCTGTTAAAGTGAACACGGAACCAGCTGAAATGTTGCACCAAGTGTACGTGTTTACCTTTTAATTTGGTCTTGTTTCTGATGAGGTGACGGGCGGCTGTCTGGGGAATCTGCTCCGGTGGTGACTGCTGCTGCGTTCAGGGTCTGCTGGGAAACTTCACCTACACTCTTGGTGCACAAAATCCTTTGGATTAATTGTGGACTACAAACCAAACTTTAAACTGCATGTCACAAACGACTGTACTGGGCTTTTCAACATCATGGCATTATGACCAAATAAAATCCTAACTCCGTAAAAAAGGTTAGTTTGGTTATTTAAACAACATATTTAATTGCTGTATGTCCTGATTTTACACTACGAAAACTAACATTCTTTCCGCATTCACCTCTGTCACTCATCTCTCAGGCTCATGTAAGTACTTAAAATTTCTTGCGGCGATAGCAGAGTTTTCTTCTGACATTCTAAAACTAATTTCTAAAATATTGTAAATATCAATAGCTTTTTGTTTGATCACCTTTCGGCAAATGTATCTGCAACCTAATTTCCCTTTATTCTCATCCAAACCCTAATTAAATGTAAACATAATGTTTTTTATTAGCTCCTCGTTAAAATACATTTGTACACCTCATTGAATTTAACACATTTGTATATATATATATATGTATCTACATGTTTTATATATTTGTTTTTAATGCACAATTTCCATGTATATCATAAACAAAGATATTAAAATATTATGACTTGCAGATGATCTAAGTGAGGAAATGAATAGATTAGCAATCCCAGCTAGCTATCCCATAGCACAAATCCTTACTGTAATTCATTCAGATGTAGTGATGTTCAGTCATTCTTAAGAATGGGTATTCACAATTAGAGGGTACAAGGGCCTCGTCTGGCCCCTTGAAGGGCTGGTATACCTGGCTGAGCCTGCTGAGCATGTTGTGAACCCGCCCCGGGTGAAGGAAAGTTGATTGATGGATGGAATAATGTTAGCTGCTCTGTTTAGTTTAGTATAAATTTCTGCTGCAACATTCAGATGGTGGTATAAGAATTTGTATCTTGACAAAATGGAACATGGATCCATCTGCATTGTATCAACAGTTAATGCTGCTGCTCGGTTTGCTCTAACGTGTGGGTCATATTTCCTGGCACCCGTGGGCACTACCGCTAGGGCTGCAACTAACGACTATTTTAATAATCAATTATTTGGGTAATTATTTCTTCGATTAATCGATGAATCGGGGAAAAAAAACAGCATTAAAAAGCTTTAATTTCCAACCCTTTATTCTGAAACAGAACTGCAAATTCACATTGCAAAATACTTCAGAAAGTTAGTACAGGTTGCTCCTTGAACATAATCGTTAAAAAAAGAAAAAAAAATACAAATCAGAAAATGTAACAGGATTTGTTTTAACGTCAGAACTTGTTCTCTATACTACACTCACAAAGTCTCCCTCACAAATACACCCCCATGTTCACTATAAGCTTATTCATTAAATTATTACCATCATTGTAGTGCAAGTTAAGTAAATGTATACACCCCATCTAAGTACAGCTAAAAAACAACCAAGTGCTATGAGATGAATTTAAAATGGCATTTGTAAATAAATGCATTAGAGGCTTCTTAGTTAGCCGGTTTAATGGATCACAGTGTCTCCCTTTACAGGCATAACATCAACTACCGTCTAACCCACAGTATGTGCGCAAGTGCACTAGACTACCGTATATGACAGCGTTAAACACACACAAATATATTTGTCAACAATAACCGATATGGGACAAAGCACAAAATAAAATATAACATATTGAAAAATGAATGGTCCAAAGAGGCGAGTAAATAAAAACGTGTCTTAGTCTTGCTAACTGCTTTATTGTTATTGTATTGTTACTAGCGAGCTAACGCTAGCTTGATCAGCTGGATGACGAGTACACTTCAGCAGCGAACGGTTATACATTAAATCATTCTATGTTGTTTGTTGAAATTGATTGTTTATTTAAACAATGTACTAATGACACAATATAAATACATGTTCATACCTGGGAAAGTAGGGATTAAATGTCTTCTACGTTTAATGAGCGTAGACCGGTGTTTTAATTTGAAAACCCCTACCGGAAGTGTGTTGCTTAAGCAGGCTTGACACCGGTGGTAGGAATGGCGGCTAAGATCACTACAGGAAGGACCCAAAAGACCATGAAACTTTACTTCTAACGGCCCCGCTGAGGAATCTGTTTCCAGCGAGACGCGGACGAGCCGTCGCACATCGGATTGAAGGGTGAAGAACTTCTACAACGTGAGATACACGCGGTAGAAGTCCCGGCTGACTGGAGTGGACGCACTTTGCGACTCGCTAGTTAGCTTGACGTTAGTGCCACTGATTTTGATTCACGTTAGCCGTTAGCTCGCCGCACTACTAGCCAGCTGTTGGCTATTTGGCTCGGCTGGCCCAACAAGTTAACGAAGTAATTAACTGTATGAAAACGTTCCTTGTTTGAATATCTGAGCGTTGACCGGCGGCCTTTATCGATATATATCCTTGGAGCGTTTGTTACAGAGAGTAGGACCAGGCGACAACGAGTCGACGCGGCGCGTTGAGAACATTATTGCCGCTATCCTAGCTCGTGCAGTGACGCTAGCTAAGTTGGGATCTCCCAAGTCTCGCCCATTTGTGGATCCTGCCCTAGCCATTGGCTAAGGGGCTAATCATCGGGCACAGTAGTCTGTATTTCAGGGGGACAATTGGCACCACGATGGAAAGTCTAACGCTTACTGACGTCGAGCAGAAATATTACTCGGACCTGTTCATCTACTGCGACACGGACAACACCAAAAAAGTGGCTTCCAACGGGAGAGTTCTTGACCTTTTCCGGGCGGCCCAGCTACCCAGCGAAGTTGTCCTGCAGGTAAGCTAGCGTTGGCGAGTGCCAGTTTTTATTTATTTAAGTGTCATCACCAGACCAGGGGGGTACGTGGAGCCGTTAACCTCGTTTCTTCTTCTTCTTCTTTCTAATTATTTTTTTTACACACTTGCTCGGACGGTCAGAGATGACCCGTCTTCCGGTTAAGCTACGGTTTGTCCGCGGCGGCTAGCAAGACTGCGCAGAGACACACCTTCTTCTCCTTCTTCTGGCTAATGTTAGCCTGTAGCCCCGAGAAAGTGGGCTGCCGAGTCGCATCGTTTCCTCCAGCTGGACAGTCGGTCTCGAACGGACATCTTATTCGTGTCCGCTCTCCCGAGTATCTTTTCTATGGGCATGTGTTGCGCCGAGTGGACATAACGGTGTCCTCGGATTGCTGCCCACTCCTCCCCGTCTTCTCACTCTTATTGAAATGTCTCACTTGGGCCGACATGACGGAAAAACAGACCCCCACATGTCAGTGTCTACATGTCAATAGGATGTATAATGGCTATTACTTAAAATACCCCAAACTCCCCCAAACAAAATACCTTTATTTTGAAAGGGGGTGTCCTTCAAAACTGCCTATCCACTGATGTTTTTGCTGCATGTCATAGTCAATTCATGTCAGTCGCATCAACCTTTATGCCGTTCCACAGGGCTACTGCTTCGTCTGTTAAGTTATGAGCAGCCGTCTCAAATCCAGCAACTCTATTGTGTTTGTCCATTGTCCATTTTTTTTTGTTTTGTTTGTGTGTCTGTAACTTCAGGTTTTGCAGTGGAGCCAATATTTGTAGATCGAGTCAGAATCCCTTTTCAAGGTCAACAAGGGGAGCTGTGTGCTGGAAGAATTGGGCAGTGTTGTAATCATCTACTTTCCAAATGTGCACTGTAGGGGCCAATCAGACACACACACACAGCTACAGTGTCACGCTGTAACAGGCGGAGAAAAGTGACTGGTGCTTTTGTATCCAGACGCGCTGAGAATAAATCCCTTTGTCAGCATGAAGGGGATCAGTCAGCTGTGGCGGGCGTTGATGTTGTGCCGCTCGGCACTGAAGGACTCACCTTAATGTTTTAACTCCCTTTGTGTTATCATGCACAGATTCCTGGTGCCCACATATCATGTGACCCCCCCCCCCCCCCTCACACACACATCACATGATCTCCTATGTTATACTCTCACACTTTTTGTGGGGTCTGTCTGAATGGTCAGTGTACCGGAGCAAAGCCTGCTAGCATGATACGTGATAATGAGATGTGAGCCTGGTGCTTGTGTTGGTTCTTTGTTACTTGGAGCAGAAACTACGCCCCATCAACCCAGTACGTTTTTAAAGAACTTCAATACATCAACTAGTGACCGTGTGGCTTCTGACCACTGAGAAGAAGAAAAAATGTAACATCTTGTTAAGGCAAACTGAATGATTATTTTTTAATTTACCCATACAACTCTTCCTCGTTGTTAAGCGTTCCTCCCCATTTCCTTTTGTGTGTGTTGGTTTAGATCACAGAGCTTTGTGGAGCCACTCGGCTGGGTCACTTCGGGCGGAGTCAGTTCTACATCGCTCTGAAGCTTATTGCCATTGCACAGTCCGGTCTGCCCCTGAGGGTGGAAAGCCTCAACTCGGGTGAGTCCGCCAATGAATCCAACCTTCCTTCAAGACCTGCTCTCACAAGCCAGAGCAGATGTCCACCAAGTACCATCAAATAAAACATTGCAGGCACGCTGGAATCACAATGCAGTCAAAATCTAGTTTCATAAATTCTAGCTTAATGATGTTGCGGAGGTCGTGGGACAGGACGCACAGTATAAGTCTTAGGCAATGTAGCCCGTGGTAATTAACTTTAAATGATGGACGTAATAATATGTAACAATTAAAAAAATTGTTTGTTGAAATTAAAATTAATGCTTTGAAACAGTCAATTCTGCATGGAAGTTGGTAGTAGCCATATTTGTGTTATCAGCTGCTTGACCATAAGAGCTTTCTTTTTTATTTTCTTACTAATTAGAGTCTGTAGCCGATGCCATCGAGGGTTTAACTTCAAAAATATTTTGGTTTGTCTTTGGCGTAACTGCTCTAAAAATGAATACCAAAGGGTCGACGTCATAGTCACCTGTCGAGTAAAGTCACTTGTTTGACCGGAAATATTGCCACATAAAGTTGCTTAAATTATTTCTTAATTTGAATGAATATAAGGAAACACAGGGTGCTCACTTCCTCAAAGCTAAATGGCCAGAATGTACAACCTGATGTCATTGGATTTGAGGATGTTTTTGGACTCTTAAAGATGTCTCAGAAGTAAATACAGGGAATTTAAATCATGTGCCAACAATCTCCCGGCATTTAGCCAGGACATTTTCCAAACCGCTGTCTTTTAGGGACACAGTGGGGGTCCTCTTTGGAGCCGCGCAGGGTAGATGTTGAGCTGGAAGTAGCCTAGCAGCAAGTCCGTTTACTGCAGCGACCGTAGCATCAATAGACCACAACCCGGTCTGTGTTTTATTGTGGAGAAGCAGTGGCTCTGTTTCCTCTTTTCCCCCCCATCTGTTGTTCTTATAATACTGTTGCACTCTTTAAAAACAGATGTAAGCCACAGCCTTCTGCAAGAAGTAAACGCTTCTTTTCTAGGCATTCTGGGTAATGTCCCTACTCAATCACTGAAGTAAAAGCACGTGAGACAGGTGAAGGAAAGTGGCGCCACTAAAGAATTCAGCAAAAGTCCACCAAACTGACGGCGTCGTCCCGTAATCGGTCTGAAGCCACTCCTTCCTCTGATCCTGTGACTGGATTTCTGTCCCGCCAGTCAAAGACCTGCCGCTGCCCAGGTTCGTGGTGGGGAAGAACGAGGCAGAGGCGAGGCACGCGGCTCTGTACCAGGACTCGGACGCTCAGGGGCTGTACCCGGCCTCTGCCGCTGCCGCGATGCCCCGCCCACCGGGTAGGGGTTTCCAGAGCAAGAAAGGACCCCCATCATCCACTTCACTTCCTGCCCACGAGGTCATCCAGCCCCTTGCGCCCAGCATAGACCCGCAGGTTGGTCATTTATTGTATCCTTGCTTATTCATGTCTTGTATATGCATGAAGGTATTCGGTCAGGCTTAGGGTTGAAGTTATGATGTGAACTTGCATTTGTTTTCCGGTATTAGAAAATGGCCTTGTCTTATCTATATTTTGGAGAAAATTATAAACCCCCCTCTTACAGAGGAACTCAGCAGTTATTAGAGATATGCAACTGGACAACTGTTGTTTCCTGTACTGTTTCCTGTACGCGTTTGAGAAATTCAAATTACGCTCAAAAGTTTTTCTAATCCGTAGAACTCTTGCATCGATTTGAGAAACACCCAAATATCTGTGATAAACAGAAGATAAACGCCCTGAAGCAGCATTTATTAGCTCGGATGTCGCATGTTCGGGACGTGTTATTGTGAGATGGGATCTGAAAGTTAATACTGATAAACATGTGAAACCACAATATGACGGTTATGGCTGCACTTCTGCATGCAGAGCTTCTGTTTCCTCCTTGTGTGTCACATTCCGATTTTTAGAAGACTTTGTCTGGAGGTGTTTTTATTCTCATTCCATCTGCAGCTGTTCAGTGTTTTTACAGAACGGCGTCTTTTAACTACATGGGTCGTTTTCTACGGTTGACTGTATCTACGTGTGTTACCAGCCCGAACCGACGTCCCCCGTGGTCTCCCCTCACCAGTCTCCTCCCACCTCCCCTCCCTCGTGGAGGAAGCACCAGCGGCAGCCCAGCGGAGGAGCCACAGACAGACAGGTGGTGGTGGCTCCAGCCGGAGCCGTGTGGACGCACTTCAGGGAACCACAAGCAGGTAACATCTGCTGCTGAGGGAAAGTTGGTGATGATGATTTAGAAGCGAATTCATTGCTTACATTATTGTCAGTGTCTCACAATCTATTAATGTCATGTTAAACTAAATAGCTCTTGGGCGTTGGACTGTTGGTCAGGCAAATTATGACATTTTAAGTTGTAACCTTTTGACTGAAAACTGATCTTTTTCTGAAAATAATAGTTTGTTGCCCATTCTAAATGAAAAACAATCAGATGCCACAAGGTGAATAATGATGATAAATATATATATTATTTGAGAGTTTGATATTTTCTTACGTGTTGAAAACACACTGGTTGTACTTGTGTTACTTCCTGGTGTTTTCAGCGTGTTCATAAATGATGTTTGCAGAGTGTGTCAGTTAGTCATTATAGGAACAACCTGTGCCAAACTTTCATACGCACTAAATGTGATGGTGATCTCATAAAGAATGAAGGTTTGACAATAATCCTCCCAAGAGCTGAAATGATTTATCGATTTGTCAATGGTTGCGTTCCTCATCTTTTCTTAATAACGTTCCGTGTATATTTATTGGTCTGTCATGAGATGTAAATGTATGCTTTCCTCTCTTTGTCCTTCCAGGCCCAGCGCCCGGTGAGGGAATGTGGCCGTCCCACTCGCCCCCGCCTCCAGGTCAGGAAAGTTGGGTCAGTTTTACAGCAGACACCCCGCCATCCATCCCAGGAATGCATCCCTCGTCAGTCCAGGTAGGGCAGAGTTACGTGTCTGTCCCTCAGTCCTTGGGCTGGTCAGACATAAATGCCCCTAAAGCAATTTAGTTTTCCATTATTCCATTGACAAGCAAGTCCCTCAGTGATTCCCTGTTTGGGAATAATCTAACTGGGAAAAATAAGCTTACATATTGTCATGGCATGAGCTAATGCCTCAAGTCGTCTGTATATTCTGAGAATGACTCAATGTTGTTTCAGGCTACGTTCATCAGGAGGGCAAACATGGTCAACCGCTTTTAATCAGATGGAAAATATGGGATGTTTGCAATTTGGTGCCTCGAACAAGCCAAACTGTTTTATATTAGGGCCATGCTGTTTCTTAGATCATGTAATTACATTTTTCAACTTGGCATTAATGGCTGGGATGATAACGGGCCTCTCTGTCCCAAGCTCCCTTTGCCATTCCACATTCCTGCTACATTAATGAGAATCTGAGTTTACACAGTCAAAACCTTTGATCAGAAAGTGGATTACAGCACAGCGGGCCACTGGAAAAACTGCCTGTGGTTACATACAGGTCTTATTGGACTACACTATTTAATTGTGCTTAATCAGAATACAAATCTGACAAAGGTTTATTGCCAGTTGCTACGGTAGGCGAGTAGCAGACTCACTGGGCGTCCTTTAATGCCACACGCAGCTTACAGAAAATGAGCCGAGCAGCGCTGCGTCTTACCAATTCTCCTCACTAGCCGCCACTGTGGACAAGGACAAGCCACCTGGCCTGCCACGTGTCTCCGTAGCTGCCGTGACTCTCTTAAATGTAAACGTCCCGCCTGGTCTCCCGTAGGAAAGCACAACGATACGAACGGTGGCCTCGGCCTCGATGACCAACGAGATCCAGCGGCAGTCCAGCGGCTACGATGATCCGTGGAAGATCACAGACGAGCAGAGGCAGTATTACATTAACCAGTTCAAAACCATTCAGCCAGACCTCAGCGGCTTCATACCTGGTAGGAAAGATGCACAAACACACGCGTATAAAACGAGAGGAGTGGATTGTTTTAACCGTCTGTGTCGTGGTGTTTTTAGGTTCCGCCGCAAAAGAATTCTTCACCAAATCCAAACTACCAATTTTAGAGTTGTCACATATTTGGTGAGTCTTCACTGTTCTGCCATCTCTGCTGTGTTTGTCTATGCTGAGGGTATTTGTGGTTCCATGCAGATGTCTAAACCCTCAGTGCTGCTCGTACTGGACAACTAACACTATTTAATATACAGTATGAAGTGTAGTGTGTTGAATAATATAATAGGAAGAAGAAAAAAATTGCATTATTCTGATAAAGAAGAATCTGTAGAAAGCTACATTTTGTCTCTGTACGATTACTTAAATAATCCATTAAATCAAAAATGCCTTAAACTAATCTGTTTGGAGAAAAGCTCTTCTGTAGCCAGACTACCGTTTAATGTATATGTGTGTGTTTGTGTTGAAGGGAGCTGTCAGACTTTGATAAAGACGGAGCACTGACTCTAGACGAGTTCTGCGCTGCCTTCCACCTGGTTGTAGCCAGGAAGAATGGCTACGACCTCCCCGAGAAGCTGCCAGAGAGCCTGATGCCAAAGCTGATTGACCTGGATGACTCAGCAGGTGCACGGTCTCTCTCTCTCGCTCCCTCACACACCCCGTCTCTCCATGTTTCTATTTGGATCCCTTCGCTAATTCCCCATCCTAAGGTTTACGGTACTGCACTGTGCTCCACCTAAATCACAGTAGACTGACTTGGGCTGTTCTTTCCTTTCAGGGAGCACAGTTATGTATCTCTTTTCTGGGTGTCAAGTTCCATGTAAATGTTTTTCGCCATGTTTGCCATATTGTCAAACGTATGCCGTGTCCAGGCCTGCACAGAACCCTCTAGCTAGTGTTCATCTAGATTTTCCAGATTCACATTGAATTAGTGGCCCGTTGAAAGAATATGTAAATAATTGTATGCTCTTTGCATGTAAATACAGAGGATTTTTGATTGTCCCCGAAGCAGAATAAAGTAATTTCCAGTCAAATCTGTTTATATTTAGAGTTTTAGTGTTTTATTTATCTACTAACCTTTTGTGTATTATGGGTAAATTCAGAGGGCTCGGAGCAGACTGCTGACGTTGGATACTCGGGCTCCCCGGTGGAGGTCACGCCCAGCAAGTCCCCATCTATGCCTTCACTCAACCAGGCCTGGCCAGAGATGAACCAGAGCAACGAGGTTCCCAACACACACAGTTTCCTCGTTGTATCCTCACACATGATCGCTCTGTTTGCTTTTGCTGTGTTTGCATTTGATTCATCATGATTAATTGGGCTGGTTTAATAGGGGGCTTTTTTTCCATCTTGATTTTACTGCCTCATCATCCTCTTTATCATCAAATTCAATTACTGATAATTCAGCACCTTTTCTCTCACTTCCTGGACTGTGGCGTTAACCTGCGGTTCCGTATGAGCGTCTGTTGTTGTTTCCATGCCTGCCGGCAGCGTTTCATCGCCTCGTCGTCTGGCTGATGTTGCCACGTGACCCCAGCGGCTCAGGCTGATAATGTAAATGTGTGATGTCACTGCACTGGCTGACTGACGTGTTTTTTCTCACTGTCTGTCTGTCTCCTGCAGCAGTGGGAGACGTTTAGCGAGCGCTCCTCCAGCTCACAAACTCTGACCCAATTTGACTCTAACATTGCACCAGCTGACCCTGTAAGTCAATCACTTAGTATGCATGGTTTCGCCATTAATGCACAGACATTAACCCTCTCTGGATATCCACAAGCGCTCTCTCTTCCTGCCCTTTCACTTCAATTCACTATGCTTCATTGGCATGATTGTAACAAAGACGATATCGATAAAGCGTCAAACAATGAGATTAAAAGCAAAAAATGTACAATTTGTAAGATCAAGAAATCCGGGTTCAGCCTCTGGATAGCGTGTGTGTGTAATAAGCGTACGAGTATCAGTTGCAAGTGATTAAACTATTTAAGTCTTATCCTTAATATACAATTGAAATATTATAGATCCACATTTATTTATAACATTCTAGCCATTTAGCTTTCTCTTTCTCGGTGCATGACATTCTTTCAAAGTGCAATCTGGCCGGTGTGTGTGGGGACTTTGGGTGGCTTAGCCTCTGTTGGACATCACCTTTTCTTTCTTCAGTGACATCCACGTTTGCGTAATGTGACAAATAACTCTTGCTATATATTGTCAAATATTCTAAGTACTCAAATTGATGCTTTGTATTTTAGACTTGCAGTGTCCATGTCCTTTTTGTTTTCTCCTGAGGCAGAATTTCTTTCTTACAGCATAAAGTTGCTCTATACAGTAGATAATAATCTGGGGAAAAGTGTAGGATTGACAACCACAATTGGCCTCAGTGTGCATCTTTCTTTAAATCGTCGTGGGTCGTCCCAGCAAAAATATCCCTATGCAGAACCTGTAACATGTAAACCTGCACAGTCGGTACTTGCACGGGGTTAAAGCTATTTAGTTAGACAGTAACTCTTGAACCTCAATGATGTTCCAATTATACTATTCAGAAAAGGTTGAATGTCCTAATGTAGACACATGGGCAGTTGGATATCATGTGATTGAATCAATTATGAGGTTACGTTTTTGCTTTGTGTCATTTCATAGTCTGCTGTGTGTCAAACCAAGTTAGTTAATAGAAAGTGAGGGATAATAGTGCTGTGGACCACAAACATCTCCAGAGAAACTCTGAATCTTCTTTCCTCAACTCCTGAACCTACATATCTTTCCTTTAGGACACGGCTATCGTCCACCCGGTCCCCATCCGGATGACACCCAGTAAGATCCACATGCAGGAGATGGAGCTGAAGAGGACTGGCAGTGGTAAGACAACCATCCACCGCATCATTACAATTCCCTCAAATCATTATTAGCAATTTTCTATTATGTGAGTGCAGCAGCCGGCTTGTTGTAGCACAAGCACAAGTGTTGAGAGGGACTCGTGACTGTGAGTTAGAGCTAATATGCCATCAGAAGTCATACCAGCATGTTAGAGTTGAAATAATCCAACTATTTGAATGGCTTGCATAGGATTTGGTCGATAAGGTTTTCTGGGTAACGGGAAACTAACGACATTAAACGTCTGTTTTAGTTATTCTTGTCACCAATGAACAATTCACTCAGCACTTGTTGCCCTGTTACTGCTCAATCCTTTAGACCACAACCACCCGACCAGTCCTCTGCTGACTAAACCTCCGGAACTGTCCGAAGAAACAAATATCCCCGCCTCCATGAAGTTCGTAGCTGCCAACCCCGTAGGTGAGTAGAGGGTTTGCAAGAACTCCTCGGAAGGGCTATGTGGCGCCTACATTAACCATAATGCAGCTCAATCACAGGCCGCTCGGCAGGTAATGTAACTTTAAGCAATGATGATGATGAGCTACAGAGGTTTGATCAGCTCGCTTCGTTCTGATGCCACCCACATTCTGAGTTTTTGTTTTTTGGATTTTCTGGAGTTATTATCCACCTGTGATGCTGACTCAAGTGACATATTCTGAAGCAATGTCTAATAACTCCCAAAAGGCTTCGGATAACTTTGTGAAGAAATGCAGAAGTACTTGTAAAGTGGGATTTTATTTTATAATCAATAAGAACATTTTTTTTAGTTCATTGACTCCTTGTTACTGCAACATTTTCGTCTCCCTGTGGGATACTGCATTTCGTTGCCTCAGTACTCTGTGCAATGACAATAAAGTTGAATCTAATCTAATTCGAACTAACACGCCCTAACATCTGTTGTATATTCTGTAAATACATAATAACCACGAGGTTGATCTGGTGTTTATGGGATTTTTCTTGTGTGTCTCTGCGATGAAGGTGATGGTTACAGCAGTTCAGACTCCTTCACCTCTGACCAGGAGCCCACTACAAGACAAAGGTCAGTGGCTGGCACGCCATTTCACTTTGCTTATGTTCTTTATTTACGAGCTTTGTTATTCTTACTTTTGTGGGACATCATTGTGGACATGTCTTTACTTTTTGAATCTGTCTAACATTTATCTATTTTTTAGGGCATCGGGCCACTTGCTCTGATAAACAATATTGGAAATAAAGTACAAATGTAAATCCTCTTAACTCCAGAAACACAAATGTTCATCTCTAGGTCTCAGTCGGGCACGTCTCCAGAGGCTCTGAAGGTGGTTGCCCCGCCTCCACCGCCACCGCGCCCCCACCCCTCGCACTCTCGCTCCTCGTCTCTGGACATGAACCGCACCTTTGCTGCAACAGCTGTTGCAGGACAACCACAATCCTCCACGATAGCCTACCCGCCCGCCGTCCCTCCCAGGCCGCTGCCCACACAGGTAAGACGGGCAGAAAGGTCAAAGAACGCCGCCATAAAACTCACCCTCTCTTCAAGCGTTGACTTGACAATGCGACGGCCTTCACCGTACTCTCCTCAATCCAGACATCAGCACCACATACCGGGCATCGTGGGGAGGCCGAAGGCACACCAGTGGGCGGCGCGGCGCTCACCACAGCCGCCGCCGCCACCACCACCACCTCCCCCCATCTGATTCCCCAGCAGCCCAACTTCGCGGACTTCAGTCAGTTTCAGGCCTTCGCTGCGTCCGAACAGCCTTCCAGCCTGCCGGAGGTCGATGTGCACAGTGAGCCCGGGCAGGTGTGTTGTCTTGTTACCTGAGCGTCCTGTGAGGGAGCCTCCCCATCAATGAGTCATGATGTAATCAGTTGTTAACTGACATGACCTTATATTTATCAAACAATATTGTCTATTGCCATTGTTTTATTCAGATCAAATTGCTAGCGTGCTGCCATTTATCCGCGAATCAAAGATCTTCCTTATTTCTAATGAGACAAATGGCCATCACTCTTTTCCATTATAACAGACTCAAAACGGTCTTAATGACAATAAAGCTCTGATCATAATACAGTAAGTTTAATGGATCCGTGTAAAAAAGATTGTTGTTGTTTAAGATAAGCATGTTTGTTTGTTTTTTGTCGTCAGGCGGAGAAGTCGTCGGAGGGAGCCGGTCCTTTACGAACAGTCAAGAGCGACGGCCAAGCAGACGAGAGAGCATCATCTACTGTCAACTCTGTAAGCCAACACAATACATCTGAATAATATTTATAGTGCAATGAAGTCTTACCTTGTCTTAGGTAATTATTGTGAATAATAACATTTTTATTATGGATGTCAAAATTAACGCCGTAATCTGACATTATTGTGGCCGAATAAAATATTAAAATGCAGGTAACGCAAGTTTGTTTACTTGCGGTGTGGGTTGATCCCTGAACGGTATGTGAAGACAACATCACACAGCAGAGGACCACCACTGTTGCCCTAAAAGACAGACAATACAAAGTGTATTGTAATATTACAATTATAAAATTAGAGATCAATTCGTTAATTTAGTTCAATCTATTGTCACCTACTTTTTATTAATGTGGCACAGGTCACAATAAGTAAAGTTTGCAGGAAACCATTATAGTTGTCATTGAAAATTAAGCATGCCATTGTTGACAGTCATTTAATGGATTTGTTGAACCCCATCAGGTCAAAGCTTCTGGGTCTGGTCCACTTGCGCCTCCTCCAAAGCCCGTGAGGCGGAGGTTGAAATCTGAAGACGAGCTGCGACCAGAGGACGAGCAACATGGTCCGCAGAAATCAAACGTCATAGCTGCGGTCCTGGCCACTCAGCCGTCCATCCCCAGGTAAAGAACTTGGTTGGTTGGACAGACAAGTATTTGGAGGTTCTTGTTCAATTTTGTCTTTGGGTGCATTTTAGTAAAGAAACGTGTGCGTGTTTTCAGGTCTGTAGGAAAGGACAAAAAGGCCATTCAAGCGTCGATCAGAAGAAACAAGGAGACGAACACTGTGTTGGCACGACTGAACAGTGAACTGCAGCAACAGCTGAAGGTGCGCACGATTCAATTAGTTTCTTTCTGACCCTTTTCCCTCCTGGTGGAAGAAAAATGATTTTAAGTTTGTCATTTTCCAGGACCTGCTTGAAGAGAGAATATCCCTGGAGGTCCAGCTGGAGCAGCTCAGACCGTTCTCTCACCTTTAACCGGGAGCAAAAACTCTGCTGTAGTGAAGCAACGCTGTGGCCCTCGGCAGGACTCCTCTCCAGCCCTCCCTCCCCCTCCAGCCCTCCTTCCTCCTCCCACCATCACGGCTTTGCCTGGAGGCTCCGACCTGCTGCAAGGTGCTCCGTTAAAACTCTTGCGCTCAATCACACACTTGATTCATGGAAGAACCTAGAAGGACCCGAGAGCAGCGTCTCCCCGCGAGGTGGAGGAGGGGACAGGAGCGTTGGGGGAGGAGACTATACACACTGGCACTTTTTTGGATTTTGGCTAAAGAGAAGTAAACGTGAGGACGACAGCGGTCTGAAAAGGCGGTTTGGAACGTCGGACAAGACGCTCCGACTGTGACCGCTGTCTCAAGACAAACTGCTGATGTCTGATTACTTTACTGAAGAGGAAAGCAGGAGTGTGTCCGCGTCTATTTGTGTTCCTGTTTGTTGACTTGTTGGCTTGAATCAAGCACCGATGTGTTTATTCCCTCTTGGGGTAAAGACTGCAGCACCAAACTCCTGTTAAAATCAGGCAGATTTAAAGAAGCAGTTGAACTTAAATGAAATACACTTCTTTGCTTTCTTTCATAGAGTTTGATGAGAAGTTCCATATCAATCTCGTATGTGGTCTCACATGCGATTTGCTCAGTTTAGCTTAGCATAGAGACTGCAGCAGGGGGAAAATGCTAACCGGACTCTATCCAAAGCTTAAAACTAAAACCGCACCTCTGAAGTTCACTCATCAACTTGTTTGTCTTTGTTTAAACAAATCCTCATTGAGTTTATTGCTTAATCGATTAACTTTAACGGGGAAATCATACGTGTTTTCCTCAAAAAGTAGAACTATTCCTTTAAATGTCGACTCATTTATTGGTATACTTTCTTTTCTACTACCTTCAAAGCTTGACAACAATTGTAGAAATCATTTCTGATTTAAATCAAAGATTTTCTATTTATTTACTAACATTTGCCTTGTTAATGTCAAATAATCTGCCAACCAATCGATCACTGTTACATGCTACTACACACTTTAGAGGTTTAGAAAACGTGATAAATTCTACGTAAGGAATAAACATCTGCTCCTGAGCAAGGAATTTAAAATGTACCTTTTTTTTTGACTGGGGTTTGGTGGAGTCGGTCTTTACATTAAACATACCGGGCTTCTGCTGAACAGGTTTATTTGCGTTTTTGTGAAGCCTTAAGTGGCCAAATCATGGTGAAGGCTTTGTTTTTTGTGTTTTTGTTTTTTTACTTTTGAATTTGAATTCAGCCCACTCTTGTTACTGCCCCTTGAGAGGTGTGTGTGTGTGTGTGTGTGTGTGTGTGTGTGTGTGTGTGTGTGTGTGTGTGTGTGTGTGTGTGTGTGTATTTTAATGACATTATGTGGTGAAAAAATCTTTTTTGTTCTTCTCAGTATGTATAACGTGTCCGGGGTTTGATGTGACTGAACGTTTTGTTTGTTGTTGTTTTTTATGCCAAATGACTGAACTATCACTGTTCTGTCACCTCTACGCTGGCTCTGTTTTTAAAAAGTAAAGAGAAGCAACCTCTTTACCTTTCCTCAAGGGTTCTCTTGAGTCATTTACAAACACAACAGTGCACCGACATCTCTGCTTTCTTTTAAACAACCTCTTACTCCACTTGGCTGCGGAACCATTCATTTAAACAGAGGTTCACTTAAAGGGTTTGAAGTTACTCCGGGTGCTGGACTCCAGCATCCATGAAGGATTGTGCTGCTCATCGAAGAGAAATCCTTTTCCCATCAGCACACACACACACACACACACTCACAGATCCAAACTAATTGGGTTAAATAAGCGTTGAGAAAGGTTGAAGATTCCTATTCCCCCCCCAATCGGGCAGTCGGCACTATGCAAGCACGGGCGATACATCCGCTCAGACCAACTATACTTCTGTTTGTTTGTGCTACGATAGTAGCAACTGTGCTAAGCGTGTACTCTGTATCTTTAGATCTTCCAGAACACCATTTTCTGTATGTTGTTTCTGTGTGATTTCATTCTTGCCTTCTCCCCCGTCCCAAAGAGGGAACCTCAGATCAGTGTCTTATCAGGACATGTGTGTCTCAAAGAAAGATGCAACTCCTGCTGGTTGTAGATGAAGTTTAACAGGATTGTAGTCCGAGACCAGTCAGCTGAAATGGAGATCTGAATGACCCAACTGCACTTTGACCCCCACCACCCCTTTGCCCCGCGCCATACCCTAAAAGTCTTGTTTGGTTAATTATTATGTCAACGTTTAGTCTCCAGAGCTTCCTGTGTGTTTGAAGAACCAGTCTTCTACTAAAGCCTTACCTCCCGACTGGCGTTCAGGTTTCCATGGCGGCTGACTGACCTCCCTTCCTCGTTGTATCAAGGGTTGCCTTTTTTTTTTTTCTGCTGTTGAGTATGATGGTGTGTGTGTGTGTGTATTGTGTAGTCTCCAGACATGGAACAACTACCATTTAAAAACCGCTATGTTTGCTAGCACAAGACCTCCCCGTTGATCTTAAACCCAAAAGGCAATCCAGGCAGGCGCAATCACAAAGTCTTTGGCGGGCTTTTGCTCCCACATCTGCGCTGTATATTGTAAATGATACACACTTTTGAACCCATATGTACATTTGCATTAATTGCTGACTAACAGCGAAAGAATATTCTATTTAATTTCTCTAATCTTCTCTCTTGGCTGTGGGATCCTAGATGTTTAACTGCATGGATGTACTGTATCTCTGCAGAGTCAACTAGCAGCTGTGTGATTTTTACACAAAAATAAAAATGGCACAATATTTTAAAAGCTGCTCTCTTCATCGTCTCTTTTGTATAGTTTGTTAAAAAGACGCCTTTCACTTATTTTTATGAGCAGTAAAGTATCGCATGACGTCACAACTTTCTGCTGAGGTCAGTCATATCCATGATATTTCTTTCTGTGCTATTAGATTTTTTTGGAAAGTGGAGCCGGTGAACGCAGAAATCCATTGTATCACACATGCTATATTTGCGGTCACCTTTCTGTACTGAAGCTGTGTCGGCCAATTTGGAGCATTTATGTAAAGTGGAGGTTAACCATGTTCTCACCGTTTACCATGAGAGCCCAGAGGAAACGGAACCGCTGTTGCTCTGCAGTCAGCCCCTGAGAGGCCTCCTCGGTTCTCTTGATCATGACATTTTTTCCGTGGTCAAATTTCTCTTCATTTACTTGTTTTATTTCCATTCCTAAGAACTTTGGTCGTATTGATTCTGAAACGCATGAAAAGCAACAAACACCGAAATACTCTCAAAACACAGACACTGAGTAGGTTGAGCAGTTTTTATTTGACTAAATTATCTGATTTAAATTCCTGTACTCTAAAACTTTACTCCTCTACAAATCTTTGCAACAAACCACATTTTAGTTTTATTTAACTGCGGCAGAGGAAATATCAGTTTACTCCTCATGCTTTAAAAAGGGCTAAATTCAGAGAAAAAACCCTTTCAGACTATTACAGGTTTTGAATATTCCATCCGTGAACAGAAGCAATAATCTGTTAAGTACTACGGCAAAGCCCAGCTCACATGTGTTTAATGGCCTTTATGTTGAAGGTTCTATAGATCTACATCTACTGAATATCTTCTCTTACAGCAGGACGAAGAGCTCTAACGGAACAATATAAAGTTGTTTGCAAAAGCAGGACTTGAGGATTTGCCTCTGAACCAGCAGGTTGTCTTCAGGTTTGATTTCTTCTCCAGTGCGTTTATCTTCGTAGCCTCTTGTGTTTTTTGACGAGCGTCAAAACTTCAGCAGACACCACTTGTTGTAACTTCATTTGACCAGACTGGAAAGACAAAGGAGTTCAGAGATTTCTTTCTTTTACATCCTTCTACCGTTAGACGGGTATTTTCAGCCCCTACGTTAAAGTTCGACCTAGACCTTCTAAGCAATAGCTAAAAGTGAAATAACTCAAAAGTTCATGATGATCACTGAGGAAGAAGGAAGAAAGTCCGTTAGTGGTTTAAAAAAAGATTTACTCAAAAAGTGATTGAAGAGCTACTCTTCTTGGAAGCTTAGTTGTTCAATATGGCCAAACTTAACTAAGCAACAAGAAAACACATTTGAGTGCTCTGAGAAGTAGCTCGGGCTCTGGGTAAATACACTCACACGCTGGATTCCTTGTAGCGGTCCAGAGCCTCCTGGGCCACCACCTCGGAGAACTTGGGGTCGTTCCACGGGATCTCGCCCGGCACGCTGAACTTCAAGGGTGGAGAATCGAAGAGCTGCACGGACACATTTGTTTCTCCGGGATGATTTTTCTCATCGGTGTTTGTGCTGTTGACCTGCAGGAGAGGGACGGTTTCAGGTGAGACGTACAGTTGCACTACTGATGGACTGCAAAAGCTTCATATGTTGAAATGTTGGCGTGGTACTTTGTACTTCAGTTGCATCACCGCCTTAATGCGGACAAAAATGGATTAGTACATTATAGCCTTGAATCCAACTTGCAAGGTGGCCGTCAAGCCCAAGCTAAGCAATTAGAAACAATTTGAATAATTCATTAAAACATGTTAACTGCAACAACAAAAAAATATAAGTTTGTCCTCAGTTCACTCTGGAAGCTTTTTTTTTTTTTTAATGGATGGATTTTATGTTCTATTTTCTCTTATTCCTCGCTCACCAAAAAGGATATTTTTTAATCCATTTTCTCTACTGGCTTGTTAGAAATTAATATTCTTTTCTGATTGAGCAAAGCTCCTTCAGCGAAGACGTTATAACAACAAATCATCTCTGGCTGCTGAAGGCCTGGGGGGGGGGGCTCCGTACCATCTGGACCCGGAAGACGTCGTCCGTGGTTTTGTTGTTGAGAGACGACACCCAGCCGAACTCTCTGTTGAGCTGGTCCAGGATGGAGGAGGTGTCGAACATCTGCTGCTTGAACGTCTCCAGGAGGCTGTTGTACTGTTGAGAGAAGCGCTCGGCTATGGCCAACGCCTCCTCCAGCTCCTCCTTCAGGGGGCCCTCCAGAGGTCTGTTCCCAGAGCAATCTGTGGAGGAAACGCACTGCGATTATATTCATTAGAAGAGAAAGCACGTGGTTCATAAGATCCCTGATTATATCTTGTCTGACCAAAGACATTTCGAGCCTTTCCCTTTTTTCCAAAATGATCATAAATCCTAATTGTGTTGCTCTAATAAAAGCATCACTGTATCATTAGTCAGGTCTCCACACAGGAGGAGTCTGCATGAAACGACACAGATGACCTCACTGCGCCCACTAGCTACTTAAATACATCTTAAACTATGCTGGTTTAACATATTTCCCTCCGTATTGTGCGTTTATTTGTGTTGTTTTGCAGCTCATGTGATATATATATTGCCTCTGTGTTAACGTGTTGGACGGATATCGATCACAGAACACAAAAGAAAGAAGAAAACGTTTAATCCGGCGCTACGTTACCGATGTGCTGGATGTCTTTGCACTTCTGACACTCTTCGCGGAATCTGAAGCAGCCGGCTGAGTTGCGGCGGATCTCCCTGCAGGTCATCCTGCCGTCGCCAAAAGGTTTGGTGATGACCACGTCCTCGTTCACGCTGCCATCTACCCCCAGATGTGTGTAACAAAACAGTTAGAGCTTAAATGTAACTAACTCAAAACCCCAGAGGAGAAGACAGAGGAGCACGGCCTGTTTTCTGAGGAACACAACGATTATGATGTTTTCATTCCGTGTTTGAATTTTGAGACTAAATGGTCCTTTGTTATCACACTTTAAAAAGACAATTAAATCCAAAGTTTAGTCCAAATCCGAATAAGTCAGAAGATGTACCTTCGTTAGGAGCCGTGTCTGAGTCGATGTCCATCATGGAGCCCACGGAGCTTAAGAAGTTCTTGCCCATGCCCATCATGGGAGAGAACAGATTCTGAAAGCCGTGGAACGGGTCTTGGAAGAGAGAGCGGATGCTTCTGGTCGGGCCCAGGAAATTGGGAAAAAAGAACCCTGGAGGATCGTGGTGCAGATGATCAGCCACCTGAAACACCACCAAGAACAACAACAACAACAACAACACAAAATGTTGATTAGTGCAGCTTCAAACTGGGGTATCAAAGATTTTAAACCTTGAATGACGGCTGTCCGAATTTATTCAAGCTTGCTTCAATTCTTAATTTCACACAGCTATACACTAATAGAAATATTTAGATGAGTCATTTATTTCCATTTCTGCCAACAGATGACCCTAAATCCCACATATAGTTCTCTACAGTATTCTAACAAGTAAACGGTACCTTCATGCTGTCTGAGAATATGCTGTCCACACCGTCGGCCATCTCTGTGTATTTGTCTTCCAGGTTCTTGAACTCTTTGCTTTGACGCTGCCCCTCTTGCTCCAGGACGTCTACGTTCTCCCCGGTGATCCAGATGGACATGGGAGACGTTCGGTTCAGCACCTCCTCCAGCTGCAGGTAAACGGACAACTTCTGATTTTAAAGGCTAAAACCTTTTCTTTTCATCACGATAGTGAATAAGCGAGGACCCGGGGGATCCTAATCTTTCATGTAACCATTAAAATCATATGGAGGGGTGGCGCTGACAGGGGCGGGGGGTTTGGATGCTAGGCGCGGACATCACGGGGTCTGGCAGGGGGGGGGGGGGATTGCACGGCAGCGGACAAAGGGAGGACCGTTCTGTAATTCTCACAATAGCAGTGGGCCGTCCAGACTCCGGCGATGGGCCACACTGGAAGCCACGGCGGGCCGGATTTGGCTCGCGGACCGCGAGTTTGACATATGTGGTCTAGACAATTGGACTAACACACATATTCGATATATAACTATAAGAATAAACTGAATACATATACAAACTTATTAAATAAAAAGATCTTTACGTTTTAATTTTGTCAGGGTACCTTAACTACCGTGACTGCACGTCACTGTGTGCATGTGTGGCCGAACCCTTTTGAGATGGAAAACATAAAGGAAGGCAAATTAAATTACTTGAGAACACTTATGTATATGTCTATGTGTATGTGTAACCGTGGGTTCAATTTTCATTAAGTTTCCATACTTCTCTGGTGGGTTTCTTCTTCATGAATGCCGGACAATAGTTACAACCAAATCTAACTGGGATCTTTGATCCAAAAGTGTTTTGAAGGATGAAAGGGATTAAACGCCTCGGAGACTTCAATCAATTATCTTTACTCCCCCAGTAACTTTCAATTATCCTTTTATCCAGGCGTTGTGATTGGATTGATGGAGTACAGATGGAGTTGACCTCCGGAAAGGTCCGTCAGGTGTTTGGAATTGGGAGAATTGATTTAAGTATTGAATGTGTTTCTGATGCATCGGCTCTGTTTTGTCCTCTTCTGCAGAGTCTCACTTTCACCATAATCCATCAACACGGAGGACAAACAATTAGTTGCTTTTCATAAATTAAGTCCTTGCAGCTGATAAATACAAGGTTTTTCAAGATCAGAACAATTTCAAAAATGAATTTAAAACTTTTAACTGACTGACATGTCCTATCCAATTAATTTCAGCAAACATCCTAGAATGATTCAATTTAAAACCATAGAGGTCCCAAACACAAAATAACACAATACTAATTTGAAGTTTGATATTCAAAATGTATTGCAACACAAACAAATATCAACATATGATCTATCTAGCGGTGTCAGTCTTTGCCATGATAATATGTTTCATTTAATGTTATTTTGTATCGCACATTTGCCTCAGATGGCTTTACAGTCTGTACACATGTGACACCCTCTGTCCAGAAACCCTCACATCGGCACAAGAAAAACTCCCCAAACAATGAACAAGTATTCGATGGGGAGAACAAAGGGAAGAAACCTTTAGAGAGACACAGGACGATCCTCCCTGGGACAGACAGATTGCGATGGACGTACAGAATGAACAACGTACGATATGTATAGTTCTCAAATTAATATTTAATCAATGCGAGGCATTCTAATGAAAGCCCTGTGTGTATAATGTGGGATGAGCACACGTGTACGCGATGATCTGACCTGACGTCCCACCAGTCCCGATCCACTGCTGCATGTCCGCGAGTAGTATTTGACGCAGGTGTTCTTCAGGCAGGGCTTACACTCCTCCCACAGAGCCCTCATGGTCTCGTTACAGACCTCCTGCTGCTGCTCCAGCTTGGCCTCCATCTCCTGAGCTACACGTATCGCTTCCTGTTGGGAGACAGAAAACAAACGTGACATTTGGGCTTTTGTATTAACTTTTTAGGATGTATACAATTTAAAAAAAGAGTGGATCATATCTTATAACCTCCTGTATCTATGGACTTAAAAAAAACACAGTTAATCCATTTAGCATTATTAAATCCGACAATATTTAATCAGTTGACGTTGGACACAATAAGTGTCGTTAGGCATGTTTCTACCTCTTTCTGCTCCTTGGTTTTCTCCAGAGTGTCCACAAACTTCTGGTGGTCCTCTGAAGATTTCTGCATCACGCTCTTCATCTCCTTCACCCCGTTAACGGCGGCTACAATCTGTTTATCCAGATACTTTTCTCCCTGGAGTGAGATCTCTGCAAAAAGCAAACATGGCATATTTACTGCAGCTGTGGGTTCACAGACTTTTTAAGATTTTATTTACTAACAGCAGAAATATCCCACGTATATGTGCTTAGCGATTTTTTGTTTTTTATTATTTATTTGTTAAATAAACTATTTATTTTTTAATATTATTTAACTTCTTTCTGCACCCCCTGATACTGCCGTCCCCTGATCCTTCCTTTTTAGTCATATTTAGAGCCATATGAATTATCAATCATTTTAAGAGTATATTAGGGGAATTTTCCTTTATTTCATGAAAAATTGTGTAGTTTTCAAAAGTTTATTTGCGTTTAAAGACCACCAAGGTTATCAAGTATTTTATCAGTTTGTCATATAGTGTCACTTTAGTGTGTACATACGGTTAAGATCTTCTTTTGATAGAGGAAGGATACAATTGGCAGAGGCCAGAAGGAGAGCCATCACAGCCAGGGACTTGGAACCCTTCTTCTTCATCATCATCATCATCATTAACATCCTCTCTGACTCTCACGGGGCCAGCAGGCGATGGTGAGAAAAATAACCTGAGAGGAAGAAGAAACATGAGCGTCCAGGTTGCGTTTAACTCCAGTGTCTGCGTTGATGTTGTTGTAATGTCCCTCTTTCTCCTCCAGAGGGAGACACACGCTGCAAAGAAACCAGAGACCTACGCAGCAGAAAAGAAGTGTCATTGACCAGCAGCCCCACACTCAGCACAACATAAATATAGCCGCCCTGCTCGATACTGAACAATCACTCTCCTCTGTGACGTGTGCTTTATTAGACAGGGAATTGAGTGTAGCTTCTTTCAACGCAAACACACACAGACACACACACAAAGAGAGGCCGAGTCATCAGACGGTTTAAATGGCGTTGTTTCCTCCGCGTGCAGCGGTTACCACACAGTATTCACCTGTTCCTGAGTCTACTCCCTATTGGTGATTTCTGCAGCCCAAAAAAACCCAACTTTTCTCATCAAAACCCACAGTGATATAAATGCACCAATCTAATGACATCATATTGAAAGAAAGAGAGAATGGGGAAAGAGAATTAACAATGATTAGCGTGCATTGCGGACACTATTGCAACAGCCTCCATGGTTGTGGGTACAACTTTTCCACAATAATTCGAAGACTATTTGCAGGGGTTGTGTTTCCGTTCAGCCACAAGAGCAATAGAGTCCTCCAGCACTGATGTCAGCTGAGTCCCAGTTCCTCTCAAAGGTGATGGTCGGTGTTGAGCTCGGTCAAGGTCAGTCAGGGTCTTCTCAAGTAACATCCATGTACTGACCGAGCGTCGTCCAGGGCAGATTAAGGGCTCCTAAACGATCCTTTTAGCCACTTAAGACGCAGCAGAAACAAACCCAAGATGCAACACTGTCACTGTATCAGGACTGATTAAGTTGACCGTGAGAGGAAACAGAGTTATTTAAATATCCACATTTATTCATTTGGAGTTATGTCTCTCGCCAAAGTGTGAATGTAGGTCTGATATTCACTCTTCTTTTGCCTCTTTGTGTAGTGTTTTCTATACCTTTGTCACACATTTCTCTCTGGTTGATTGGTATTTTTGCACATGCTTTATTCTGTTTGTTTTGCCCTTTTTTGTAATAATCATTTTGAGTCTCCTTATAGTCTGTTGTGAATAATTGAGTCTCTTTGTGCTTCTTTGTAGCTGGTTTGAGTCTCTTTGTGGTGACATTGTGTTTCTTTGTTGACGTGTCTTTTTGAGCTACACTTTCTAAGTAAAGGCCGGAGGAGGGGGGCTAACACCTTTGGGTAAAATTCCTTTAAAATTGTTTGTAAACAATAAAAGAGGTGACCTCTGAGTTTACTGTCAACTATTGTAAGTATTATAAGGTAGATTAAGTCATGTGCTGATGGTGATGATGATCCTCTCTCAATATCTGAGCTCTTCAACTGCAGAGAAAAACAGAAGAAAGGGCACAGTGGTCACCTGAGAACTGAAATATCTGTCCCACTTTCTCCCCTTTAACTGGACTGCATGAGCTCACGTGCTCACGAGTTCAACAAAAACACTGCAGCAAACTGCAGTCGCTTACACAATGAGGTCATTATTCACGTGACAGTAAGTCGGCCACTTTATAATAACAGAATGCCAGCCAGTGGAGGCTTCGCCAAACGGTGCAGGCTGTATCCACTCTGGCGCTTTTTCATGAGAGAAAAACAAATGCGTAAGAGTTGAGGTGCAGACGGAGGAAGGTCAGTAAAAAACAGAGACAGCGAAAGGTCGACGGAGAGAGAACATTTAACAAACGAAGGACAAACAAGAGATTGCAGATGTCCAGCTACATTGTTTGCTGACTGGCAGCTGCAGATCCTGGTTACACAACTGAAGGAATGCCAGCAGACCAGCTCTGCAGATGTGGCCCCCCGGCCTTCTAGAAAGTTCAGTCTCAGCTCATGAAGAAAAATGTAGTCAAACTTCAGGAGTTGAACATCAAACCATCACACATTCCCTCACTCACTACAATTAGGTACATGTCATACTATTGATATTCCAGGATAGTTGATGTGTATCGCACATCCTGCACGTATATTATATAACATAACTTCCACATGGACTGAGAGGTTTTGAGGATTAATTGCATAAAATTGATCAGCAAGGATTATGTAAAACTCCATTAATCATTTATTTAATTCCTATTTTCACTGTTTACTTACCTCTCAAATTAGTTCAATAAAGTTTTATGATATCCTTTTGAGCTGCCATGTGTTTTGATTCATTCCCTTCTGGTTCTCTTTTGAAGCTAAAAAAAAGGAGTTTACAAAATAGTGAACTAATCTTGATCATTTCGGCTCCATTTGCTACAAATGGGACACGGTCACATGTGATCGTGGCCTCATTTGAAGTGTTTGGAGATTTCCGAACCCTAAGGATTCACCTGTCATGTGGTTGCAGAGAAATTAGGCTGAGCTCTAAACCTTTTCCATTTTTAGAACAGTTAACATTGCAAATAGTGGCTTCAGTATACATTTGGAGGCCTATTATAATTTCATAACTTACAGTAACTTCTTTAAATGTTATATTCCTGGACTCAACAACAGTTCTGTATAAAATAGCTAGTTAATATTTCTATTTATGAAGTCTGTTCTGCTGCTGCTGCGTGTGCCCCGCTTAAAGTGCAAACCAACCGTATGATGGCATCTGTTTTAATCCAGTTGTTTTGATCCAAAGATTGAGGTCACACCCGTGAGTAAGCAATACAAGACAACAACTGCGCTGTCAGCCATAAAGTCCGCACAAAGACCAAACACTGAACACACTTAAGATGAAAATAAATAAAACAAACACACACACATACATTTTCAGTGTAGTCAGTAATCTAGACATTTCTCAGCCCGAAACTAGAAATGCGTTGCACTGTATTCTATTCTCTTTTAACAAAATAACATAATGACGAATTGTGAAGGGCTATTTTCCCGTAAGCATCACCAAGCTGCAGACTTCTAAAAGCCCTGTGACTCACCTCTCTGTCTGTTGACTCCAGACCGTGTGAAGCTGATCCAGAGTCTGTGCGGATCGTTCTTATACCAGCGGATAACGGACCTGTGACTCATTCAGCTGCAGCACAACAAAAACAACCTTCCTGTTCAACCCTTCAAAATAAATCGCTATTAGTGAACGTTTCTTTCAGCAATTTGTCGATGTGAAGCTCATATTTAGCTGTTTATAAGTAAGTCATTATTTTAATTTGCATCATTCATGAACAATTGCACATTGTAAAAGAAGATTTAGCAGCGCAAACATAGTGAGAGCCACCGCATAATAAAAACTAATTATAATTGTAGTTTTGTTTCAGTAGGTGTATTTTCAAAGGTTTTCAATAGGGTCCAGACAGACATACTGCTTAAAGCATGTGAAGTGTAACCAAGCTCAGGAACAAATGCTCAACTATGACTTGCAGTGCAGTGCGGCAATCTTAAATGAATGAACTACACTCCCTGCTTGAACAACCCATCATTTCTGCTTCTAACATGTGTTTCTTTTTGTAAAACGTATGAACAGCAGTATGTGGGACTTGAAATCCGCCTGTGTCAACATGAGTTGTTACGTAAAAACTATTGACAATTAAAAACAGCAAAAATAGGAACACAAAAGAGTTTCATGCCCACAAAAACACACAACAGGTTTTGTAGCACTTGAGGAGAACTGAACAAGTGAGCTTTGTATCTTTAAGGGGAGGGATGTTCCAGTAAACCTCACACACACACACCATCACACACACACCCACACACACACACACACACACACACACACACACACACACACACACACACACACACACACACACACACACACACACACCATCATACACTTGTTCACGTTCTACGTCAGCAGCTGCTCATACAAAATAATTGAAAACCTTGGATTGTTAAATACCAGCTGAAGCGAGTCCACGTAGGCCGCCACAGATTCACTGAAATCCAAGGTTTTAAATGTTTAATTCTAAATCTGTTACAGGTTTTTTTTTTACAAACGTGTGTCCTTTTCCAATTGTGACACTAGATGGCAGAAGTTCTGTTTCCCTTTTCAGTAAATTCTTCTTCCAAGAGAACCGTCACTGTATAAGTTATTTACCGTTGTCTGATATCTGGTTGTCAAAAACACTTTTAGACCACTGGGTCTAAATAAATCCACGACAGCGACCAGAAATTCTCTGTTAAGATAAAGAGCCACATTGAAGTCACTCACACTCATCCCATGCTGCATATGCAAAACAATAATAACAATAATGTATTGCATTGTGTAACAATATATTCTATAGTTTCCGATATCATTACCAATACTAGAATGCAGCTCCAAGAAATAACAAAGTTAAAGGGGATCTGTGTGGGTGTTTTGGACATAATTCAGCATATATTGCTATTTTTATTCTGTGCATTCTGTTTCCTTATTACATTACATTACATTACATTACATTACATGTCATTTAGCGGACGCTTTTATCCAAAGCGACGTACAATAAGTGCATTCAACCATAGGGTACAAACTCAGGAGAACAAGAAACAAGAAAGTGCAATTTCCTCAAATAAGCCAATTTACAATTTGCTATAGATGAGTGACGTTACAAGTACAATTTAAGTGCTACAATTTGTTAGTCTTTAGTCGAGGTAGAGTCTGAAGAGGTGTGTCTTTAGTTTGCGGCGGAAGATGTGAAGGCTTAAAACCTGGTGACTACACAACCCTCGATTGTGACGCTGTGTTCAGACATCATTAGAGGCTCATGTAGCCTTGTGCAGGGAGAGAAGAATCCCTGTGAGATCGTCACATCTTTCCTCGACCTCATGCCATTAATGTCAAAGAAAAGGTTGCTACGAGCTCACCTTGCAGCATTTGCTGTATACACGTGACAACAATGTTTGTTAGATTACTCTCACTGCCAGAGGGGGGAGACAAAAGTTACCCTGCAGGTTTCTTTTAGCAAATAAAAACCTTTACTAACCACTGACTATCACTACCGTTGTTCTCGTAGTTAGCGGTAATTTAGGTGAGCTGGATGTTAACTGCACATGTGGAGTTCAGACTTTCTGGCCCCCGAGGCTTGTTCAGTTTACGAGCTGCAGATCCAGTGTGACTAAACAAATGATCTGTTCCGTGACCCTTTGCAAACTCGTGTTTGGCTCCGCTTTGTCTGTGTGTGTGTGTGTGTGTGTGTGTGTGTGTGTGTGTGCATAATGTGCCAAACTTTTAATTGGCCATCCAGTGACTTCAAACCATGAGGCTCTGCAGCCAATCCTCAGCCAGTGGCATGGATTTTAATAATGACACGATGCAGGGATTCTAAACGAGCTGCTCTACTGGCTTCAAACTAAAAACATAATTATCACCAGGTTTAATTAGTCCCATCGGTGGTACTGAACAACTTGTGGCTCATGAGCTTAGACAAACTTCAAACATTCTGACTTTTCTGGCATCAATCGAGGGGAAAGTCATGTTTCTCTGTGGATGCGTGAGTATGAGTTTGTTGGAATGTGCATGAAACGAACGATTAAGAAACTTCACATTCTGATCAAAGGCCACCGGCTTCGGGATGAAGTCTAGCTGACTGATGTCGGTCATTAAATCACCTCCTGGATTCTACATTTTTACAAGCCGTAGCATCAAAAGCAAACATTGTAAAGGATAAGATAGCGGAGAGAGGGATTTGGCTTCAAAGTGATTTGATCTACAGATGTATAAGTAATCATCAAAAGGACATTATCCACTGGGATTACAGTGGACTTGTAACGCAGAAAGATTGGGAAGCACTGGAAATGTTGTTATAAGATCTTCTGATGATCTTCAACAGAAATCAAAGGCAACATTGAAAATGACCTGAGTACTGCTGCCAGAACTGCTTACGTCACTGAAAATGTACATTATTTACCATTTGAGGATGAGGATTAGCACAAAAACCTACTAGAATACACCCAGATCCTCACATGTCTGTGCCCAAGTATATTTTAAAGTGTCATAGTGCAGGAGAGGAAATAAAGGAGCTGTATGTGCCTCGTCAGGATGTGCGCGTTGTTGAGAATATTACACCTGCTGTTTGAGTCATACACACTGGTAGTTGAGGTTAGTGGGATCGAGCTGAAGCCTCGACGTGTGTGATAGTAAGTGTGTGATCACTGAAACCAGAGATATTCAAGGCGCTCACGCCACCATTTTCACACATTTGTTAGCAATTAACCTCGGGCCACAAAACTGAGTTTCAACAACACACATGGACCCTCCTTCCCTTTTCTCTTTTCCACCCTGTCCCTTTTCCAGCCCCTCCCTCATTTCCCAGTTTCTTTGTTCCCCTCCCATCTTTCTCTCTCTCCTACCAAGTTCCTTCTTTCTTCATCCCCTCTCGCTCTGTTTCCTCCCTCCCTCTCAAGGGTTGCACATGGTTTCTGTGTGAGACGGTTCAGTTTCTTCAGGGTCTGGATGGAAGAGGGATGATGGCAGACAGCTGCAGGATAACACACGTGTTTTCAAACTCCTCCTCCGAATATTTTAAATAGTCTAGAAATAAGAGTTGGGTTGCACAGGTGCATTTTTATTTTTTCTTATCACTAACTCAAAACTGAAGTCTTTGCTTTTTTGCTGTTTTTAAAATCTGGATGTAACACATTTTTGGACTTTGGAAACGTTTCACCGATGAGTCGGCTGGCCACCAAAGCCACATCCCCGACTACCTTTGTTGTTCCTGGACGCTTGCCGGACTGCCACATTACCCCCATCCAGTCGAACATCAGCAAACTAGACCACGGCTTGTTTGTAAAGGATTCTTGAGTGAAGAATCATGAAAGGTAGAGTCATTTCTCTCAGTTTGCCTGGCTTATTTCATTGTGTTATTTCCGAGCACCTTCAGATGACATCATCTTACTTTTGAGTCAGGCAACAGTTAAAATATAGACAGGAACCGTGTCGTTGTGGCGTTCAGGCAGGCACCTGCACAGAGCACCAGCGCCCACATATGCTTCTCATCTGCTGTGGATTCTGAGAAAGTGCCGGTTTGTTGTTCTTGGATGCGAGACTTTGATCAGTCGGCCTTAAATGTGTCTGCGTGCAAACCAGAGCAACGTTTCATAGAGCACAAAACCGTCCCAGCCCTGCCAATTAACATCCCGCTTTAAAGGACGTTGAATGAAAACATGATGTCTGGATTTATGCTCTTCTCTCATGCTGCAACCGGCTTTGAAGAGGGCCGCGGCTCGTTCATGGTTGTCACACATGTGGAATAAGACGTGACAGGCTGAAGGAGATGAGAGGATTCAGTGGGAAAGAGTTGGGGGAGCAGGAATACATCCTACACGTGGTGTAACAACTGGAAGAGATGTTTAGATGTGTGGCATATTTATTGGCAAGTGTAGTTTGCATAAAGAATGGCTTAATTTATGCATTTATTATTATTATTGCTGACTTGAATCCAATGAAAAACAGCAATTATCCAATCCAATCATAGCTTAGCAACTGTAACTACAACCCTGAAATTCTGCACTAATGACCCAGCTATGATTGTTTAGTTAAATCATCCTTCAAATTAGCGAATTCTCTTGTATCCGCCAATGTAAATATGAATCTGTTAAAACGAAATAGTCCGACAATGTCACACATTTCCCAGCAGTGATCATTTTACACATGACAAATTGGGTTTACATGCAGTACAAGAAGAATGTGTTTTCTTTACTTGATGATGGTTTGTGTTCTACATCATAGATCTTCAACTCGAAGATGTTAACTTTTGGCGCAAGGCTTCAGGCTTTTAGCACGATATCATGTTGGTGGCCAACAAGGTAATATTTAGGATCTATTTTACAGGTTCCTCCTCTGAAAATAAGCTTAACAAACAATTATTGTTATCGCTGCTCAAAAAATCTTTCTGCAGCCCCCTGGTGGCATCATAAGAAGGATAGTGTTCTATTATCTAGGATCTGCAGCGTGGTTTTGAGAACAAAACCTACAAACTTATTTAGGCTGTTCAGGTCGTTGTTTTTAGTTGTTAGTGGTCAATAATTACGTTGTTTCACGCAAATTTGAAAGCTATTTCTACCCTTTGACTATGACATCTCCTTTACGTCACTATGATTTTGGATCATATCTCAACAGTAAATCTACCTCGACCCGTCACCTACAATACAACAGAACTCGCTCCATCTGGTCATGTTTACTAGGTTTTTGCGAACATGACAGTAGCCATCATGCTGATATTGAACAGGATTATTGTTATCGTATTTGTTCACTTGTTTATTTATCTTTTCCTGGAAACAAATTTAATCCATGGTTACATATACACATAGACATACACATAACTGTTATTAGGTTATTTAATTTGCCGTCCTTTATGTTTTCCATCTCAAAAGGGTTCGGGCAAACATTGTATGATTTGGGTTCTTGGGGTTTTATTTATCTGAATTTATATTTGACAGTAAATGAAGGAAAGCTCGTAAGTAGAAGACAAATCAGATCAAACTAAACTTTTAGTCATCACATTGTGTGAGATGGAGAGATGGTGCATTAAACTGCGAGTCAACCCAGAAAGTCAACTCCCAAGAACACATGTCTCAGGGAACAATACAGGACGTCTGTTAACGTGGATCTGAACATGCTGCCTCATGCATTCCTAACTGGGCTGGGTGGAGGTGCGGGTGGAGGTGTGTGGGGGGAGGCAGGTGCATGGCTGGCCAAAGAGAAGCAAAGAGTGAGGGGGAGAAGAAAAAGAGAGGTACAGACCAAGAGATGTGGTTGTTATTAATTCCACTTTTGCTGTGTCAGCATTAAGACAGTCAAAGCGTTTTGAGTTTGGGTTGAAAGGAGAACATGGAGGATATCATATTTTCTTGTTCTTTTTGTTTGCAGTGGGGTTAGTTCTCATTTATTTTTTCTCACATACTTCTGTGTATTTGGATTTGGTTTGTTAATACTGGAACACAGGGATTTTCCAGGCAATTTTCTTGCTCTAACTTGGCTGTCAGTCTGTACCGTCTGTGCATATTCCTCCCAAACTACTATTGTGGTTATTCAGATAACACCATGAAATGTAAATACAAAATATGAACATTTTTCGCCGTAAATATTGCCTATTAAGCGTCTGCATACTTTTAACTGTGGATTGTAAAGCAGTTTGGAAAGCTCTACTTATTCTTACTGTTAATTTGTTCCTCTGTGGAATGTTCTCCATGAAGATGAGCATGTGTATATGTGAAGTAAAACTACTGAGAGGCCTGCAAAAAAAGTATGAGGGAACATAGCAAATGACCTTTGGCCTTGAGGCTCTGTAAAGGTATCCAGGCTGGTCGCTGTGTGGCTTTGCAAATGGCTTTTAGTCTAAGAAAATATGATGTGTTTATGAGATCGGGACAGAGAATCTCCCATTTCACTGCCTAACCACAATAAAAGAACATTTTTCTTGTATAACTTGTATAACAGATTCGCTGTCTGCAGAAACATAACAGGCGGCCACAGTTTTGCAAGGAGACATTCCAGTCAGAGCCCACCTAAATGGAGGATTTGAGAGGGACTCACTTGGCTTCATGAGTTGTGGTCAAGACCTCGACTGTGATCTGGAGGAGGCTCCATCTTGGGACTTCTGTTTTCACTTAAGGCCAAAATCTACTGAGGGTCAAAACAACTTAAATGAAGTGAACACATTCATGTTTAACACATTGTATAGTTTAGCAATGTGAGATTACTGGACATCCAGGGCATGTGAGGAGAAGGTTTTGCAGAATCCCCTGGCAAAGGTTTGTCCAGAGGGATTGTGAAGGGTGGGACAGGATGGGAAAGGGGGTTTTAAAGTCCAAAACAACCACAGACATGAAGTGGTGCTGAGGGTTGGCTGACTCAGGCACTGTGTTCACAAAAGGTCCGCTGGTAAAAGAGGATGGGGGGAGGCAACCCTGTCCCCTAGAAGATTACATTCCCACACAGCTGAAAGGCACTTCCTTTTGGAAATTTTTGTTAGATTTGTTAAATACATTGAAAACGTCAAGCCCTTGGTTCTAAAAGCATCTTTACTTCTCGTCACAGCACAAGTGCCCTCTTGCTACACTGTGTGTACAAACAGCAACCAAAAGTTTCCATCCTCAGTCTGCCTCACTGTCTGGATGAAGTGCCAAAAGAAACGTGTCTGGTTTTGTATTTTCTGCATACACCTAGATAGGTTGCCTTCTAGGTTTTCCCGTAAAATGTCCCATTTCTCCATTTTGTCACAAAAAAACGTAAATATTGTCTGAAATTCTGAAATATGAAACATATTTTTGTTGGGTGTCAAAAAGTGTGTCCAGTAAGACCAAACTGTACAGGTTACAAGTAGTTCCACGGTGCTTTGCCGTGGCCTGGCGGTGTAGGTGTGAGTGGTAGAGGCCGTGTTTTGCTGCTGTCAGATCAGCTCAGTTCTGCTCCATGAGCTGGACAGGTTGACTTCCTCACTAATGAGACACACACGTCTTTTTCCACATGGAGAATGGAAAACATGAGGGAGGAGAACAAGTTAGGGAGGAGGAGACGAAGGAAGAATAAGGCACAGGCAGATATTTAAAGGTGGACGTTGATGGGGATATTTGGGAATTTTAGCTTCCATAGGAAATAACGTGCTGACATTTAAACAACTGAATTTGACCCTTCATTTGCCACAGAATTACAAAATATGAGAGGAACTCCGTTGCCCCTCTGGAAACGTATTTCAATCAGGGTGGGAAATTTCTCTGAAATGTCAATATGACGACGTTCATCGTCATGACAATCAATTCTTTGATAAATCTTTTATTCCTATGCTCCTCTTACCCGCCTGTCTCTCTTCCCTCCATCATTATGTCTGCGTCAGTGTTTCGTGGTTCAGACCTGACCCAAGCTGGTCCCCTGCTGATTGAAATAAACATTCACCTGATAGTGGGGTTTGCAGGCCAAGTATACCGCCATTGTTTTTAGAAATTATATGATGGGTTTTCTTTATTTGGTTAGAGACCATTTTAAATAATGCCGTCCCATAATATACATGCACAATCTCTTTTAGAATTCATTACAAATTAGCAGCTGTAGGTCGACTGTACTTGACACATCAGGTCTTCATCAGAGACTTGTCTTAATGAGGTAATGGGTTTAATCACAGATATTGATCAACAGCAAACATTTGGTTTCAGAAATAATTTAGTTAATTTAGGAGTTGTGGAGAAAGCGATTAAAGCGAAAAATTAGAACACATAAAATGGCCTGTAAACTACTAAATGCACGCTAATAGTTTAGGTAACATACAATCGTACAGGGACTGTGGAAGTGAAGGACTTCCACCAGACAATCATCGTCAACATTTTAGGTTAAATATTCCTTTAAAATACACCTCGTCTGTCTAGACTCAGTCCACACATTTCCACAATCAGAAACGTCATTGCAAAGTCTTTGTCCTGAAGTCAGCGTTTACTGGAATGTGTAACGCACAGAGTATCACATTGTGCAGCAACATTTACGCTGGCTGACGCTGCTTGAAGGCCAACTCCTTTGGCAGCATCGAAGCGGCCCAACGAGGGTTCAACTGTTTTCCTTCAGCTGCTCAGCAACCTGCCAAATCGCTCCCTCTTTTCTTCCTGTTATGAGTGTAGAGGAATTTCCAGCTCTTTTCAGTCCGAACCGGCCTGCCCTGCCACTGGACTGAGTGCTTCCTAAACATGTAGGTCCGAGTCTGGGTACCAGTTGGGGTGGAGCACAGTTGCAGTTCATCGCTGTTACATACACTTATTAAAACGGGACGGGGAATATGTCCCTTTAGGCCTTTTTCGGGTTTATTAGGTGCTCTGGTTTAGTTTTCGGGACGTCCTGCACCCTTTTTTAGTCTTTCCTAGCAAGGAGTTTGTGACGACAACTTCCTCAGACGCACAATTCTCTCACCAGAATCAGCACTCACATCTAGCAGCTCTTCTCTCACCACCACGGGGCCGTGCTCTCCTGAGTAAGCTGCTCCGCGCAAAGAAAACATCTGAGCACCTTTTTATTCTGCCAAGAAAGTGGTGTCGTACTTTTAACGTGTTCAGTACAATGCAAAAAGCTTCAGTCAAAGGCTGCGGGGGGATTGTGAGGCGGCGTTTGTCGAATTACACCTGGAATAAAACCACGCGTGGCTTACAACAGAATCTGTTTCAGTTTGTTAAATAACATTTTCTTCTGTTTTTCAGACAACTATGGTGGCTACGAAAACCAGCTCTTCAAAGGTAGTGATTATTTTTCTATTGTCTAAGAACCAAACATGTCAATCACCTCATGATCCGTGATCATCAGCCATATGATGAATATGGTATTTACTGCATTAGTGATATTTAAGTGTGCTGTCAATAGCGGAAGCAGCTGCCCCTCCTCTGGGGCGTTTTTATTTGCGTGGACAGTCAAGCTGTTTGACTGTGGGATGAAGAGCTTGACGAGTGACAAGCAAAGAGATGAAACTGAGCAATAAAATAAGGGAGCCGTGGTTTTGGGAAACAAAGTATCCCACCACGTTAAAGCCACACAGAAAACTCCAAATGCCACATACACATGACATGTATTCAAGTATTATTTAGCTGACACACGGTGCAACACCACTGGCCTGACAACGGCCTACAAGTTCGTGTTGATCTGATGTGTTTGCGTTCTTCTGGTCTTGTTTTTCAGAGGAGGATTTCACTGGAGAGGAGGAAATGCCTTCGTTTAGAGGTCAAGGTCACACACACACACACACACACACGCAGAAACATACGCAGAAGGTGACAAATAATTATGTTGTTGTTTATGACTTATGCTGAAGGCAAGAGTGACTCTACAATGACAATGTTTGGAAATTTAACTCCAGTTATTTGAGACTTTTGAGACAACTTTACAGATTCAGATTTCTCTAACAAAGTCATATTGTAAAACACTCCACAATGTTTAAGATATTAACAATACTAGAATTTGGTCATTTAAAATGAAAAAGGGCAGATTAATGTTTGATGAAAATATTCAGTACTTGTTGCACTACAGATCAGAACACATGTATAACCAGCGACGTGCAGTCAGGGTGGGCAAGGTAGGCGCTGCCTACCCTGTTACTGTTTATTCTTATAGTTATAAATGCAATATATGTGTTATTCCAATTCTTTAGATGTTACCATGACAAATGGAGCCATTACGCATAATCAAATACAAAGAAATGGTAGAATAAGCAGTGCTTTTACTACGCCAGCTACGTTGTAAACGTAAACCCCGCGAAACTCAAACTCTGCGGATGGATTTTATGTACAAATACTCTAAAGATCGGTGAGTCAGAAACAATTTCGGGCTTAATATTAATATAAGTGTGGTCGAATTGATGCCGACTGTAAGCCACGTTTCAGTTAGTTAAATTTAGATGAGTTTCAGTGATGCTGACTGACACTCTCTCCAGAAGAGACAAAAAAGAACCAATGAATCAGAAACCCATTCAATACTTAAATCAATTCTCCCACCGTGACACCTGACGGACGCGACATACACATAAGTGTTATCAAGTCATTTAATTTGCCTTCCTTTATGTTTTCCATCTCAAAAGCGTTCGGGCACACAGCGACGTGCAGTCAGGGTAGTTAAGGTACACCGCCAAAATTAAAACATATCATTTTATTTAATAAACTTGTATATGTATTTTTACTGTTTATTCTTATAATTATATTTGCAATATGTGTGTTCTTGTTCCAATTGTCTAATCTACACGATGAGTACTTTTACTTCTCATACGTAGGTCTGCTTGAAAAGTGTCATTATTCCATTTCAGTTGATTTACAATGCGCTCCATCTCCATCAGCTAATCAGATCCAATGTGGGCACACTGCTCGTTGTATTGTGACGTGTTTGTGCCTCCAGGTCGAAGCAGAGGAGGCTGTATGAGGTGCCAGCAGAGTCGCTCTCTCCAGCTGGCTGTCAAAGTCCTCTATGGCTTTGTTGCATTCCTCATCATTACTGTGGCAGTTCTGGCGTCGCTTGGTGGGTAAAAGTCTCGAAATACACCATACGTAGTCCGACTCTTGCACAGAGACACCAACCTCTAAGTGTAGACGCAGTAAAGCGCCTTTCACAGTAGTTACGTCATCTTACCGATTAACACGTTAACTACGAGGAGCAAGAAGAATACGCTTCTCATGAGAAAAAAGTGTGTGTGTTAAGTCCGAATGAACGTGGTCCTGGGACTTGTGTGCCGTGTTTCACCTGACAGCTGCTCTGCACCAACAGATGCTTTTCACATTAACATCACATTGTATTGGGTTTGAAAGTGGTAAATCTTTTGCTTTAACTACTGCTCGGGGAGGTCAGGAGTACAGAGGAATGTTGAGAATAATGTAAAAGCCCACCAGACATGAATGAGTTCAGGTACAGAAGCACGAGGAACATACATTCACTTATGTACAGAATGTGCAGGACACACTGTGTGTGTGAGGGTCCGTGGAGCAGGTCTCTCACATGAACTCCTGTGAGAAGAATCCTCGGCTATATGTTTTACTGCTAAGTTGCCCTTCCTGTGTGTTTATTTAAAGATGATGTGGCTGTGCAATTAATTTAACTATTTTATGTTTCTATTAAAGATAATTGTTGTCGTCATTAAATTATTTTAATGTTTTAATAAACATGTTTAAACAGAAAGGGATATTATTATCTACGGGATAAAAGATACAATCATGTGTGTGTTAAACTGGCAATGATATTGAAATGAATGCATAGTGAAGTTAGAAGAGTTTAACGGAGAACAGCTTTCGGATACTCGTACGAACATTAATAATAAACACTACAAAAGTATTTGTTAGTATTTATTTATGGTCTATTTATCATCAAAAGAGACAATTCAGCCAACTGGGACCAATACCCACATTGGTCCCAGTTAGAAGGTGTTCCGAGCAATGGCACCGGATGGAGGGATGAGAGAGGAAGGGCCCTTGGCCCCCGACTTGACGCCCCTGGCACAAATTGTCCCCGGGCTGGTGTGACCCCATTGCAGCACCACCTCCAGTTTATGTTTGTGTTCAATTTCAGCACAGCTGTACAACTCTGGGAACCAACGTGTAAACAGAAGAGATATTTTACTTGGCTGCAATTCTCAACTGTGGATGTGCACATGTTAAAACAGAAAATAACCTTTGAATCTCGGTTCTCCCCTGAACTGCTGTTTTTTTTAAACTTCTTTGCTACCTGAATTCTTTTTTTTTGGGCTAAATCTATGAGCCTTTTTTAGCATCAAGTTACAGCAGATTACCAATCACACATCAATCCCTCGAGTGGGGGTTTAGGTTGCATTATACATGCACTCTCTTGCACACTTCTCAAACTCACTCACACTCACTTAATTGTCGTTGCTCTCTTGGGAAATATGTTGGGGGAGCGGGACCTGGCCAGCTGGCTACACCATCACGCATTTGTGTTTTGGTTCTCTCTATCTTTGTTAGATAATGAAAATTGTGTAAATTTCCACGTCCTGTTTTTACTCCTTTAAATACTTCCTATAATACTGATGTACTAATCATGACACGTGTTTCTGTAGCTCCTTTAGAACCATCATGTTTTTTTGCATTCTCAAGCCAATGCTTTAAATCTTATTGACCTACACTGACTTTCACAACAACAGAAACAACAGTGTTTCTTCACTGAAGTGTAAATACACAACTCAAGAAAAACAATATGTAATGTTGTTGAAAAAATGTTATTGATTCACTTTTTCAACCTTCTGCGTGTCTCCAGTGTTCAGGAGGGTCGACAGCCTGTCTGAGGAGGAGTCCGTCTACCACAAGAAGATCAGCAGTGTGCAACAAGGAATGGATGGTAAAGTAGCTGAAATTTCTTACAAATGATAACTTTTTCTATTGAGTCTGGGTAGCCTTGTGGGCCCCTTCATTATGGGGAAACATTCTATAATAAACCCCAAAATGGTTTAATGTACAGAAATTTAAGTGTCACTGTTCATGGTTTAGAAGTTCTTTCTTGACCTCAACAGATCTCAAAACAAGGCCCACTAAGGTTATGGCTTGAGAAGTGACAGATTACAAATATAATGCATTTAGTCACTATTTGGAACAATTACAATTAGTGACATTTAGGGAACTCTCCTCTGCTGAAGATGATGCTACAAACTGATAAAGTCACTAAATAGGAGCTCAAAAGATCTTATTCTCTCTTTTGCACGCGGTTACCAGAAGCGTGTCATAAGCGGGCATCGAGAACTATTATATTTCCTGCCTCATGGTCTCTTATCTCACCTCCTTTTTTGTTCTTTGACTCCATCTGTCAGATCTGAGTTCCGCGTCTAACTGTTCAGGCTGTCTGGATGTGACTCTCTACAGCGAGGAGATAAGCAGGCTGAAGAAGGAGTTTGAAGACATCCAGAGAATGATACTGGGACAGGAGCAGGTACTGCATGCTGAATCACAAAATTAGCTTGTTTTATTCAACCAAGATCATTCGTGTGCTGGGATATAAAACAGATGCCCTAACTTGACCTCTTCATTCAGTTTTGATTTGCAAACTCGGCCTCTTTCATGCCTGTCCACTTCCAGGTCCTGGACCAGGCCTCCCAGACCCAGGCCACGCTCAAGACCACCAGCAGCCGGCTGACACGTGACATGCAAAACCACCTCATGTCAATCAAACTTCTAAACCAGTCGCTGGTGAGGTACGTGGAACGCGTTGAAGGTTGGAAGGACGTGATTGAGGAAACCGAAGAGAAGATGAAGACGCTGGCAGATGATCAGTACGACGTAAAAGCGACGGCACAGCAGGTTAACACCACAGTGGCTCTCAGGTGAATGAAAGAATATTTGATATATACCACATTAAAACCTGATGTAAGCTTTTAACACTGGATTTCATCACCTAATTTTTTGTTGTCACATTATATTTTTAGCGTGATGATGTCTTTTTGAACCTTCATGTGATTTATTAACAAGGAAAAGTTACTTTTTCTTCATTCAGTTATTTTGATAAATTGTTAATAAACTGGTTTAATCAAAATATCTAGTTATCATACACTTTTGGGTGCTTCAATAGTTGCATGAATGTGAACACTGCGCCTCACACGTCCTCTGTGTTTTCTTCTCTCCAGTACAATGTGGATAGATGCTCTGCGGAGAAAAGCGGATGAAGAGACTTTGGTTTTGCAGAAGTTGACTAACGACTGGCAGAACTACAGCCGAGTCCTGAGCGCCATCAAATCCAACACCAGCAGCAGCACGCAAACTATTCGCTTTCTGCAAAACAACATCATAGCAGACAACCAGAGGATTGCCATGTCCAATGAGGTGTACTATGACCTCAGCCAGCAGGTGTGTGTGTGTGTGTGTGTGTGTGTGTCTGCAGCACAGAGCAAACGCCCCTTGTGCAATTTCATTTCAAGTCAGATTCAAAGAAAACATTTCTTAAAGTTAGAGAACAAATTATTTCATTATCCATCCTTTATAATATAATCTATTCACTTTATAGCTCACTACACCATCCTGACCTGTTGAGTGGCAAACTTTGAATGCTGTTTTTAACAAACCGACAAATGTAACATAGTCTACCTTTTTAAGAAGGTCCTCCCGGGTTAAGAAATACGACGTGTCTGTATTTCTTCCAGGTGATGAACCTTCAGATGCAGCTTGACAATGTGACGTCATTCATGGACGAACACGAGGAGAACATGCATGACCTTCATTACCATACCAGGTAACACACATGCACTACTTCACAATATAATTAACATGCAGATACAAAATTGAGTTTTCATTCATGAAAAATACAAATCCACTGCAACCATCCTCAACTCTTAGGTACTATCAGAACCGGACAGGTGAGCGTTTCTCTGCTTTGGATGGTCGTCTGAACTCCATCTCCATGGAGATTGACACAATCTCCTCCAGCATCAATGCCACCGTCATCCACGTCCAGAGCATGCACAAGTACATTGATATCGAGAGCTCTTCCTGCCAGAGCCGCATGGGCAGACACACTGAGGATCTAAAGGTAGTAAACACAGAATATCTTTGTGTTTGCCTAAAGGTCAACGAACACACACAAACAAATGTCTGAGTAGATCCCCTTTTAAACACGCCTCTAAAGCCTAGTTTATGCTTCTGCGTTTTCAGAGAGACGCAAGGACACGCAGACGCAAGAGCCCCTTGCGTGTCCCTCGCGTGCCTTTTCACACCTCCTTGCGTGCGTCGACACATTTTTCTAGGCTTGCGTCAAAAGCTACGCGAGCCTCCTGCAACCCGCAAAGCTGCGATTGGTCTGCTAACTGCATCCTTTACGGAGTCTCACATTTCCGTATTCATAGCACAATACCGCCATTATTAAAACGAAGAATGTTTACGAGAGAACGGATCAGATTGAAGAGCTTTTGCACGGGGCGATAAAGTCTCTGATGAATAAATAAACAAACCAACGACTTCCACACACAAAGACGTGACTCTGTAGGTCGTCTTCGAAAAAACACGTTACTCCACTTGTTGATTTGGCGGTGAACTGCTCTGCAACACACGCAAGACTTTTAGAACCGAGTGCGTCGACACAACGGTGCGTAAAGACGCAGACGCATGCGCCAGCCTTCAGAATGAAATTTACCTAAAATGTATTTTGTATGATGACCCGTGAGTTCTTACATTATACGACAAAATAATGAAAAGTTAGGCACAAATATTTGAAATGTTTATTGGATAAAAAGTCTTGATATTATTGACAGCGATGATGTATCACATAGCTCAACTCAACTATTTTCAGCAGTTCAACAGTTTACCGGAGTTATCCATCCACCGTGACATATTTCTATTCTCTGTGTTCTGATTTGGCTTCATATATGTATCCTTGTGTCCCTCCTCTTTTACGCAGGACCTTAACAGCACAGTCTTGGTACTCCGCTACTTGTTTGACACACAGAGACATCAAAACTTGCTGTTAAATGCCAAATTGGATCTTGACATCAGAAACCTGTCCATTGTGATGGAGGAGATGAAGCTCGTGGATGTTCACCATGTCCAGCTCATAAAGAACTTTACTATTCTAAAAGGTAAAGTAGATGTTTTCATACATTGAACTGTACACTTTTATTTTTAACTTAACCTCACTCTCTCCCCTCGACAGGTTTACCTGGACCACCAGGGCCCAAAGGGAGCCGCGGTGAGACCGGCTCAAAGGGACCTGTGGGACTGAGCGGGAGCAAAGGGGACCGAGGCCCTATAGGTGTCCGTGGGACATCTGGGGAAAAGGGTTCGCTTGGGCCAAAGGGAGCAACAGGTGAATCAGGACCCACTGGCCATAGAGGGGGCGTGGGAATAAAGGGTCCTAAAGGGTCTCTTGGCCCGCCAGGACCCCGCGGTGAGACGGGCCAGAAAGGTGACGTTGGCATCTCCGGTAGAGAGGGCACCTCAGGACCCGCGGGGCCTCCAGGAATCCAAGGTCAGGCAGGACTACCGGGTATGATTGGGCTCCCAGGAGCAAAGGGAAAACCAGGACCAGCAGGACCACCTGGACCGGCAGGAACTCCCGGGCCTCCGGGCGTGGCTTTCCCCCATGCACAAATCAGCATCCAGCAGCGGCCCGTGACACCTGCTGCTGGGTCCAAGAGACAGTAAAAAGATGGCCGAAGACGTGGAAGAGAGTATGCACAGTGCAGAAGAAGAGTTATTGACAATTGAAGGAATATCACCCATTGGGACTGGAGATGAGTAATAATCCACTTTGTCGCCATTAGGCAAGAAAATTGAGGACTTCATGAACAGACGGGACGAATCTATTTCAAGGGCTTTTACGACACTGCCGCATGAAATGAGCCGTTGTAGAAGAAGAATGTTCATATTGTGGCATGTTGGAGAAAACTGCCTTCATACATTATTACATTACAGGTCATTTAGCTGACGCTAATACAACACGTGTCTCAGTATAATGTTGGATGGCCTTGCACCTCAAAGACAACAAGCTTCATCCACCTATAAATTACAAACGAGTTAAAAACGTGTTAGATAATGAGTCAACAAAAAACGCACCCGTTATCCATTAGTCCGGTTGGATGTATCGGAAGCAGAAGACATATTTGAGATTGTTCTCAATCCAAAATAAACACATAATTTAGACAAGTAGTAGTGTTTCTCATTCAGACAACTCAAACTATCTTCTTATGCACTCCAGATGTTGTCCACTTATTCACATGCCTTTCTGATGAATGTCACTTTATTGGTTCTCAAAGTGTAAATAGTATGCAGTTTGATTCTCCTTCAGCATGCCAGAGCAGGTACTCTAAAGACATCTTTCATCTTCTGGGTAAAGCTGCCCCTTCATGAGCAGCATTTAGATTTGTAGAATTCATGGCTTCTGAATTTATGCGCTGACGACCTTTGTTTTACATTGGATGCAAGATGCTTTTATTGTTGCTGTATGAATGAAGAAAGTACTGTAACTCTTGTTGACATGTGAAAACATTTTGGAAAATTCACTTATTTGTTTTCTCTCTAAAAGTTTGATGAGAGGATTGATACTACTTTAATGCTTGGAGAAGGAGCCAGGAGATGGTTGGCCTACAAGCATATATTATGGCAGCAGGGGGAAAGAGCTAATCTCTAAAAACAACATATGACTGTGGAAAATCACGTTTAAGTGAAAAGGATAAAACCTGTTAAAATCCAAAGATATAGAGATACCTTTCAAACGTGATATCCCGCCTCTCATCTAACTCATGGAAAGAAAATGAATAAATATGCATATTTTCACCTTATAAGATGCACGCAGGTTAGAAGCTAATGAAACTCATTCAACACATGCATTATTAAAAATGGTTGTAAACATGACAAGTAATATAATTTAAAAAAACAAAATTTTTCCTCAGTTTCTACTTTGTTAATTGATTTATAAGTGGGTTTTGGGTCTTATGATGCAAACATAAACAACCTTCTATAGCAGAGAAACAAAAAACATTTTACAAAAAGGGAAATGTTCAATTTGTGTGTGTTGTAATGAAATGCGACTGGTTTGCATCGAACTTCAATAAAGCTTTTTTTTTTTTAACAGACTTCTTCTTGTCAGGCTCCTACTTTAGTACCAAAGCAGAGAGCTATTGTTGCTCCTTAAGGGAAACGAAGCAGCCATTAATTCAAAACACATGTCAAACCCCTCCTACATTTTTCAGGTTTTCTTCCACCAAGGTCAAAAGATTGTCCACTGTCTAGAGTCACTTTTGTCGTTTTAACATCTGTTCTTGTTGGAGTTCGCATAAGAATTGAATAGGGTGTGGGTTACAAACAAAAAAGAAAAGATAAAGGAAGCATTTCTCCTGGTCCAAATACTTTATATATGACTCATGTGCACGTGTTGCTTGAGAAAAACAAACAGTCACTCATCTCGTGCATACGGATATTTTCTCTTACTCGGTGCTATAATATGACAAGCCTTGTGTGATGTTATAAAAACTTGATCCCCAACAAAAACTTTCAAGAATCCTCCCAAATCCCATATTCGTGCAGTCCTCATAACTGTTAGTTATGAGCACGGAATCTTTTCTCGAAATCCTGCACGATTTTCACCTCAGAAACGTGATACAAAGGCGTAAAATTGCAGCTGTTTCTGATCTATGACGCATGAAAATGTAATTGATATTAAGTCCAGGTTGACATTTAAATGATCCTGATTTGAGTGCTTTATTCATGCATGTGACATCTCGCCATCTGCCCAGCACAGTTGTTTTGCATGTGGTGAGGGAGACCTCCTGCAGACAAACGATTCCCACATGTGGCGCCACGAATCACGGACTGTTTGCTGAATTATTGGGGAGGCCACATTATTGCAAAGGTTTCCACATGCAGCCACAAGAGAGACACACTGAGAAAGCAAAGACACAATGGAAGGAGGAGGAGAGGACTTTAAAGTAATGCAAACCCCATGGAGGCATGTTGCCTCTCCTGCTTATTATACTGTCAATAACAATGTTATGTGTTAACCGGACGTACAAAAGGGATTTCAAAGCGTTTCTGTGTTTTCATTGCACGTTTTGTTGTAGAGTGCATTGTTAACCAGGCATGTACTTTTTATTTTTAATCCTCTCTGCCTCTCTCTGACTGTGAGAAACACTCATTAACCTGCACCAGCTTCACTTGTGTTAATAGAAGTGAGCCGACCAGGGAAGATAACAGCTTGAGCAGAACAAGTGCTCCACAGGGATTGGCTAAAACATCTGCAGGAGCAGCTGATTAGTAATTAGAGTTTCTCAGTCAAAGGCAAACAGGGCAGTTAAACACATGCATTAACTGCTCATGAAGTCATTTCTAGGGGATTTGGGGATTTTCAGCTTTCCTAGTGCTAGCAGAAGTGACCAACACATTATATAATGCAGCTTAAACAGGGAGAAGGAATAAAATAAGACGTAGCATTTGTACACCCTTTCAAATCCAGCAATAGTGACTTGTGTTTCAAATTGTTGGACCGCAATCAAACTGGAGTTGACCTGTATAATATGGGAAAAGGGGGCTTGGGAACCAACAAGTGTTTAGATTGGCAGGAATCACTTGTTAATTTAGGTGTGCTGTGTATGCCGCATGCTTACTCACAAGGTATATTTAAGAACTTTTAAATTACCAGTGGTCGCTGAAGGGGGATTTTTGGAGGAGTTTAATTATTGTTTTCCTCCTTATTATAATGGCTCAGCATCTCTACTCCTACGGGGAGAAAACGATACAAATCCCTGTAGTTTTGTCTTTTTCGGGTTACGCAGAAAAGCAGCGCTGTTTTAATCACAGGTTTTATAAAGAATAAAGTTTTTGAACCCACTTGAGGGTTGTTCAATAATTACATTGAAACTTCAGAACTGAGAACTGACACAACGGAGAGGAGGGGAGTCAAAGGAAGGGAAGTGTGTGAGAAGCGCTTTAGCTGTCGTGACAAACAGCCAGGCTGAGCCAGCAAACCTCGAGGCCAGATGTACTTTTTGGAACCAGGTAAATATATTTCACATCCTCGTATACGGGGTGATTTTCTCCCCCCGGGGGCTTCAGCAACAGGCTGAAAGCTCTAACTTCGGAATTCATTTTTCTGCGAGTCATTAATGATCGGGATGTAACACCTCGCTCCCTCCTTCCACATGAACACCTAGAAGCTGATTGGCTGAGAAGTGGATGGAGTAGCTGTGATGCAGAGCAACTGCAGAGGACCAGCGCTTTCCGCTGACTCATGTGATGTCATGCCCCAAAAGATGAGTGTGCAAAAAGTTGAACTAATATTATTACATTTCATCCATGTTCCCCAGAGGATGAATCCTACTCGTTCCTCTGCGTCTTCCTCTAGCACCTCCACAAGGCGTACGGGGTTTGAGTTTGGTTCACATATTCATGATTGAGATCTCATGAGAAAAGTAAAGAATAGAGTCGCTTTGTGTTTCTTTATATTTTCACTTTAACTACCTGATCAGGTTGTGTAGTTTCAGTCACGATGACATAACACAGCCAGTGTGTTGGTGGCACACAGAGAGACATTACCTAAGCAGCAATAGCACACACACATACACACACACACACACACACACACACACAAACACAATCACACATACACACTCAAATTGAGACATTAGCTAACCGGTGACTTGACGGGCCCCCAAAGGGCTCATTATGTACAGCTGTAAAAGCACACTTGCTCAGGTAATCACCATTCTATACTGTATGTGTGTGTGTGTGTGTGTGTGTGTTGTGGGGGGGGGGAGATCACACCTGCTGCAATTTGTCCAGTGAATCAGCAAGTGGTTCTGAAAATAAATAACATCTGGGCTTGTGATTTGTAAAATGCAGATATTGTAATTACCGCGCTGGGGCTCATGTGTCACGTTCACGCTCCAGGTCAAATCCCACACGGCCAAAAGAGGATCATTTATTAGTGCCTCGTGGGATGAACAAATGGCGGCAAATAGAATACATCACTTTCACGATATCGGCTTGAAACCAAAGGGGCTTGCGGAGACGAGGAGGTCCAGGACTCATGAGACCGAACAGGCTCAACCATCTTCTTCCCCCACTGATTTACTTCACAGGTTTTCCCTCAAAGCTGCAGGAGCCTGATCTTTATGAAATCAGTGGAAGGGGGGAATTAGCCTGAACAAGACCAGACCAGTGTGAGTACCACACTGCATGACTCACTAATGATAAAATGTGAAACTCTGAGAAAACGGAGGCCCTCCTTGACCCTAAATATCCAGCAAAACCCTGCAGAAAGCCCATAAAGATTCCTCTCCACCGATCCGATGGGCGAATGAGGCCCTTAAAGAAAGTTTTTCAGAATGACCTTGACACCGACAAAAAGTAACTGGTTCCATCACTTACGCTTACTCCCATACAGACAGACACCCGAGTGGCTCCATGGGTTTATCCTTTGTGAGATGTATTCATTCATACAATTTAAATATCGTGGGTTTAAATGTATCTATGACTTTTACACTTTTCAAATGCTTCTTTGAGATATTCACACTCAGCTGTTCTTTTTTTTGAAAAGACAGCTATTTGATCCACCCAAGGAAAACGGTCTCACTTGATTGGGAAGTGCGACAGCAAGTGTAAGAAGCACCAGTGCTTCCTGACCTGCAGACGCCCTCCGCACAACTTTGGTCAGGTCGGTTTACTTTGGCCAGATTTCACGGGCTGAATGTCTGCTTTACTTTCTCTTCCAAACCGTCTGGAATATATTGTAGAACTCTGAGGAGAAAGAAAGCGCGACAGCTGTTCAAAGAGGCCAACCTATCGAAATACAAAATATCTGTCTGAACAATGGAAATATCACATGCAGAAAGGTAATGAACTTACTTACTTTGTCATTTTTTTTTGATTTTCAGTCCAGTCCAGTTGTCACTAAAACAGTCCAGTTCTGTTATCAATATTTCCACGAAACACTTTGAAGATGTTTTTTTTCTTTTAGTTGTTAGCCATTTGCGATGCCTTTTAAAAAAAATCTTTGTCTTTGCATAATATAAATCTGAAAGTAACGGCCAAAACCTCCTGGTCCTGAATATGGCGAGTGAAATGGAGCAGTAATATGACGGTGGTCCTGTTGTGGGTTTGTGGGTTTTTTCTCGTTAAGTGGAACTGTGTGTACGAGTCACACGGCGCCCACATGGCAGACAGCTGTGGACGAGCCGTGACTCTCTCAACAGGGAAAAAAAAAAGGTTGAAATAAAAACACATCTGGTTTGCCATCCTCTATAAGTCTTCCACATTTCAGCCTCAACATGCGTCTGACAGTTTGCAAAGCCTGGTGTGCATCACTTAACGGCCAAAAGCCATTTTTCACACATCGGAGTCAAAGAAACTATACAGTTGTACATTCCAGTCCACATTTCAGCAATACAACTCTTTCCTATAGCTCATTATGTTTGTCTTTGGCTTGTGTCTCCAAGTCCATTGGACACTACATGTAGTAATCAGTTCAACAAAGCTTCAAACACTACAGACTTATTTAGCAGAAGAGTAGTGAGTTTCCAAAAAAATGGATTCTGTCTTTCAGGCTGCATTAACTAATATTTTATATTTCACTCAGTATGAAACGAAAGGTCTGCTTTAGTGACAACCCCCTTTCTGTGGAGCATTTTAGAATCTGTCAGCTCATTGTTTGGGTTTTAAAACCGACGTTCTATTTTTGTGTCTTTTGAAGGTTGGTAATAATAAAACATGCCGTGATTCTTTGAACGCTGAACCCAACACACGACCCTGTACACAGTCAGACCCTCGGTTAACCCTCATCCTGTTTTTTTTTTTGGAAGGAGCTGCAATACCAAAATCCTCTCCTCATTTCCACCCATGTGTTTGGAATAACAGACGTGCAGCTGCTCAGTTCACTTGACTGCGCTGTTTCTCTCTCTGTTTTATCTCCAGTGAAGCCGAGCCTCATTCATTCAGCACAGCAGCTCTGCCAGAGGAGGAATGTTGGCCATTGCTAATTTAAATATCCTTTTCCCCGTGTTATGTAACCAGGCTTCTCACCCTGCCATACATCCCTGGCTCTTTAACACTGCCCTTACTGCCCCCACTAATCACTAGCAGA